CCTCCCATAATTTGCTGATCTGTCACTGAACCATTTTCACTTCCAAATGTTGTTCCAAATGTTCCAAATCACATGAACATTTCTTCTTTCCAGTTTCCTGTCCAAACCATGCCTATTAAAAAAACATAGTGTACATTATGTTGAACATAAACAGATAATTAAATTAACAGCTGGAACAAAAAAACAAGCTGACATGTAAAATAGAAAAGAGTTTCAAGGGATTTCACTCATGTTCACATGACACAGAGCTCATGGGGGCAGAGGCTAGGTCACGGGGGCCTGTAATTAGTCTGTCTCCCAAACAACCATGTCTCTTAGGATAGGCACCATTTATGGTATCTCACCCCTGACCTATGGCTCCTAGTCTCTGAAATATCCTCTCAGTGTCAGCTGTAGATGGTGTACCAGAAGGTGAACTCTCACCCAAGAGACAGGAGGAGGGTCACATGGGAGTGAGGACCAAAACCTCAAAAGGATCATTCAGGGGCGAGTGTAGAAAGAAGGTTCCTGTGTTATATTGGTTTGCCTATGCAGTAACTAGACAGGAAGCTGTCTATATAATGAGTTACAGTCATAACTTCAACCTCACGAACCCGTGGTTTTGCAACTCTTGATAACACTTTACAATAACCAGAATTTACAAATGGTAATAGATGGTTTATTAATATTTAATCATCATTTAAAAGTTAATAGTTACTTTACCATTGACAAGCAATGAAATTATGATTAATAATTTTCATTAATTATTAATGTACTATTTATTAAAAGTTTATATAGGGTTTAAATATTGGTTGTAAAACATCTAGATTAAAATGTGTGTCAGTAGCACTTTTTAAATGATTAATAAGTGGTTTATAAACCACCTATAAACATTAATTAGATGGTTATTGTAAAGTTAGGGTTAGGTTCTTGAAATTGTAAGATTAACAATTTATTAATGGTCCATATGCTATTTATAAATGATGAATAAACATTAATAAACTATCTGCTTACCATTTATACATGGTCGATTTACCACGTATAAGTTATGGTTATTGTAAAGTGTTACCCGACTCTTTTTAACTGCAGAATTCAATAAATATAAAGTAAATTTGAAAATATATCAAGGCTGGGATTATCCTGACTAGTCTTTGGTACTGGAGCCAAAATACTGAGATTTTTCAGAAAAGCCACTTGAGGATGACTTCAAAAGCATGCGAGGCCCCACAGATTTTTACATGACAAATTGTTTGTCTTTAAAGCACAAATCATGTCAAGTACGTCACCTGCTAGTCGTTCATAATAAAAGGTCTGATGGCTTTGAGTCACAAGTGAAAACAACAGTCACCAAACCAATGGGTGCTGCTGTAACGGCTGCATCCACATTTGTATGATGAATGGTCATATCTTTCACAACTCCACATCCCCAAGTTTGTTATGCAACTTTCTGTTATAAATGTAAGTCTTCAAGTTCACATCAGCATCAAACTTGTAAATTTGCTCGACAAAGCCACTGAAGACATTATGCAACTGTTTCTTCAGGCCGAGTGGTATTCTATGAGTTAGCTGATGTGTAAAACTGCTACATATTCATGGACTGTTGCCTCTCAACTGTGAATAAAAGCTGTTTTTTAGATTTTGATGAAAGCAGTGGTGGATCACTTTATATTTGGTTTTTAAAAATCGACAGCTGGGAGTTTTGTAATCTGTCTTATCTTCAGATAATTTGCCCTTTTAGTCCAATCTCACAACAGAACTGATAAATTAAGAAGTAAGATCTGCATTGCATTATGACCCGTTCCTCTTTTAAGAACTGTTTGGCCCAGATTCTTAACCGTACACAGCCACAGTAAAATTATAATCAAATTTATATGCATCCCTAATGGAGAGTGTACCCATGGAGTTCATCTAAAATACAGCTTTTGAACAAGTGAAAGCCTGTCAAGAGCTTTCAAATGAAGTGCTGGGCCATAGGTTTACTGCTGCAGCCCTCAGGGAGAAGACTGGGAAACAACCTCATAAAATGTGACCACACTGGTTTTTGTCAGGAGGGCCACTGAGTGCTAAACTGAGGATGTTTCCTCTGACAGACCAGGTATACTCACAAACATACTCTTGACAGTAAAGTTCATCCTTCTCCCCTTACATAACTTGGCTGAAAAGCACCTCCACCTCTGAGTCATTTTTCAGTCAACAAAAGAGGGACACCCTTGCCATCTGTGTATACATTGGTGTAGAGTATCAGTTTATGAAGGATGTTTTGGACTCTCATCTAACTTCATATTATTGATATACACAAACACACACTGGGGCAAGGTCAGCAACAAAAAGACTGAACCCTGTAAAACTGGTTCATCATTACAATGGCCACTATGCCCTGTACAATCCCGGGGCAATTGCTTTTAAAGGGAAGAATACACCCCAGGCATTACCTTTCACCTGAAAGCGTGTTGTTCAGGTAAAGTGACAGTTATGCTCCGAGCCTTATATAAGAACAGCATGTCTTGTGTTTGCTCAATCTAGGGTTTCATTTGAAGGTGAATGCCAATGCTGGCAGTTTTGTTCATATGCTTTTGTCATATAAATACCTTCCTTTAGAAGTTCTGAGCAAGTTCAGTATCGTGTCAACATGTGACCTTTTCCCATAATCATCTTCTACAGGTGGCTTCATAGTTTTCATTCTCTTCCATTTCTTTCTGCTTTATGCTTTTATACCGAGCTTTCCGGACCTGCCTGCTGTCATGGCCTCTCTGCCTCACTGTCAGAAGCAATGGTAGTCTCTATTATTCATCACCTCCACTCCCAGGCTATTTATACCAGCTTTTACAGTCAGTCTGTCTTTCCGCTCTGCTGGCTGCATCTGTCTACACTAATACAGATATTTCAGCTCGGACATCAAGTCTTGAGGTGTCTTTGAACTCTTGGCCTCTCTAACTGTGCCACTGTACGTGCACAGTATGCCCAAGCAAAGAGGAAAAACATATGCATACAGAGTTGCTACATCCAGCTGCTGTTGCATAGCTGGATTGTAGAGGGCAACCTTTTTTATTGATTTATTTTATAAATAAATATATCACTTGTTAAACCTATTTGGACATATCAGTGCTGAAATTCGACAGAAAAAAAGATGTTGAATATTTCCTGATTTTATGTCCACTCTACTATACCTCTGAAGAAGATACCTATCAATACAATACAATTGGAAACACAATCGTAACACCCAGTCCATGTGCAAATAGATGTCTGTGTGCTTTTCTGTGCACACAACCATTTCACAGCACCTTTTTGTGCATAACTTTAAACTAAACACTACTCCACTGCTTGCTTCTGGATTACTCCCTGATGCATTAACTCCATTGAAGAGCCTCCAATATCTCATTTCCCCTGGGACAGAGAGCCAAGTCACTTCACATGCAAGCATCCACCGTTCCAATAGAAAGAAAAGGCTTTTAAGGCATGCAATTTCTGTACCCAAGTGCTGGCTTTCTGCGGGTAGGAATGTGTACGTGTTTGTGTGTGTGTGTTTTTGATGACCAGCGGGGCACAGCTGTTCAATTTCATATAATGTATGAGGATGAAAGGCCATGATTCCAATTCAACAACTTCAAATGTCCAATCACAAACTCTAATTCATATTTTAGTAGGCCTGCCAGAGAGGCCCATGAAATATATATTTCTAAATTTTTACATCAGAAATTAATGATTAATAGGATAAAATTGTTTCCAGTTTTTGCATAATACTTTTGAAGCTTTCATGTTGATAGTATTTACGTTCAGTCACTCTAGCCACCAAATTCTTACAACTCTAAAACATACAAACCCGCTGAGTGAACATATTTTTTCCATGAATGGTGGATAAAAGGCCAATCCAATCACATCAGTGACACTGTATCAGACCTACAGTATACCTACTACAATTCATTTATGAGGAGCAACAGTGCCCTCTAGTGGATAATACACCTTATTACACTATTTCAAGAGGCCCATCAAGGTAGAGCAGTCAACGGCTTCCTGACTGAGCATGATTGAGGTTAAATCACACAATAAAAAAGGAAAATAAACTTTCAACTTACCTTTGGAAAGATATTTGTGAATTTTGGTATGTTTTCAGTACTGTAAATATCAGGTAAAACTTCCAACAGCCTGATGTCCTATCATTTAAACCATAGTTTAAGATACTTCATAGTGTTTTATCGGCACATCTACTGTGAAGTTTAAAATTGTTTTCTCTTACCTTTTAACTTACCTTGAGGGGGACTGCGCTGCATCATGGGAAACCATCAAAGACCACACCTGAACCCCGAAATATGGCCAAACCTATCAGATGAAGAATTTTTGGGTAAGTTTATAGGAAGCACCTTGAACTAAAAGTTAAGTCTCAGTCCTTGCTTTAATGTTTAGCTCTATCTTATCATTAATGGATCAGAAATTGTGCATTTCTTCATATTCCCCATCAGAAAACTGACACTTTCTAATACTGGGGATAGCTTTTTGCAATATTATTTGTTGTATTACACCGAGTTATTCAAAAGATTAATTATTTTTCCAATGTTTTTATATAAAGAAAGGAAGATTAAAGAACAGCGAGGAGTAGCTTACACTCCACAGACTGTTAAAAGTTTTTTTTTCCACAATTTCTTGGTTTGGCAGGTAGAAATAACTGCACCTATAACAGTAGGTCTTACCTGAAAGTGTATTTCCTTCAGGATGATAGTCCGCTTTGAAATCGTGAGGGCTGCTTAGTTTTGACAGATCTGGTTGAATTTGAGACACAATGGGCAGACGAAATTTGGGGGCTCTAAGCACTGTTTTCCTTTGACATCATTTCACAAGATACAGTATACGCTTAGTTACTGTTTGTGGAAAATATGGCATAATCAAGTTTTTGAAGACAATTATAAAACCTAAAACACACAACTACGAGATACAATAAATATGCAGACTAGAATTTATGACCCAATATTTTGATATGAACACCGACCGCTGAGATAGACGGAAGCACAATAAACATATTCGAGTAGTTTGCGTCACAACTCTTTTTAACTCTGTTTAAATCTTTTTCAGTTGTGCAATCATTTGAGGAAACTTAATATTCAATGTTCAAGTGGAATAAACACAATTTTTAAATCTTTTATTCAATGGATGACCAGACCTAGACCTTGCACTATTGCAACCAATTAATGTTTTTATAAAATGCACAAATACCCACAAACACAACTATGAACAGTAACAGTCCCACCATTTTAGTCATTCATAAATGGAAGAAGAATAGCAGGACATAAAGTGGCTACAAGGAAAACCTACAATGGGGACAAATTATGTCACTAATATCGTTTTTTTTTTTTAATGTATATACATGATCAATGAAAACTATCACACATGATTCAGATGAACTCACAATTTATTGATAAGCTCTCTACATTGTACATGACTGTTAATTACTTGTGCATTAACAATTCTTTGGGACCAAAACTAATAAGCAAACATACAAACCCATACAAACAATTATAATGAAGAACAGACAGGGTAAAGCATGGCTTATCTACTCTCTGGACTAGACAATAAAAAGCCAGAGTATCGAAAAAAGACAAACTGTCATGTCAAGTAGCTATGTTGGTCTTTTAAGTGCTATAAGGAAAAAGTGGTTTCCAGTGCGGATTGTCTACTGGGTAATACCAATGACACCACAGGCCAGACGTCCACCTGCGTTGCCAGTCTTCAGACTCTCTTCATTACCTCCTTTTCCCAGGTCATCTCCCTTCTCATGGATCTAAATCATGTGACACACAGCACAGTCAAAAAAAAAAAAAACCTTCACATGTACAGAAATAGAGTAAAAATCTGCTCAGTAATGGCCCACACCTTGGACACATCAGGAGTCAAGTTAACAAGCTACATCAGGCAAAACCCCTCTAGTGCGCGTCATGTGTGAAACAGCAGTCAAATGAAGAGAATGGCATTTTTCCTTACCACCATGGTTCTTCCGATGATGGAGTAGGGGCCAGTGAGGGAAAGCATCTTGTCTGTGATGTCGATCTTGGCGATATTATTTGCTCCGGCTGTCACATTGCCCAGGTCTCCAATGTGCCTGTTGAAAAAAAAATGACAATCATAACACCGACCACTACTAACATTCAGAGGAGACAAGGGTGATATTTAAAGAAATATGAACTTGATTAATGAAATCACACAGACATTGTTCAATTAAGTTAGTAGTGCATAAATTTCTTGCCGAATGTCTTCATGTCAATAAAAATGAACTTAATCTAAAACTAAGGTAGAGGGTTTAGATTGAGATTAATTTCGGCCATATATTGAAATACTTATTTCTCCTAGTAGATTTCGGCCCAATAAGTTTAAATGACTGTTTTGCCGAATGTTTTTTCTGTTGAATGTCTCTGGTGGCCAAACATACTTTTTCATCAAGCATTTAACCATGCAATCATAATCTTGTATCTGTGTTTCTCATGACTTCTAACCATTTGCATCAACTGTTTTGATGGGCATTAACAGACACAAACTAAGTTGCTGAACACTGAGAAAAGAGTATATCCAGATGATTCCAGTCTGAACTCACCTCTCTTCATCAGTGGGACCAGCATGATTCTTGTTGTGAGGGTTATAGTGAGGGCCTGCGCTGATGCACCCTGCAACAAAGGAAAAAAGAGACTTTATAATAAGTAAGCAATACAGAAATATCCACTTTTAATTACTGTAATATGAGAAAAAACTGAATATCTAGCATTGTTGGGGGTAAATATATTATTCTGATATTTTCAGATGCTTACCATTGGTATTGTCTCCAAATGCGTGGACATGGAAACCGTGCTCGCCAGGGGTAAGGCCACTGATTTCGCCTGTTAGCTTCACAGGGTCTGATGCACTCTAAAAGATCAGGATAACACCATTTATCAGGAGTACAAACAGAAAAGAGCTGCCAAAGCCAGATGGCTGGAGGGGCTTTGAGCTCAAGTGTGTAAAACAGGGATTATTTCCCTCTTATTCATATGACTAAGCCAGTCATGAGAGATACAAGGAAAACAAAAGGGATAGTTGTTCAACTTGATTTTGACTTTTGGAGCCATAAGACACTGCTAAATAATAAGTGAAAAATTCCAGTCCAGACAGATGTAATCTTATACAAATGGCATAATCTCCTTGAACCCAATAAGCCCTTGTCCGGACAGTCAATGACAGAGCTTTTAATTCAAGTGCTTGTATGAGCAACAACAACCATGCTGACGCTGCTAAGCAACGTAACAGGCAGGGGTGCTGACGCAGTTTCAGGCCACCCTTTGGAGGAAATAGGAAATTTATAGCAATTATTCACCATAATTTAACTCCAAGTATGATTACCCATGGCCTTTTTGTATTACAAAACTGGCCTTTTAATTAATGTTGACATTTTTTTTCCCTATCATCTCAGAGAAGAAATCGTTGTTTTGAAATTAACAGATTTATTTTTAGAATCTCATAGGCTTTAGTGGCTGCATCCACGTATAGTGGACAGCAGAGGAACAGCACAGTGCATTGTGGGTGGTATAGAACAATAAAAGGGGCCCCACTTATCAGATCAAAGTGCAACTTACAAGTACTTTTAAATATTTGTTCATGAAAGTATGTGTTTAATATGATGCCTGTGAAACAGCAAAGTGGCTAGGCACCCTGAAAGTTTCCTCCAATAGCATTTATTTGGTCATACATTGAATGTGCAGAACAGCATGTGTGTTTGTTTTTGTGAGCTGAATGAGGAGACTTTGTCAAGAGAGATAATGCAACCCTTGTACAAAGTCTGAGGCTCCCGGTAGTAATGAGCATCTGTTTATCTTATGCTGACCATCTGGACTGTTTATACTAGGATGATAACATAAATGCTGTTTGCAGTTCACTGGTTGTAGTAAGAGATGATTAGACAGGTTAATATTGTTATCTGTACTTAACATTGATGTGTTATATAGAAAGATGTCACTAATTTTTTGGCAACTACATTCATAAATATAACGGGAGCAAAATGTTTGACAGTTTTCACGAGATACATTTTAGTACCTCAACTTCAAAGAAAATGTATCACCTGTCTGACCATGTCAACTAAAAACTGGGAATGTAGAAGCTCCTTAAAAAGTGGAAATTATGAAGATCAGTGTTTGAAAAGAAAACCTCAGTGGTTACTATAGAAGGTTGAATGTTACGGTGGCCAAGAATGGCCACTGCTGCAATTAAAAAAAAGAAGTCACAATGGAAGATACTGAGGCAAAAAAAAGAAGCCCACTGCAAATAAATAAATGGTGCAGATAAGGCCACAACGAAAGTTAATGATGCGGTTTCTTTTCCTTTTCCTTATTTGTTTTTGCATCGGTAACTTCCATTGTGGCTTCTTTTTTCTGCATCGTTATCTTCCATTGTGTTTTTTTTTTATCTGCACTCTCTTTTTTATTTGGGCTTTGGTTTCTCTCACTTTTTTTTTTTTTTTTGCATCGGTAACTTACTATTTTTTGCACTCTTTTTTATTTGCAGCAGTGGCAGTTCTCGGCCACCGTAGATTGTCAGTTGAATGCTGCTGTGGCCATCAGCCGATAAAACATTGTTTGAGCAGTCCCCTCCCTTCAACATCGAGGCCAGATCCTCCAGGTCATGGCATAAAACCAGACTGGCAATGACTCAGCAAAAATATCATACATGGACTTTTCATTTTTCACTATTTAGCCTCTGACTCCTGCTAATTTCAGACAAGAAAACAACTCAAAGCTGAAATGTTGCCTGACATGGTTAAGGGTTGAGCTGATCACACCACACTTCTGATAACAAACTATCAATGAAACGTGGAAGTTGTGCAACAGGCGTTTTCAAGGCACGCGCAGTTGATCATTAACGAATCACAGGCCTTCAACGGTCGAAGGTTATGAGTTTAATGACATGGTGATATTTTCGGCTGTTTATTGATCCTTATCAGAATGTGTTTGCATTCACGCTTTATTTTAAGTGAAAATGACCATCAGCAGATCAGGACTGAGTGCGCACTTATCTAACGATGAGGCTGACTTCTTTTTCAACATGCAGACTCATGTCACATGAATGCGCACACTGTGAAATAACGCTTAACTTTGTAAAAATCAGAGTTAAGCATGTCACAGTTTTATGCCCATGTAGCTAGAAAGCTAGGACCAACCCACAACCAGGGGTCCAACTTTGCTAGCATGCCTGCGTCTGTAGAAGGAACTTAGCCAGCTTAGCATTCAAGCGCCAACGCTGCCTTCGGGAAACATGTCAGATTTCCGGGTGCAACTATCTAAAAAATCTCTTCACCCACAAAAAGGAACATTCATCCTACCTCCTGCTGGAAGTAAACGGTACCGGTGGTTTCTCCAGCCCCTTTCAGCACGCAGACAGCTTTCAGCACCATTTTTTCAGCAGGTTCCGAAGGACGTTCAAGATTCCTTGCCCACAGTTCACGCAAGAGACAGCCAATATGTAAGAGCTTGATGGGCGGGCCTACATTACAAACAGCCAATCAAAGTCACTAACTACAAACAGAACGTATTTTGATTGGTCAATGACGATTACGGAGGTGGGTGTATCATTTGGCTGCTGTACGCACAGTCTGCACGTCACTTGACATTTAACAACGTTGGTTCACGTATGCTCAATTCATAAAGCCTCTAACTGTTATCTAGCTTATATTTATAAATGCTGAGTGTGTATCTGGTAATCATGAACATAAATTCATGAAATTAGAACGAAATAAACTTATTATAAATTATTTTCTGAGTATGTCGGTACCATCATAATATTGTATACTGTCTGTTTATAAATGTAGATTAAAGGCCAAATGCATTTTCATATTCAGAAAGTTATTAAAGGGGTAGATGTTCCTGCATAATCTGGTCTGTTTCATATAAAAACCTTTGATACAGGATGTTTTAAATCAAAGCTCAAGTGTAATCTCTCTGTTCAATGGCTGGTAAACTTGACTATTTTAGGGGCCGGTGAGTCTAGCATAGATTTAAAGCTGTAAATGGGAGTGACTGGTCTTTTGGGATGGATACCAGTGAGATTGGGAAATTATTAGTTTAGACCACAAAATCTGCTTAATTATTTAATTTTTTTATTTTAACCATGGATGATAGGAAAACAACCAAAGTATCAGGTATCATACAAACATCTTTAGTGCAATATAACCATAGACTGTATATACTACGGACAACCTAGTTCCGTCTTCCACCAGTATACGGATTTGAAGCTGAAAAGCTCTCTGTATTTCCGCGATTTTTCATTTCCTGAAACCAACATTGCGCAGTAGCATTGTACGCATTCAGTGGGAGAGTGTCGCTGTGATGATGCTCGGCTGAAACAGCGTATCCCCAGGTGAGCTACGCAATCTTCGTACGCCCACAGGCTGTATCAGGTGTCAATCGTAGAAACCATAAACCCCCTAATAACTTTTAAAAACGGAGCTGAACAGAAAAAAGGACTTGAGCACAAACCATTCTTACAGTCTTACTACATGTCAACCTCGCAAGCAAGGAGGAGAAAAAGTGATATTCTGTGTAATTAATTTGTAAAATTTGTCCACAGCTCCATAAGCTTTGCCAGAGGAGGCAGGGTTTATGACCTATACTGCAGCCCATCACCAGAGGGTGCTGTTCTCCGATCTGAGCATAAAAAAATCAGTTCACCAACGAGAACGATTTGGTACAAAAATAGTTTATTAAAATCAATTTCCTATGGCTGAGATATTGAAGATATTATTTCCATGTTTTTTGAGTTTTAAACAAACCATAGAAACATTTGTGAACTTTCAAACCACGAGGAGTTTAAAAAAATGTAAAGCGAGGGGCCTCCGTGTCTTCGTCCAATCTATGTTTCTCCTGGATAATCAAATTACAGATAACAAACAAGTTTCCATTACACCTTTCAAAACGCAGTGATGAAAGCATATTTACAGCAGTATTTCCCAAGCAACACTTCATTTCTAGAGGTTTGTCCTTGCTGCTTCAAAGTTTAAGTATTTAATTTGTTAAAAAATAGTTGGACTGAAAGAATACAGTATGTCTTGAGTGAAACCAAGTTCAAGCTGTTTATAAAAGATGAGAAAAATAAGCTAAGGGGTGTTGCCAAAGCTCAGTTAGATCCCTGTCTGACTGATGTACGTGATGACACAAATGGAAAGCTTTTTGGTGCGATCTGAAAGATTTTCCCTCTTCCTTTGATACACACTGAATAAAGAACAAACCCCATAAACACAAAGCTCACTGAGCCGGTTTGTGTTTATTTAAAAAAAAAAATCACTCACACCTGAATTTTTGCACTTTTTTTGTACAGTACTCGTTCATAATCATGTGTTGGATGGATCTTCAAAAGGTTCTGCAGAACAGTATACAGAAAAACAAGATATTTACACATTCAGGCCAAGGTGTGACACTTACAAAAAAAAGCTGAGATTTAAAAAATAACATTTTCTTTGTCTGTCTGCGGTTTGAAACAGTTTTTGCACATCTAAATATAAATCAATTTCTTGACAAATAGTGTACAAATTTTTTTATATGCATTTCAGCCCACTTTTGATGATTTGACTTCTCTTCCATGAGGGAGATTCACATGGACGTGTTCTCGTACTGTCAATTATTGTGCACAAAAATGCACTTCGGACAGTAATTAAATAAAAAAAAAAAACTGTTGGTTTTCAAGTACTGGACTCGTCATTATTTCATTATGCCCAATATTTTTGTTTTACTATGACAAACAGAATTAAAAGATCCCAATGACAATCCTTACCACAAAAGTGACATTTAAATGAGTACAGTATCATCAAAGTGTGTGGAGCACTCTTGATTTACTTCATTATAACAGAGTGACTGGAGTGTATATACTTGACTAGCAATCTGGAAATTCTAGTTCAATCAAAAATATGACTGCAAAGATGGTATTCAGAGGCCTCGTGAGAATAATTGGTTTCCTATCAGTTCCAGTGTTACAAGCTTGTTACAAATAAATGGAGTCCAGATCTTTCAAGTGTATTTGGTATGTAGTACTTGGACTATAAACAGACACCAGAACCCTTCTGGTACCAATATCTTGTTCTAAGATCTTGAGCCTTATGTTGTCCTTTTAAAATGTTGCATGGTTGGACGTGGAAGTACAATGTAGAGCTGACAATGAGATTCTAATAATGAAGAAAAATAGACGTCCCTCTATTATTGACCAGTTGTTTGAGGAAATATGAAACAGGATATCTTGGCAAATGAGAAATAAAAAAATACCACATTAAACTTGTCAGAGTTCCTGCTATCACACTCGAGGTTAGGAGTCAAATAAGGAACCACTTGTTCTCTCCAACTGCACATCAACAAAGTAAAAACTTAAAAGCAGAGCTTAGATGGACAAGTCTGGAACATGCAAGAACTTTGTTAAATCTAAATACTTACAGGAAGGAGTTGACAGCCAGTTTTTTAATACAGACCAATAAGTGGTCATGTGGTTCAAATTCAATGGTGGTAAGCCTATTATGCCAAAGGGGACACCAGACGACTGGGTAGCGCGTGACAGCTGCCTTTCTGAATGCTGGGTCTCCTACCATCACGGTGACCACACAGGCTGCATGTCAGGTGCTACTGCCGCCAGCTCACTTTACACTGGACTTCCTTTGATACTGGCCTTAATAACTCAAAAGTCTGGTCTTGTTTCTATATTCATTTGTTAATACTTAGTCTAGACACTCACTTGAAACAAATGCAGGCTGTTTATGAGATTGTGAATAAAATCAATTCATATCAACTTTCATGTCCATGATGTATTTAAAAGATGTTGTTGCTTTTACTTATAAGTTCATGTATCTTTCTACAGACCATATCAGCATTGTTTGAAGCTGGTAGTACAAAAAGGAAAGTTTGACAAATACCTTGGCGCTGCATATGTACTCCAACCAAACCTGGCTAAATCGTGCGGGAAGCGTCTCTGCTCTTACATGATAACATGCAAGACATCGCATTAATCAAAACAAATCTATGTTTGAAACGAGGGAGAAATATGATTGAAGGAATGAGTTAACTGCTTGGGAAACCTCAAAATTGTTGGCTGGTTTTTTAGTGAAAAACATATTTTTTGTGTGTGTGTATTTGTTTTACGTCTCAGTGGAGCAGTCTCTGACTGAAGCAGTGGTCTATGATTCAGCTCCCTGTTTAGTTTCTGTAAGCTCACTTTGAGCTGAAGGTAAGGGCTCAGAAGGCTTTGGCTCTTCTGCAGCAGTAGTTACTTCCGATGAAGGAGCTAAAAGTTCTACTTTCTTTTGGGGGGCTTCCCCACTAGGTTCTTTCTCCGTGGCGACCGCAGGAGTCAAACGAGGTTGCTCTGTGCTGTTGGAAGTCCGAAATCTGTCCATGCTTTCCAGTTCGGCCAGTCGATCGTCCCTGTCCCACCGTGTGGTCCTTTCTCGCCGTTCTGACCGCCTTGGCCTTTCCCCTTCTTTTTCTTTTCCTTCAGCCGCCCTCACTCTATCACGACTCCCTCCCTCTCCCCTACCTCTTTCTCCTCCCTCCCCCCTCCCTCGGTCCCTCTCCCCATCATCCCCCCTCCCTCGTTCCTTATCCCTGTCCAGACTGCTTCTTCTCTCCCTCCAGTCCCGTCTGTCTCTGTCCCGGTCACGGTCCCTGTCCCTGTCCCGATCGCGGTCCCATCCTCCTCCCCGGTGATCGCCTCCATCGTCCTGCCAGCCTCCGAGTCTGTCCCTCCCATCCATTCTATCACCACCTCCTCCTCTACCACCGTCACCAAATGGACGCCTTCCACCACCAAAACCTCGGTCCCTCTCTCTATCTCTGTCCCGATCCCAGTCTCTGTCCCTCTCTGGCTCTCGGTCCCTGAATCCAGGCCTTTCGCCCCTAAATGGTCTGCCATCCATTTCTTCTGGCCCCTCTAGACCACGAGGACCCCCAGGTCTAATAAAAGCAGGAGGAGGACCTTGAGGAGAGGGGCCATGCCCATGTGGAGGGAAAGGGGCCCTCATGTTATGAGGAGGGAGCATCCCAAAGCCTCCTTTGGGTGAGGGGGGTTCATGGTGCATAATTTGAGGGTGTGGCCCTCTGGGCAGCATCTGTGGGGGCATTGGTGGCATGCTGGGATGAGGAGGTCTTGGTCCATGAGGTGGAGGAAAACGCTGCATGTGTGGAGGTGGAAGAACAGGGGGACGCTGCAGAGGGATTATGCCAGGGCGTGCCCCTAGCAGACCACCAGCCTGGGGTTGGATATTCCCGGGTGGAACACCTTGAAGAGAACCAAGAGGTCCACCAAGCTGGTTACCTGATGGGAACAACAACATACAGGTGTGATCTTAGGAAAAGAGCGAGAAGTGTAATATTTGAACTGAAGTAAATGACACTTTAAAGGTTTAGGGAGGGAAACTGCACATGTGACTGACCCATAGGACCCATCTGGTTGTTAAAGATGTTGGGACCCTCAAGTCCCTCGTCATTTTTTCTGCAGCCCAAACCTGCAGGGTCCAGAGGCTGGTCTTCAGCTCCACTTTTAGAGGGAGGAGGAGGACCTAGAGGCATAGAACCTGGAAGAGGAAAACCTGGGAGAGAAAACGAGACGTGAAGATTAGTCCAACTACAACATCCAACTCTAACTCAAGTAAAAAAAACAGCATCAGATCCAGTGAAGAATGGTTTGATGGCAGCTGACAAAAGGTGCTACCTGGAGGCATCTGCAAGGGGTTGAAGGCAGGTCTGATGAATGGAGGAGGGACGCCTGGGGGAAAGGAGGGTGGAGGCACGCCTATGTGACCTGGAAAGACAGGAGGCTGGAGGGGACCCACACCAACCAGTGGCTGCTGCATTGGAGGGACCTGAGAATTTATTCAAAGGAAATTATTGATGTTGTGAAAAAAAAAATTAATTCATACCTCAGAATGATTTCCAAGAGATAAGCGGTTTATTTGTCATAAAAGAAAACTGAATGTGAGATTGTCCTTTTTGAAATATATGCTGGTGAAAACTATTTGCTTGAACACAGCATGAGAGGTTTTACCATAGGCTACATTCTGAACTAGGAAAAACCCTGTGCAGCCACGACAGGCAGTTACTCTATACATACTACCTGTTTTAAAGTGACATTACCAAGCTCAACAAGTCTACACAGATGGAACATCTTACCTGTGAAGGAGGAGCCACTGACACTACAGGTATCATTTGGGTCTCTTCAGGCTGCTGTGGCTCTGACCTGCCGTTATGTGTCAGTTCCTCTGGGAGGTTTAGAGCCTTCCTCACTGTGGTCCACTCTTAAAAAAGACGAGACAACATTCAGATTTAGTCCTGACGCAGGCTGCCACGTACACTGTAATGTGTACTGTTTGAGATAAAAGCCCTTTACCTGGTGACAGAGTGTCCACATCCAGTATTCCTCCTTCTTTCAGCTCCTCTACCTGAGCCTCCCTGACCTTGGACCAAGGTATGTAGGTGACACCCAGCTCCACGTCCCAGTACTGTTTGAACTCTGCCTTGATTCCTTTGTTCAGAGCCCAAGCAATCTGAGCAAGAATCAAAACAGAACTTCTGATTAAATCACTGTTTGCCTCTACACTGAATGGCTCTTCTGTTTCGCAGTCTGTGCAGCCTGCTCACCTTAATGGTTTTCTGGTTAACTTTATGAGATCCTCTGCTTAGCTTCTGCAGAGCCCTGAAAGCATCCTGCCGGTGTATCATGACGATGTAGGCACAGCCGCGCGGAGGGATCATCTAAACAGAAGACGAGGACAAACATATAGGGGTAAAAAAAAATGATATTGTGATCAGTAATAAGTGTAGATTGGTACTAAATTGATCAAAGATTGAGAAAAGGATAGTCTCACTAAAAATAAGCATTAAATATTGACAACAAATCAGTAACAATTAGCTGTTTTTGGTTTAAGTTTTATAAAATCACTACCTATATTAAGAAAAAATAGTCCAGAAGTCCAAATATGTTTGTTACAGACACAGAAGATTGTGGATCAATCCACTTCACTTACATTGATGGACTCTATCTGCCCAAACTCCTCCAATAAACAGGCAACGTCTTGCTGTGTTGTTCTCTTGTCCAACTGGCCAACCCAGAGAGTCGTACTACAAACTTAAGGACAGAAACTCAAGGTCAGATGATAAAGAACTTATGTTGCAAAAATATTAGCAACTAATGGGACAGAGAAAAGGGAAAAGAAGTGTTAGAGTCATAAAACATGATTAAGGGTTAAGGATAGTGATGGATCATCATTCGCTTGAATCTGTCGGGTTGAGTTAACATGAGTGTAAACACATCAAGACTCACTGCTAAGTGTTTCGTTCTTGGTTGGTGGAAGGCCTTTCTGTCGCCGCTCCCTCTCTTTCTCCCTCTCCCTGCGCTCATGTGAGCGCGACCGTGGAGAATGGTGACGGCGCTCTCTGGAGCGCGAGCGGGATCGTCTGTGCCTGGATCGCCGTGTGCGGGAGTTTGATCGCGACCGCCTCCGCTTTGGCGACCTAGACGAAAAAAATAAAATAAAAAATACAATACAGGGAAAATGCACTTCAGATGATGATGAGTGAATTTCATATTCGCATTAGGTAGTTAGGGGTTAGTTCAGATATTTACCTGGAGCCTGAGTGCGACCGCCGCCTGCCATCTCTCAGAGATGAACGGTCCATATCCATTGACAAATCCTGACATGGTATGAAAGTTACAGTTTCATGATTTTACACATAAAAAAACAACCAAATTTCTTGCCATAAGATTTGAATTCAACACAAATGTAAAACCTTTTTTACTTTTGCCTCATGACTGACTCGACTCTATATAAGTTACTGTTTAGATTTACATGTCCTTTGATTGTTCAAAGACTTAAGTTGACCTGTTGCTGCTGGGCTGCATTGTGAGGAGGGAATATTCCGGGGAAGCCCGGAGGCCCAGTCGAACCAGGGAGGGGCTGCCCTGGTAAAGCATGCCCCATGGGAGGCATCATAACTGGGAAACCTTGTCCTGGTGGTAAACCGTAGGCCTGGAGCTGGCCGTTTGGTGGAAGAGGAACCTGGAAGAGTTGACCAGAATAAATACAAAACATGTGCAGCTCTTATAAGAGTATTCTTGTGAAAACTATTTTTTTTTTCTTGCAATCATTATTTTTTTCTTTTACATGTAGTGCCTCTTTTATAAAGGATCACAATTTGAACAAAAACAATGGACAGTTCTTATAAAATTAGTCAAACATCATGTAAGGCTTTAATAGTTGTACAACAATCGAAAATTTTGGTTGCTAAAACAACATCGGCTTTATTTTTAATTACCTGTTGTGAGAGGTCTTGTGACATGTTCATCATATGAGGTTTAAAGTGCTCCATGTGCGGCAGACTGGCTGGAGGTTGCTGCATACTAATGACAGAAGTACACCATGAGCTTCCCATTGAATGTCAGTGCAAAGCTGATGTAATCGATGAAATAAATAAAAGGCTTACAAGGAGGGCTGTGACGAGAGCTCATCCTTCTTCGCTTCTTCGGAGACTTCTGGCTCGTCGTCGTAGTCGAAACGATCCAGCAGCTTCTAAAAAGGAAGAGTTACGCTTGTGACAAATGCAGAAATGGTTCTGAATGTCTTAGAAAGTGCATTTAATCTATAGGACTGTGTATGTGAAACTTCTCCTTTTGAACTTCCACAATCACATTACGTAATGTAAAATCTCATACAGATACACCAATATTACACCATTGTGGGATCAATAAGGGAACAAGGGTGATGATGGTGGCGCTTTTCAAAAGTACTGTTACAGACTTGCAAAATAAAAAGCACCAATATTACAAGCAAATATCTGTATTTTTGCACACAATATGATAAGTCTGATATTAACATTATTTTGGTGGTTTTACATCATGGTCAAAATGATTTCATCATGTAGCTTCATGAGCTACTTTCAAGTTTCTACCATGCTTTTACACGCAACAAAGACTGAAACAAACAAACAAACAAAAAGCCACCTTGTCAAAAGCTGACTTCTGCTGGGTAGGTTGGGCGGGCAGGGGAGGTTGCGTGGCCCCCATGCCCAGGCCTGTGGCAACATTTTGAGGCTGTGTTTGAGTGGTGTGGAGAGGAAGCTGAGTGTTGGTATCAGGCTTCATCGGCTGCTGTTGAAAGTTCTGGAGCATCTGTTGAAGCTGAAAGAGTCAGAGAAGAGTCATTAGCGAGAGCCTACAGTGTGTGTACGAAGCAATTATACAACATCAACAACTGCGGTAGCAAAGAGAGGCCTCCTGAATGTGTGAACGCGCACCTGTTGACCCTGTGAGGACTGAAAGAGCTGCGCTACGGCAGCAAAGGCATCAGAGTTTTGCAGCTGAGCAGCAGGAGTAGTGGTGGAGTTTGCTGTTACCGCGGTAACTGGCTCTTTGGCTAGAGGTGGGGATAAACCTAAGGGTGGAAATACAGCATGTTAATAACAGAATCCCCCACTACTACAACCTCAGCAAACACTAATCAAATTATTGACATTATGTAATAAAAACCACAATTTCACATTTACATACTAAACATACAATCTAGTAACAACCCTCAAAAGTAAACAAATCCTGTTAAATAAACTTTCAGAGTCTATATAAATGTATGTAATAAGAATATCATGAACACACAGGAGTCAAAGCTACCCCGTGTATTAAATAGTACAAATTACCTGGCTCATCTGTGCCCATGTAAGGTGCAGCAGCACTGCCAGAAGCAGCAGCCATGTCCAAAAGAGGCTGAATGACCTCAATCTTAAACACCCCATTTTTCTGCCACAGGTTCAACACCCGCACAATCTTACTCTGTGAAGGGAAATAAAAAAGGTAAGTAAACAGATGAATGAGGTAGAGAAACAGAAAACTGATTGAAATGTAACAGTATTGAGATATTATGTATTTATATACCCTTTAAATTCAGATACACTTATCACGACAAAATTTCTAGAACTCGCTCAGTTCTTACCCTATCCTCGACTGGGCAAAGGCAGAGGTTCTCAAAGGTTCCTGTGATGTTTTTGGTGAACCTCGGGCCGAACACATCTTTGTCAGATCCAAACTGATGCCTCGACTGCCTTACAATGGAGTCCACCACATACAGGCCTGCTACCTTGTACTCAGGCTTACACTGGACAGAGCAAAAGGAGACACGCTTATGTTCATTTTATGTTTGGTGAGCCGAAACTGTGCGATAAGAACTGTGTTTTGGCAGGTTTGTTTCACCTTTTTGATGAACTTTTCCACAATCTGGACCACGTGTTTGTAGAGCTGATAAAGAAAGAGGCGAGCAGGTAAGTTATCAATCAAATATATTTCTGAAACATGAAAAACAGCTCTAACAGAATCAAGCTTACTTTCATAGCTTTGATGGCTGATTTGGTGATGGAGATCATCTTTGCTCGAGAGATCGGGGGCTTAGAGTCCATCAGTGAAAATAGCTAGAAACAGAGTGGGTATCAGATTAATTGAACTGAATTTGTTCATACAATATAGGTGATGGAGTTAAACATAGTCCCAATACAGAACATGAACTGGTGTACTGCAGTCAGAATTGACAGGTAGCAGTAGGAGTTGAATGTATGGCATCTAGTTTTATAGAAGCGCACAAAAATGTAGATATTAAGATACAACGAAAGCAGTACACAAATTTACACACCAGAATAACATATAATGTGAAACACAACAAGCTAATTAATGAGTACAGGCATAAGAGAGTCACGGTATAACAAAAAAAAAGAAGGTATTTCCTCAAGATTTTAATTCTTATAATTTCATAAACAGCTAAATGTCCAGTAATTCAAATATGGGACCATTGACTCTTAAGTATTGGGTTGATAACCCTTTATTATGTGGCAAAAGGCAATTAATGCATCTAATTCTTACTTATTAGTTGGTCACAATCTGTTAAAATTTTAGCATGCACAGTGTCCCAACTGGCAACTGATTCAGTACCTTAAAATGTCATACTTTTGACGTTAGGATTCAAGAGGCTGACACACTGTATGATAATAACTTCAACTGTATATCAGGCCTTGCTACAGCATGGTGCAAAGAGAGACAGGATAAATCTTATGAGGTTCATGACTGACTGATGCTGACGCTGCATCTAAAAGGCTGTGTTGGATATTGATTTCCTGTAATCTTATCAAAAAAGCCTGGCATCAGACTTGTAGATATCAGCGGTTTGAATGTGTGCTATTAATAAAGTGTCCAATGGCAGTATCCATGACATACTGTACATTCTGTCTCATTTGACCATAAAGAATGGTGGTTAACATTTATAAACAAATAAGCATGACTATACACTACAGCTGGGTTTTATTATTGAAGACGTAGTGGGTGGTGGAGGTGGACTGGAGTGTGCTGTATTGAGAGGTGTTCCTTATATTTTGTTCATCTATTAATAAACAGGAGGGACTCGAAATATCAAACCAGCTTTCTATAAAGTGCACCATCAACACCCACTACAACAGATACTATCAATTTGAATACAATTTATAGTAGACTTTATGTATTGGATTGCATTAGGTTGCCAATATGATTATGACCAGTCGGTGTATATGTAGTGGGACTAACTTGTGATACAAACACAGGTGTCTCTCCCTGCTGACAGCATCTAAAGAAACACGGTTTGTCGTCTTTACTGCTAGGAACATCGTATTTACAAGCTTGCAGGGCTGAAATATCCTAGTCACACTGATCTGGCTCGCTGTTTTGTTGCAGGAGCATCAAAACCATCACAAATGTTGATCCCATGCTCCCATCAGCTAACACCATCGTGAGTGTCTGAACTTCATGCAGCAGGAAGACTTCACTGTTGTGAATCTACTGTCTTTGGGTTAACCTGTTCTCTAGCATGAATCCGTATCTTTTGTTTGAGTTATAGCATGAAGGGTTGTTGCAAGTACTGCTCCAACACGCTAACTCAGCAAACTCAAAGCCTGGTACGATGGACAAGTCCAGCTAGCTAGGCCCACTGCCTGGTCCGTCCTGCTCAGCTAGCTCTTCAGTGTATCCCAGCACCATGACCAGCACCCCAGACTCGGTGTCTTCGGGGTGTCTGTGAGCCCTAACGACGGCTTACCTCGTGGTTAAAGGCGTTTACTGCGTCCATGATTGCTCAACGCTGCAGGTCGTCCCCTACACTCCCGGTTCCCCGCTCACAGCGATGTTTATTCAGGGAAGGGTCGGTTCAACATGTCCGCTCCCGGTAGCTAGCGACACTTAGCTTAGCATCGCTAGCTCTCGGGTCGGCGGGCACGGCAAAGCATGATGGGACCAAGGTCTGTCATTTTAGTATTTATCCACTAGATGGCGGGGTGTTTTCATTATTGGAAATATGTGTGGAAATGTATTGCCGTTTCCCTCCCAATTTTCAACTTATAAAATGGGACTTCACAGGGTCCTGCAAACAACATAGAACCAAAGTGCACAACTCCCACTGGTCTCACTCAAATCTAAACCAGTGGTTCTCAACTGATGGGTCCCGACCCAAAAGTGGGTCGCGGACACGTTCTGGATGGGTCAAAAAAGTATATTTAAAGGTCTTTCCACACCAGGACCGTATTTGTCGTGCAATTATTTCGAACGTCGATATTTTTTTTTAACACATCCTGTCAGTAGTTGTCATCATCAGTTCGTGTGCTCTAATATGCACTTTACTCAATAAAATAGGTGTGTTTCTGTCAAAGATTTGAGTCTTTAAAGGTTTTTTATATAAGAAGTAAATTTTTTTGGTTTGAATTATATAAAAGTGGGTTGCGACTTAAGGACCATGGGAAAATATGGGTCCCAGAGTGAGACCAGTTGAGAACCACTGGTCTAAACCACTATTTTACAAATTTCTAAACCCATAAATCTGTTTTGTTCAAGAGCCTGTTATTGCTCCATGCTCAACGTGTCTGTGTTACTTCAGGAATTTAATATATATGGCTATATATATATGAGTTTTGACAGGTCAATATGAGTAAGGCAACCTGGTGATCAAGGTGTTTCATTTCGAAGGCCAGTGCTGAAAGATAAACAAGTGTGCAAATGAATGCAATTTGTATTTACACACTAATTAGAAGATAATCAAGTGACAACAATGATTATAAAAAAAGCAAAATAAACTAAGTCTAGCAGCTTTAAGCTGCCAATTGATTATTATTTTGTTATGTTTTTATTATCATCATCTTTTTATATTTACTATCCTGTTTCCTGCTTTTACCCCCCTTTTTTCTTTCCTATTTTATGGTTTTATTTTGGTCCTCATGGTCTCATTTCATGTTTTGGAGTTCTTGTATTGTCTTGGTTCCTTATGACAAATTAAGAGCATGATCTAAAACAATTAGGCATGCAAGAGTTTTTAAAAAAATTAAATATATGGTGCAATTCATAAATTTAAAACCTCAAAGCATTTCTGCAATAGGTTATGTTCAATAAACACTTAACAGGTTTTTGCCTCCACATGACTGGTCTGTGTTCCCTGGTTTTAAGTTTGCTGGTAGGTTGCCAATACTTCTACATACCCAAAAATCTCTTTTTTGGTGTTCTACTTTATCAAAATACTGTTTAAATCTGATCAAAGTTGATATTTCTGGTGCTGGAGGATGGTGGAGGTTCTTGTAGTACATAAGAAGTCCAGTAGATGGTGGTATACTTACACTTTTGGTACCATGCCTGTGTGTCTGGTTTAGTGTCTAGAAAGCATGGTCCAGTAGGTAAACCAAGCTGTATGCCTGGATGTATTTTTCCACCCTTTTAATGGAACCATACCAGCACAGAACAAACAAAGCACACCTGTACATCAGGTCCATTCAATTGGACACAATAACTTAAAAAGAACCTGCATCATAAAGAATTTAATCAATATATTGACACAATAATAAATATAACAGAGTATGCACTGTTGGCATTCATTTGTTATCAATGACATGAAAAGGTGTTTTATTTTCATCAAGCCCTTGCTGGTTGACTGTGATGAAAATCTGTATGTAAAATTATATTAGGTCAGAATATAACCTGACCTGGGGCCAAAGACAAGATGATAGATTTGTCTCCAACTGTTGCCCCTCCCTTCAGGTGTCCTCCTTTGAGTTATGAACGACACGTTAATTAGGCCAGTGAACACCTCAATGAGTGGGGAGGGGGAGTTGCTTCTTTGTCTGCCACTGGTGTACTGAGGAGCAACTTTCTACTATTGGCAGAAACCCAAGTTCACCAACAACCCCACACAATGGAGAAAAAACGGCAATAAAATGACTGTAATGTGGAGGGTCTTATATGACAAATTCTCACAGTAACAGTTTATTTGTGATGGTGTACTGTCACTGTCAGCACACCTGTACTGTTGCTGTATGCAGCCCATGTAGAGAGATCATGTTTCTGCATGATGCACTGCATGAAGTAGCCTGAGCATTTGGATGCTTTACGCACGAATGTACCTGTCCATAAATCTATAAAGCAGACGTGCAGAAATTCCTTTGCAGTACTTTTAAAAACAATTGCCTGTGTGTAAATATTTGCGGTGAAACTGTCGCCATTTCTTTCCTCAGGGCTGTTAATATATTCTTTGTTCATGCCCGTGTACAATGTGAGCGCACCATGCGAAACAGCGGTACCGGGTGGAGTTGTCCCCCTTGTTCTCCCATGTGCTCCGCCCGCCTGCTCTGATTGGATTGTGAATTACCCCCTCTACATGCGACGGGCGGTGTGTGTGAATGTTTTTTTTCACCCAACCTCTCGGTAAGAAACGCCCACTCAGAGGGCCGGTAAAGTCAGTTCAAACTGAAAAACACGCTGCATGCGCGCAGACCTTTCAAGAGGACGTTGGTGTATGGAGAGGAAGGGCCACTGCGTTACAGCCTACCTCTGACTTGGCTTCATGTTTTTTTATTCAGAACTGTTCAGATAGGTTGCGTCAGGGACAAACTTCTCACGATCCACTGTGTCATTTTTAGTGTCATTTAAGTCTTAAGCTGGTACACCCACAAGTCTTGTCTCGGAACCTGCTGAGTGTGTTCCCTGGATGCTTTAGGTGAACAGGTGGCGTGAGCTCCGGTTCCCATAATTCTCTATTAGGGGCGAGACGCTTGGCAGAGCAGAGTTAACGCACTTTACCGGACATTAAGCATTTAATACCTGGCTCTAAGCTGGACAAGGGACGATCTGCGTAGGTGCCCTCCCTTGTTAAAAGGAGAAGATTTGACAAGGGAGCTGTGATGCCAGTAGCAGACAGCGACATGGTAGTGGACAACAGCCACGCGGTGCACGAGGGTAAAACCCCAAATAATAATGCAGGGAATGACAACATAACTTCGGCCTCCCTGAGCAGCCCTGCGGCGGACATCCTGAAAAACTTTTACCACACCAAGCGGGTCGGGAACTATCTGATCGGGCGAAAGCTTGGAGAAGGATCGTTCGCCAAAGTTCGAGAGGGTCTTCATGCCATGACAGGAGAGAAGGTAAGCAGAAACAGTTTGTTAAAATATATATATTAGAGTCTTTCTCTCGTTTTGGTAGGTTGCTTACATATATTGCAAACAGAAGTCTTTCCATTGGTATGTTTTGCATTAAGAAGAATCAAAGAAACTGCAGTTATCTAGATGATTGATGCCATTCAACACGCTCCCTGATTATTTTATTTTGATAGACCCTGGATGGTGTCAGCTGTTGCTGGGTTCATACCTCCACATGAAGAAGAAAAAACACCCTTTCTTCTATTATTATCATTATTATTGACACTCAAATCATGAAGACCTGAAAAGACCTAATCAGCTCTTGGCTTTCCATGAGAAAGTGATAAGCTTCGTTTGCATTTAGAGGCTTTGTTAATGAGCTCATGGACCATTACCAGCTGTTGGATCATGCTTTACGCACAGCAGGACCAAGCTTCTCTGTTATTATTATTTTTTCTTTGTGTGGGAGAGAAAGAGAGTCTGAGCTTCCTGTATTTTTCCAACACATGTGTGGGACCAGTGGTGTGTTTTTCTGATGAACCTCTGCTTTGTTTGCTGCTGCTGGGGGGTGAGCTCACAGCTCTGGGCGCGCAAGCCTGTGATAGGGGCAGAGGGAGAAATTGCCCGGCCTATGAGAGAGCTCAGCTGCTACTTGCATATGAAATCATGTCGTTGATAAATGGGCTCCAGTCTCATTAGGATTCTGCCAGCGCAGGGCTTTGCAATGGGCTTCCATTGGCCACTGGTTGCCTTTGTCTCTCCAGGCTTTTTTTCTGAGGGGCAGCCAGGGTATAACCATATACTGAAAAAAAAAACAAGAACCCCCCACTCTGCAGTGATTTCTATACATATATGTGATTATGTATAAGAGAATATGCACCAGAAAAATTAATAATTAGCATAATAAAGCATGTTTAACATAAGCTCATTCAGTGGACCCCCACCCATTCTTTGATAGAAAGCGCTCATCTACCCTTCCCTCACTGTCTTTGTTGAGGATGATGCAAACACTGGCAATCACATAACCAAGCACATCACATGGTCTCTCGCTCTTTACGCACTCTCTCTCTCTCTCTTATTCAATGTAACAGAGGGTCCATCATAAGGGAGGGGGGCAGTGAGTTTATTCAAGCAAAAGGGTAGTCAGGGGGAAAAGAAATGCGGGAGATCCTTTTTTAGCGTCATTAGAAAGTCATAGTGGATGCTGGGGAGTATGTGTGTGTTTGTGTGTGTGTGTGTGTGTGTGAGAGAGAAAGAGGCAGGGGGTTTGAAAGTGAGGAGAGGTGAGGTGGTGCTGTCATGGTCAGGGGGGCCACTGAGGTCATATGCATGTGTTTTTGATGTCTGTAACCCACTTTCCCCTTGATACCCCCCTCCACCTCCGCCCTTTTCTGTCTGAGGGGCGCCTGATAAACAACTGAACCCCCGCACTCAAAGTCCCCCCCGGCTGGGCAAACCCCTCCCCCTTCCATATACCCCCCACCACTCCACTCATATACACTAGCCTACTGTAAATACAGTGCCCCATCCCCCATACATACCCCGCACCCCCATTTCTTATCCTTACTGCCTGGCGTAAACAAGGGCCCATCCATTACTGTACTGACAGTCACACACACTCAAACTCACAGTTACACACACTCAAGAAAATACAGCCAGGTTTAATTAGTGGCTATAAAAGAGGTTTTCAGAGGTGAATCAATTATTGGAGATGAAAGGATGAAGGTAAAAAAAGAAAGACAACTGAAGGACAGAAGAAAGAGACCATGCACACACATAAACATGCGACCACTTCAGCCCTCACCATTTCATTAATGGATATGGTTATTAGCCTCACCGGTTGTGCCTTTCTATGTCTGTAGACTCTCCTTGAGATGATTTGCTGTAAATGGTGGCCATGCTCTTGAACTCAGTCTAGACTGGGATACAAGGATACAAGGAGACGAGCAAAGGATGAGATAGAATTTATGGGGACGTTATTGAATGTAATTAGCCATAAAGTGTTTGTCATGGAGGTAGAGGACATGTTCTGAGTCCTTTATGAGCAGATCGTGCAGGATTTTATCTCCATTTAGACAAGGACAGGGAGATACAGACAGGAGACGCTCGGATGAGTAATTAAATACAGAAAAAACTAAAAGCATCAGACAGGCAATCTGTTCTCCTCACTCTGTTGAATCTGCAGGCTCCTATTTTTCCCTCCTCAGTCTTGTTCCTACATTTGCTGCCTCTTTTCTTGTGTGTTTAGCTGTGACTGAACTCTGTGGCAAATGGGGGAAAACTGTGAGTCCATTTGGCCTTGGCGCCTTCTCAATAGACAGAGTAACATTTGCTTTTCCCCTAGTTTATGATGGTTCATTAACCCCTCCAACACACACTTACACACATCCCCCTTCTTGAAGCCGTAGGGCCCTATAGCGCCTGGGTTGCCCCACATTGGGAGCAGCTGTCAGGGAGAGGTCAGCGCCGCGTTTTACACCCTGCAATGGAAGCTGAGAAGCCCATCACCTGTTACACTTTAACTCTGAAAGGCTTTCACCTCAACACACGAGCGCATGGGGATTCCTCTCAATTTAGGCAGTCTTTAGCCGCAAAATTATGTTATTCTTACCCTTCCATCATCATCTACTTTGTCAATCTCTCCAGGTTGCAGTGAAGGTGATCGACAAGCGGAAGGCTAAGAAGGACTCATATGTGACCAAGAATCTGCGAAGGGAGGGTCACATCCAGCAAATGATCCGCCACCCCAACATCACGCAGCTTTTGGACATCCTGGAGACGGAGAACAGCTACTACCTGGTGATGGAGCTGTGTCCCGGCGGGAATCTCATGAACCGCATCTACGACAAGAAACGCCTGGACGAAAGGGAGACTCAGAAGTACATCCGACAGCTGGTGCTGGCTGTCGAGCACTTGCACAGGGCTGGCGTTGTGCACAGGTAAGAAAAAAAAAGGGTTTAAACATTTGAATAGGGCGGAGAAGGAAAAGAGAATTTCTGCCAGTTTGTGGCGTAAAGCTGACTTAAAGATTTCCGAGCCAGACAGGATCTTCCTTCTCCAAGTGTGGGTTAAACCCTTATTTTTCACAGTACTGGTAATCCAAAAATAAACATATCTGTCAGCTTTAAATGCAATGCCAATGTTTTAAAGAGTTTCCAAGAGAGCCGATAAGATTTTCTTCTAAACAAACAAGATTTAAACATCAATTTCTCTGCCCTCTGTACTGTTGGAAGCTGTTCCAGTGCATTTCTCTTCCAAATACCTTCATGTAATATAATCAAACCTTTGTTGTGATTTAAGGAAAGCACATAAGCTGCATCTCTTAATCATTTTTCACTGCATGGAAATATTCAATTCTTTGTCGCTTGGAGCCTGGGAACTAAATTTCTATCATAGTGAGATGGTCTGTGTAGACGACTGTATAACAGGATTTCCAAGACCAAAGAAGGATCTGGAGATGCACAAAAGAGGCTGAAAATCAGCCATTGTGACCCACATTGGGAGGGGTGAATGTTTGGGGGCTTCCAGTAAGGGAGGGGGGCTGACCTCTTCTTTTTGTGCAGTTTAAAGATGGTGACTGAGATAAGTAATCTGATGTAAATACTGACACTGACATTTAACCTGTTTTTTTTCTCTTTTGTGTCGCAGGGATCTGAAGATAGAAAACCTCCTGTTGGATGAGCAGGACAACATAAAGCTCATAGGTAACTCAAGAAGTCTTGTATTCTGAATTCTTAGACCTTTGAATACAACATCTCCCACAGTAAAAGCATGAATAGCATTAAAGCAGCTAATAATAAAGAGCTTTTCTTTTATTCCAGCTACTTTACACTAGAAATAAAAAGGTTTTCACAGCTGGAGTTAGACATACAGTGTCCCACATGTGGTGAGGGGTTAAGAGCCGTTAAATATGCTGTTAAAACCCTACAAGCTCTCACCATAGTGCTAATCTGCTTCTGTTTGTGTGTATAATACTGAGATGAGGCGACACAGTTCACAGGTTTGCTGAAAAGGCAGCAATAAACCCAGAAAAAAACACTCATTATCTCTCTTTCCCTGCAGACTTTGGCCTCAGTAACTGCGCCGGCATCCTGGGGTACTCAGACCCTTTCAGCACCCAGTGTGGAAGTCCTGCATATGCGGCCCCGGAGCTGCTCTCACGGAAGAAGTATGGACCAAAAGTGGATGTCTGGTCCATGTGAGTGAATTCTCTTTTTTAAATTGTTGTAAAAAAACAAACAAATTTTGATTTGTTAACATGTTTATTCAATGAGCTAAGCTGAAATGAGTATTATATTCTTCCAGTGGTGTAAACATGTACGCAATGTTGACCGGGACTCTGCCGTTCACCGTGGAGCCCTTCAGTCTCCGAGCGCTGCACCAGAAAATGGTGGACAAGGAGATGAACCCTCTACCTCCCTCTCTTTCCACAGGTAAATTCTTAAAGCACTAATGTACGCCTATGTGTAGGTTATTCAAAGACACCACAGCTTTTCTTTGTGGTTGAGAAAAAAACAAACATATCTCTCACCAGGCCCACTTGTACGCTTGCATAACAGCGCTATCATCCCTGAGGGTAAAACCGTATATCTTACAGCGTTAAAAGTACACTTGAACTCAATCAACATAGATTATTTTAACAACTGCATGTCGTAAAATGTGAAGTCTGTGACATTTCAACTGTTATGACACATCGTGTTGTCTTGCCAAGACAGGCAGACAAAAGGTCTATTCAAACTTATAGATTAAAGTAGATTAAACAGGAAAAGGTTCAGGGTTTGGAAAAGAAGTCAAGAGGAGCGAAAATACAAGTTTTACAGAGGATATGATGTGTGTCTTTATGATTCTGAATGTTTACAAAAGGGTTTTCAAGTCTTTAAAATACTGAAACCTGAAATATAACAAAAGTTTTTTTACTTAAATTGAAAATTTTCAGTGCAGCAATATTCATGCGTGTATTCATCATTCATCTGAAAACAGTAACTCTTCATAAATTGAGTTTTTCTCAGGGAGTAACGTGGCAGCTATGGCAGAAAGGAAATTTTATTAACTTGAAGATATTTGGGGCATGATAATTATAAAAAATATATATATATAAACACAACATAATAACAACAAATTTAGAATAAAAATTAAGTTTTAATTTGAGGATAAAAGGGTAATTAAAGAAAACTTATATAACATGTCATAAGGAAATGTTGGGCATGGTACGAGTCCAAACAAGTCTATCTACTGAACTGCCATCATGCGTTTGTTCATAATTGTTGACAGGCTTTGAATAACATTTCCAGAGAAGATGCTGGCACAATACCAAAAGATCTTATGACGATGAAATTTTCTCTCTGCCATAGATAAGAACCTCTGAAGAACTGATCTCTTTGTCATGGTGTACAAACATGGAAAATGCTCTGGCTCATTTCACCCATTTATCACATCACGGAATTGTAGTTAGTAGGTAGTTCTGCAGAAAAGCATAAGAAAATAAGAGAGAGAAAGTAGCATAGGTGTGTGTGTTCGCTTCACTGAAATTGGTGACGCTCATACCAGAGACGCTTCTCCGGAGCGAGTCACAACAGTGTCGCCCTAATGCACGCATACCCTAGTTATGTAACTGTTAATCAGGTTATTAACGCAGACATGTCATCTTATCTGTGCCGTGCATTTCACATAAGACAGAAGGTGGATGGGAGCCAGACTTGACGTCAAAAGGGATCTGTAGTTATGCTGTGACTGCTTATCCAAAAAAAAAAAAGATGTGGTTAAGTTTTGTGTAAGTTAGCAGAGTAATCAGGCGACTATTTCTCTCCAGTCCCACAGTTGTCAAACAAAAAAAAAAAAAGCAGGTGTATTTTTTCAGTGAACGACGCTTTATAATTATATGTTTCAGTTCCTTCATTATGCAATAAGCGTGTGTAAATGTCAGCGCTGGCACTGTATGAATATGTTTTCTCTCCCCCTCTGTTTCAGCTGCCATCTGTCTTCTGAAGAAGCTTCTTGAGCCAGATCCCAATAAACGTCCCAATATCCACCAGGTGATGGCTGATTCCTGGCTCCAGCTCGCCAACAAAAACACAGGAGCACCATACCTCAACAGGTTGGTAGTTTAGAATACTTGTATCATAACAAAGGAAGTTGTCAATTTTACTCTTGCGGAAAGATTGTGAAAAATTGAATCAAAATCACCACAAAGTTTAAATTTTTCATTTCTGTGTAAAGGATCCACATTGAAGAAATAAACCACACCGTGTTGCTGCATATGACAGAGAAGATGGGCTACAAGCACAGCGAGGTGCTGAGTGCCGTCCTCACCAACCGCGCCTGCCACACTCTGGCAGTCTACTTCCTCCTAAACAAGAAAATGAAGAGACTTTCTAAAGAATACAGGGTGAGTTGGCATTGGTAAAAAAAGGAGGTTAATCAGTTTCTAAATTTCTGCATCATTTAATTTTGTATTCCTGTAAAGCTGACAAAACGGGTTACCCATCAACATATTTGTATAATGCTTAAGCCTGTTGTAATGTGGCGTGTCCTGTGTGTGTGTTTGTTTTTTTAGGAGATGCAGTTCCAAGAAAATAAAAAGAAAGGCGAAAAGCAGAAGAGCGAATACTTCCAGACGCAGTGGAGAAAGCACGTAGACAAGCTCACCATCCCCCCCAAACAGACGCCTGTCTACCTGGCAGTCAGCAAGGGGCCAAGCAAGGAGAAGAAACACCGAACAGGTGAGGAGTCATACAGTGAAGTGGTTTTATTAGAAACACTGCGTTTTTTTCAAGAACCCCCTCTCATTGTGTGTGTTTCATTTACCTTTATCCATACAGGGTAGGTTGACTGAGCATGCTTGTTCTTGTACGGCAACGTCCTGATTTACATTAAAGTAGTAACCCAGTCATCCGTCCATCCAATCCCTCATCCCATCCTTCCATCCATCCTTCTGTTGTTTGTCTGTGCACCCATTCATCCATCTGAGAAGAAACCTCCTGGAAGAGTTACCAGCTATTTGAAGGGCTATTTTTTTTTTTATTTACCTTACTTTACCTGCTTACAGTCAGATTTAAATGACCTAGAAAGTTGAAGTAAGTATGTGGTGTAATACCCTTTGAAACCATATCTGTCACATCACACTACTCAATTTAGAGCTTTTAAGTGGCGAACAGGGACATAGAGGTAAATCTGAGGTCTAAGCTCCCTTACCCCTTCACAGTTAACTCCATCCTATTTGAGATCCTGCATGTCGGGACAGGATAGTCCTGTAGAGCTTAAAATCTAGAACAGAATGTCCTTGTGTCTTTACACCTCCCTGCTACATACTCTCAAATCATAATGTTTGCATGAGGTGTGCTTACACTGACATGGCATGTAGTATCTATATATATGGGCAGGCATTCAGCCAAGAATCCAGGCAAGCAGCAGTTCTTTACCATTCATTTTGATGTACCTGGAACTAGTCCAAAAACTGTCAAGTTTGAAAGACATTGAAGTTAAGTAGTACAGAAATGCTTATCTAACTCTTATTGCCTCCTCAGGTCTGTTGCGGGCAATCACAGGCGGCCATCGCAATTCACCCCTGGCACCACCCGGCACCGTTGCATCGTCGTCGATGGAGTACCTTGAGATCCATCCCCTCTTTCCCAACACCCCTCAGCAGCGGAGACGCCTGGCCACTCTCCCACAAGTCAACACTAGCCCAGAGCACAACATACCCGCTCCCCCAGCACCATCACCAATTGGCATGCATTCCTTCGGTTCCCTCTCCAAAGCCGAACAAATTGAAGACACCCCTGCTTCACCTTGGTACAAGCTGACCAACGGGACCCTGTCCCCACCTCGTCACGTCTCTGCCTTCCAGCCTGACTCTTCCTACCTGAAGAAGGCCACGATCCCCAGTCCTCCTGTCCTTATTGTTAACCCACAGCCCAAGAAAAGTCTCTCATCAGACTGGTGCGGTTCTTCTGACACCAGTGGTAGCCCCCCCAGTACTGTAGGAAGCCCCCCAGGAAGCTCGGCTTTCAGCCCCCCAAAGTCTGCCTTTAGTCCCCTCAACCCCACCTCAGCCTTCAGTCCTCCTTCAAACAACAGCAGTAGCAGCGATCCCGAGAGCCCAACACACCGTAGCAAGTTCCCCTCGATGGGTATCGGACAGATCTTAAAAAAGAAGGTCCAGCTGCAGCCGTTCAGCTTTCGACCAGAACAGGTCGTAGAAGAGGTGGTGTCCCCACCCCCCTACCCCATGCAGACTCTTCTCTGTGCTTCAGGTGCACTCAAGACCCTCTGCTGAGGGACCAAGGACAAAAGAAAATGAAAGAAAGACTCTAGGCCCCTTTCAACAATGTTGGGGAGGTCTTCCAGAGTGGCCTTTGGAACTGTGAACTGTCCCTTTATTGCAACTGAGCCACTTTTTATGGCCGACTTGTTCATTTAAAAAAAGAAAAAAGAAGAAATACAAAAGTGTTTCAGGATGAAATATCTCATGTCAATCCTCTCATTGTGTAATAAGAGGTGACGATACTGGGACAATGAGATTTGAAACAGATCCCTTAGCGATTACCTACTGTCACTGTGTCCTAGATACGGAGCAGACATAGGACATCGTGTAATATGGGCCTTGACGACAAGGTGTAAAAACACACACATACACGTAACACTGTATTATACACTGAGTGTAGAGATACTCTTATGTAATATTGCTGTAACTGGTTACTAATTGAGCCGCAAACTGATTCACACCAGCTAACAGACCCCAACCCTGACCCTGACTACATGTTAAATGTTTTGTGTCTGTATAAACTCTCTTAAAGAAACCCACTGACTTCCAGCCAGCTGGCACTGTATCCTCAACGCTGACTGGATGACCAAGCGCACTGCACTATTCTTAAAAAAACCAAAACCTATAGTAACAACGTTTACCATCTTTTACCTCACTGCATTATTCATGCATTAATGTATGTCAGCAGTCGAATGCGACATGCTTGTGTGGATTTTGCCACAGTGTAGCAGTGTGAGTGTTAGAAATCAACACACTGAAATAGAAGTAGGTACGAAGAATAGAGTCATACCCTCACTTTTTATAGCGTTCTCATAAAATATCACTCAACTCTGACAATAATTCAAAGCTATAACTTTTTATACACGTTACATCACCTCTTTAACCCACAGGGAAACTGTAAAAGTCTTACTTAGGGAGGATATGCCTGTTCATTGTCAGTTTTGGTAAAAAAAGAAAGATATAAAAAAAAAAGCATCGAAAGCCTTATGAAACTGATAGACCTCGCCAATAGCTGAGGGCAAGAAGGCGCCAAGAAGTGCTACCAGTATCACGAAACGCCCATGAAAATAGTTCACTTCCTTTTGTCTTAATGCTGTAGTTTGTGCAATAGTCTTAAATGTTAACTGCAATGAAGAGTATTTGCCAAGCACTCTCTAAGAGTGATGTGAAAATTGTGCTTGTATATAACAGTTCGACTCTTGTGTTAATGTCCCGTATGCCGTCCTGTACAAAGGGATTCCAAAATGTTTGTTGAACTGACATTTTTCGCGTCTAATGTCATCATGAAACGATTTGACTCTAGGGACCCGCAGGCACAAGAGGCTTCTCGCTGTTAAAAATCCGTAGAATCTCTTCCTGTCCAAATGAAAAAGTTGCATGCAATGTTTCACGAGTCAAACTTGTACTGTGAACATTTAAAATTTTATGTATTTGTACCTTTTTTCTGGTTGATACTGAGATTGATACAGACTCGGGGGTCTTTTGTAAGATTTTGTAATGGATGGTTTTGTTTGAGTGTTAAGAGATTTCTATGCTGTACAAAGTATTTTAAATATTTATACTAAATCCATTATGTGTCTGTCTGCTCTTTCAAATGGGTTTGTCTGGTTTCATCTATGCACATCATATTCTTTTCAACTTATTTAATGGCAGACAAAATACAGAATTAATGCACTTTATACACTTGAATTAAGCAATAAATCCACAATCATCTGCAAATTTCAACATTCGAGTTAATTTATGTGAAATTCAAACAGAGCTGGAGGCATTTATTCCAAGAGCTCTTAGCGCCAGGAGGACTTTATGAATGCTGTCTTCTCACTAAGGGGAGAGTGTACGCTACTTTACAGGCTCAATGTGCCACTTGTCTCACATACCATAAACATTTCCCACAAGGCACCTGTGGCGGGTAAAAAAAATACCCTTGGAACAGCTGAAGGATCCTTAGGTCTGATACACCCACACATATACTATGACACTCCCTCCACTCACACATACACACTGTAGACACTAATCCACTCAGCTGTGGCCCCCATCATAAACCTCTTTGGGTGACACTGGCCTGACGAGACAAAGAAGGGGGCTCACCAGGGCTCTGAGACAAACACACACAGGACAACACAAACAAGGCCGCGCGATTAAATCGGCGTGGCTAAGCTGATAAAAGCCGAGGGGCAAGAGTGGCTCTGAAATGCATTAGAGCCAGAGCCTTTTGTTTATCAAAGACGAGCGGACAGTTAGTCAGACTCCCCGGGCGGTCCAAGGAGAAAAACATGAATACTTTGGCTTAACTACAGCACTGAGCGAAAGGATGGCGTGCACCACATGGCATTTACAGGTATTACCTGTATTGTTTAGTGCGGCTCTAGCGACACCTGTGAGAGGTGTGTGCAAACAGAATATTTAGTTTGTGATTAATTTATTTCTTACAACCAAACAGTGAAGTGAGGCGTGGTGTTAGGCGTACTAGTGCCAGATTTGGTAACTCTTTAACAGAATTATCTTTATGGAAGTCCTTAACAGACACACACTCTGTACATGTTCCTGGTTTCTTAGTTCTTCATGATCATTGTATCCCCCAAGTTGCATAAGCACAAAGCAAATGGAGATTTAGGATTAATTATGTCATTAGTGTGGACAATGGCAGAAACACATGGACTGGCCAGCAACAGTGGCAGCCTATTAGGGCTGTGGTCAACCACAGAATAACACGGTGGACTAAGATAACGCTCATTCACCAACAAATATATTAGTCAGTAGTAGCCGAAATGAACATAGGAACAAACATAACAAACTTTTTGCAGCATAAATCATAATTTTTAACTTTTAACTACCAAATGATTTGGAATGCAATCAGTGTAAACCAGCAAAAATGTTTTATTATTAATGAAATAAAAAAAAGATGATCATCAGTGTAAATGAAGCATGAGCATGTAAATGAGTACCGTTATCCAATTACTTAAACTGTCAAAATATCCAGCAGTCTGTCAGATGGATGACGGCTCTCCTAATAAGCACACTTTTGATCTGTTATTCAGCGAAAGGTTCACATGCACATTCAACCGCACTCTTCTTGTGCTCCGCATTACACTCCATTGCACTTCATTTTTCGGCTTTTTCACAGCTGTTTAATTTCTCTGCAGCGTTCCGTTTTTCCAAATAAAGGCATCATAACTTTTGAAAGTAACAGGTGTGATTGTCCAACCAATGGCGAGAGCTCACCAACTGATCGAACAAGCGAACTGGAGGATGTCAGCCCCACAATCTTTTTGTTTTTATCAAAATCTAAATTTCTAAATCAACAAAAAAACTACTTGGTTATCATGAAAAACAATATTGCTAACTGGAGATAAAGCAGGCATGTGACTGGCACCAGACAGAAAAAGTAGAAAGTGTCTGCCGTCTGGTTAGTGGATGGCTGGTGTTGTATTGTTGCATTGTTGTATTAAAACCTAACACTTCTCACTGATGGCAGCTCTAAACAACCTGGCATACACTGAGCAGCAAAATTTTTGGTTATCAAGGAAACATCAGGGTTTATTCTGTTTTCTCAGTAGGCTATTGTGAATATAATTCACTTCTACACTAAGGTAAATCACCATGGTAACCTATGCTGATCACCTTCCTTGCTCCAGGGCAGGTCATGTTCAGGATAAGAGATTAGTTTGCTGGAAACTCTTTGTACTGACTGATCAATACTCCTGATCATAGAGCTCTGTGAACTGATCAAGACAGAGGAAGAAGAGAGAAGAACAAGACCCTTTCTCAACCTCTTAGAGTCCATGGGAATAATTTCACTTAAGTTATTGGTAGTGGTTTAGTGCATACTTCACTAGATGTACAATATGACAATCTGCTGTCAGTGATTTCTGTTTCATTTGAATCCAGATCTTGTATGTTTGGGATTTTCTATAAAATAAGTGCTTTTGATAAAGCAACTTTGTCCCTGTCAAAATTTCAGGTTTTCACTGAGTTCACTCATTTTCGAAGATTTGATGGAAAGAGTAGCACACTGATGAATAATGGAAGTAAAAGAACAGGTTGGCACCAGCATTAATTTGCTTTTTCAAAAGGTTCTTAATACAGTGAAGAGTTCTTGATCCTTGAAATATTGAGAGGCATTAAGAAAAGGAAATCATCCTGATGAGATAAAGACAAAAACACGATTTTCCTAGATGTTCAGATTATTTCAAGTTAATCTGTTTGTAAACAGGGCAGGCCACAGCGATGCGCCTGTGATAAACAAACATCTGCTCCTCAGTCCCAGCAGGGGTTAAATTTTTGGGGTAGCGGAGATCATATTAGAGGGAATTTTGTTATTGTGAATTACGTAGTCTGAAACCATATTAATCAGTTATAGTTTTATGATCATCTTACTATCTACTGAAACCTCACAGTCTTTGTACAAACTCAAACAAACTGTAAGGGAAATTATCTGAAAAGTCGATGTGTCATACTTAAAAGAAATACGGAATTACAAGACACCTTTTTGTGAGAATATGAAAAGGACAAAATTTGCTGTAACAAGGACTGCTGCTCTAGTATTGGAATTTGTAAACACTCATCATAAACTCTTAACCACCTGTCTTTGTCCACATAAAAATCATGTATTTCTTTTATTTTTATTATTGTTAAATATGAGGTCAAACTGACCATTTACCCTCCAGTAGGTCTTAATATCTGTCAATCTGTTCAGGCTTAGATCCTGATGACACTAATCCTGTTTTCAGCTCCCTTCTCATCACATATACGCACACACACACTCACACCAGGGTGTCACTGGCAACGGGACAGGCCTTTGTGTCTGAGAAAAACAGACGATTAACCTGCTGTTGCTGCACAGTGACGGACTCCAGGGATGTGCATACGCAGACACACTTACAAACACACACACACATGCACAAATGTGCAGTCAGGTTCACAACCTGACAAACCAGCATTGCTTTCCTCGGCAACAGAGGTAGAAGAGGAGACAGTGAGAGACACTGAGACAACCTGACAGACACAGGCGTACACAAAGATGTGAGGGGGGAAATAAACAAGCAGATGTTTCTAATGAAGCAAGAGGCTTTGAGCACTCTGAGGGGATTTGGGTTGGATGTGTCTGTTGCTGGCCGGCCGTCCTGTTCCACCTCAGACACTGATGAAGGTGATTAATGAAACAAGGAGACTGCGGTGGGGTAGCATGGGTTTCATGCTGTTGCCTTAGAGATGCGCACAATGAAACAAAACTGGGATCATTTTCAAGGTCTCACATCCACTGATTCCTGAGATTAATTTTGGAAGAGTGATCCCTCAGATGGCCGAGGGTGGCAACTGACCTGCCGTCCAATTAGAGCAATTTAATGACACAGTTGAGTCCAGACTGTCTGAATGGCTGCAGGTTCAAAAGACTTTGGTGGGAAACAAAACGTTTAACAGGAAGTCAGAAGTATCGCTGGGCTCTGCGCAACAGAAATGTCCTGATTTCTTTATGTGTTTGGTTCATTTAAATTTAGTTTTCTCATATTTAAAGATTAATAAAGATGCAGTATTTTTTATAATGGCATGCAAATAAACTAAAACATCATACTTGAATCAACTGTTGCTGAAATGAGACATGCCCAGCATAGATTAAATATGAATGTGAAGGAAACTGTGGAAAATCAAGCCTTACGCCTGCACAGTCTTAAACATGTTGTGAGCAACTGGTGGGGTGTGTCTCTTTTGTCAGGGGGAAAAACCCCAAAATATGAAGAGAAAGCTGAACTTGCTATGAATTACAGAAACAATGAAAAAGTGCAAAAAACGATCTAACCTTTTTTCTTTTCTTTCTAATTCATAAAACCCTTAAATATGTAAATCAGGCTGCACAAAGTGACAGTAAAAAGACTTTCCTCATTGTTCCCTGCAGTACAGAAAAAAGCAGCTCTTGATTTAGCTCTTCTTAACTCCTGAAACAGAAGCATTTCCCTCCTGTCAAAGTAAATCTTTTCGTTTCATAGGAAAAAACAAACATATTTTGTAAGTTGGCACACAGGTGGCACTCCTTGAGTTATTTTCTCTCTCAAAAACAAGATCAGAAATCCAATCAAAGAACGGAGCTCAGCCAATAGCATTTCAGTGTCTGTGGCAACAGCAGCATCAGATCAGGCTGCCATTGGTGCAATGTTTCACACAGGCAAGGCTGTAATTGGCCGATAGCGCGCTGAGGCTTCATTGCCTCCATGGCAACATTGCTTCCTTATTGCTTGGGGAAGGTGAAAAAGGAGGGAAAGAGGGGAGGCGACTCTCACTCAGACACTACCTCTGCATTATTCATCCTTTGTCCCTGAGTGCTCGTAGAAAGTGTGTGTAAATGCACTGGCTGATGCGTGCATGAGTGTGTGTGTGTTTGTATGTGTTTCAGTGTTGGTCTTGATGATTGGTTGGGACTTGGGGGGGTGAACGGGGGTGAAACCGGTGCAATAATTGCACTCAGCGGTGCAATGCATCAAGCAATATCACATCTGCGTATACAAGAGATAAATGAGTTCAGAGGCCATTCATGATGACACTCACTTTGAACACAGGTGTCAATCTTTGAGCTTGTTTACCATCATAAAATCACAAATAAACATATAAACAAACGCAGACTGATTCTCTGTCACAGCAGCACACATCTGGACTGAGGACCGGCCGGCATCATCTTGCATCATCCTCCCTCTTTGCTAATATTATGCAGACACCCCAACCTAAAATACTACTACACCAACAATAACAACAACACAACAACACAACAGGGACAACTAAAACCACGCGGCTTGTTTGTTGTTGTTTTGAATTTTTTTTTTCCCGGCAGTAAAGGGAGGGGGAGGGAGGAAAGAGGGGACAGGGTGGGGTTAGCAGGGAGAAAAACATCACACAGAGATTAGGGTGGGGGTTCATTCAGGACTCCTCCCCCGTGTGTGTGTCTGAGCATGAGCAAGGGGGGGTAACGTCTGTTGACAGGCGTGCCGGCCAGCGAGCTGGATGGCTGTTCTTCTGGCGGTGAACACGGTGACGAGATGGCAACAGGCACTCAGCATAGCACGTGCTCTCAGTTGCCATCGCAACCTGCCCTTGGATACAGCGTGCTGGTTGGCCGTTTCTAACTGTTGTTGTTCTGTGTGCGGCTGATGAAACCTCGTGGATGAGGGAGGGCAAGCGGTACAGCATGGAGCTGATTTCCCGCCTTGGTAGAAAGTGTTGCTAGGCACATTAGGGGTCAGTTGATAAATAAACACTAATCCCCCCACCCAAAAAAAAGGATCTGAAACTTACTGTTTGTTAAATCCATGCGATACTTCTAATGAGTAAACGGGATCAGCCTCTGATCCAAACAATCTGACTGCACCAAGTCAAAAAACAAAAACATTTACAGAGATTATTCCGGCTGTTTTAAGTGCTCTGACATGATTTAATCCTTGATTTCAAACTGACAGAATCAATAATGATTTTCAAGATGTATCTGTGTGTTGTCAACACTTGAATACTTTATTTCACACGAAAAAAACAGCTTTAAAACCACAAATGTACACAAAAACAGGGGACAACAAGATAATAATGCGAACAATTGATGTCTACTTGTGTTAAGATCGCTGCAAAAATGTGTCATTGGCATAGAGAGCACAGAGATTTATCAATCCTTTAAGGCTACATGCCTGAGGAAGAGAACAAAGAAGAGATGTTTCTGTATATGTGTGTGTGTTTGTGTGTGTATGTGTGTGTGGCCTTGAGGGCCCGATCAATACTGCATTGTGCTGAGTTTGCAGCTTGCCTGATGAAATGCTGCCCAAATAAACATTCTGCTCCTAGCCCACACTCGCCCCGCACCGACACACACAGAGAAGATGGTGCCACGAGTCACGAGGAGTCGAGCTGACAACATGATTGATTACAAGTGCAGGCGCTCTTTGTTTCACCGCCGGTAACCGGGACAAAGCGGGACTGAGAGCTGAGTGTGAGTGTGTGCAGGTGAGATCGGGCAAAACCTGTTACTGGATGAATGTGTCTGAGATGAAACCCAGACAAGGATGCGTTAAGGTAAAGGTAGAAACACAGACAGAGGATATTAAACCCTTCTGTTCAACACCTGGATGCAGCACCCACCCTGACGAGCTGACACCCATCACTGTCACACCTCCTCACATCCCTCCTGAAGGCCGAGTTCGATCTCCTCCAGCCTCTGCGCCATGGACAACACCAGCATTTTCATCTAAGGAGGGAGGGAGGATAGGGGAGGGGAGGTCACGGTGAGGATGAGAAGATGAACAGCAGTACAGAAAAGTGAGGATTGGAAAAGGGTTCGTACGAAGAAGCAGAAACAGGGAAGTAGAAAATGGACAGGTGGGAAATGAAGGGAGCAGCAGGAAGCAGTGAGGAGGAAAGAAAGGAGGGGTACACATAATTGGAAAAAAGGGAGGGAGGAAAGAGAGGGAGAACGATGAAACCCAAAGGGGAAGTGGTCAGGGATGGATGGGTATGAAGTGGGGAGAGAGTGGGGGAGGGAGGGGTGGGGTAGACAGGTCAGTGAGTGTACAAGACAAAAAAACCCAAACAAGTGTCTACCAGTCAGTCAGACATTCAGACAGACAGACAGAATACATTAAGGATGGCGGCGGGGTGACGAGTACCTCCGTCAGATCCAGTAAAGCTGAGGACAAGGGCACCTCTTAAGTGCCAGACAGAGTATCACATAAAATTTTAATACAGGTGATGACTCCTGAGTTATAGTAACAGGAAACAACAACTTCAGCTGCACTACTTTGAGGAATTTTTCATCTCAGACAATAAGTCAGAATGCACTTAAAATTCATTATCTCACTGCATTAAATCAACAAGTATATTCCTTATTATTCACACATCTTAAAAACTGTCAGTAAATAACCTTACTCTTAAAAAGGTATCAGAAGCATCCTGAAATCTTAACAAGGCAGTACCAGACTCATAGGTGATCAGTCATCTGCCTCAATCCACATAAAAAGTTAAAAAGTGTTTTGATTCAGGTAAGCTTTAGATTTTAAAAAGATTCACATATAGTTAAAAGATAATGTTAAATATTATGATGTATCCAAGACTAACTTTTCTTTTTTTTCCCCTTTTTTTCAAGTTTGGCACTTTGGCCAAACCTTTGTATATGGGCTGTGCAGTTGAACTGCTGAGCTAAACCTTCACTGTTAAAGTGGTCGAGGTGACAGGCACTTTGACAACGAGCTACAATCCAGAAAAACCGGTTGCTATACTTTCTCACTCCATATTTGAATCACTAAGATCTAATCATATATAGTTATTACAATAGAAATATTTCAAAGCTCCCAAAGAAAAACAAACCACTAGTCACTGGTACATCTAGGCCTTCCCACTGAGAAAGCAAACATTTTCATCACATTTCTTTTTGCTGTAGACATTTTGTTGTTGAGAACTGGCAGCAAATTCCTCTCAAATGTTGCCAGTAGCATCCTGGCAACTGTTGCTGCCCTGATTTTGTGAGACAAAATGATACTATAGTAAAATAGGAAAACAGCTTTGGGCCTGCAGAGCTGATGGAAAGATATTAAAGCAGAAGCTTTCACTTAATAATGCCAACAGACATACAATAAAGAACATTTAAATCTCGACTCACTCATCATTCTGTTATCATCTTGATACAATGGGCCAATCACTATACATCAATGACTGATGGATACTGCTCAGCCACCTACAATTGATACAATCAGTGTGCAGCTAAAATTAGATTAATCTTCAAAAACGAGGATTGACACTGAAACAGCTGAGGTGGATTTATGTGTTAACCTACATATTAACCAATATGAGGTAAGCCTGATTTTTTATAATGTTATGTCCTTACACAGCCTTTCTTTCCCAGAAGAGTGAAGCAACTAAATTACAATAGAAATGTGAGCTTGAGTTCCTGAGCTGAACCTAAGAGTTTATTTAAGTTGCTGGTTTAGTAGGTCATATATATAAAGCACAAGGGTACATATAATTACCTGTCAGCACGAGATGTCTTTCCTGTTACTTGGATAGGTGCCAAGTTATAAAAACAATGGTGGCATGGTACAAAATGTACATACAAACTGATATGAACTCTCCATAATGACCCAGAAGTACACTCAATGTTCTTTTGCTCACTCAATGTTCTTGTTTTGTCTCATTTAGGTGGGACAATGTGTTTCTGGAATATACAGTTGCATAGTTAGGCAATGGATCAAAGTGTCACCTGCAGCCCATTTATGGATCATTGCCAAGTAAAACTGAATGCCATAGACTCACCCAAATACAGTGACAAAGACACTTTATGATCAAAACATGTTTTCCCCACACAAAGATTCCTGAACATGCTCCAATCACAGCTATTGTCCTCGGTGCAAGAGTGTGGGAGGGTTGCAGGTGCTCCTGCGCACTAGCACCACCTACTGTCCAATTGGTGTACTTAATGGATTTTCAAACAAAGGGTGATTAAGAACTTTTGGCATCACTGATGGGTTCAAGTGATGTGAAAATACCCACGTTTTTTTTAAAATACCTTTTAAACATAAATCTGACAAGCAGTAAATCAAATGAATCATAAAGTTGTGGAAAAAATTGCATAACTGTTTTGAATTTTACGACTACAATTTAAAGATGACACACTTTTCAAGTTTCATATGGGCTGAAAGGAATTAAAAATGAATAAACCTGAAGGGTACAAAAAAGAGAGATGAGGTAATGTCTGATACAAACGTCTGACGGTCACAGGAGAAAGGGCTTCCCAGCACTGAGCTGATGTCATCACAAGAACAACCTGTGCATTGGTAATCAATGAGCGAGAGCTGCTCTGACGCACTGTGAGAGCACTGTGAGCAAGACAACACAGCACAGAGAACACTCTGCTACAGCATAAAATGTGCTGGATAGATCTAGACTTTTATAAAAAAAATGTTTCTAAATAACTCCTTAAAATGCAAATGTGAACTTCATACCTGTATGTGGAGGTAGAGTCATGGTTACACTTTGCAATGAACTGTAGAGAATTCATTTTGCACAGAGGAAACCTTTGTTTAATCTCACAGTAACACACTATGAGAGAAAAGGGACAAAGAAAAGCAGCAGTAATAAATTACCTCTGTCAGCTTTTGTTCCACATTGCCCTTGTACTCCATAGTGACTAGCTGCTCTTTGGGGCCCTCTGCTGTCAACTGCTGTTTCGCAGAGCCCAGGACATAACTGGAGAAAATCACACAGGGATAAGAGGATGCTTTATGCAGATATGAGGGCAACATATAATAAACATATGCTGTAAAAAATAATAAATTTTGATACAAGTTTTGCCACCATGCCATTAAATTGTACACGTAATTTCTTAATGTGTCTTTCATACTCTAATGCCAAATATATAAACACAATGAGCAGACAATGTCAATGGGATTTAATGTCCATGGCAAACAACATGCTGCCTCCAGGGAAAATGCACATGCAGTTTTTCTTTTTTTCTTGTCTGAGTAACATTGTAGGTGTGCAATATTTCATCAAATTACGCAGACATGTTTTGACCTCTACACTTCCTCTTAGAGTCTTAACAAATTACAGTTTCACCAAAGTGAGTGTATCCCCTGAAAAATCCAGCTGTGCAGGCCGAGTGTGACAGCAATTATTTATTTATTTTGTAAGTTCTCAGTGTGTTGTGGGAAGCAGTGTATATGCTAATCAAAAGAGAGCAGCAGAGCCTGTGTCCCTTGATGTAAGATTACACATTATGTGCTACAAGGACAGTAAACACAGAAGGTCTCATTCTCACTGTTTGAAAAATGGAAAGAAATCATACTAAAGAGGTTCACAAACTATATCCTGTCAGTCGTTTAAAAAAATCTACTTTAGATCATTTAAAATTTGGTCAGGATGGGCTTAAAATTGCTTACTTTTCAGACATGAATCATAAAAAAATGATGATTTTCTGAAACAACTACAGCAAATTCTGTCTGTATGGGAACTTTACACATCACCTTTAAGTAAATAGGTGAGCTGTTCTTTCGTAAGAGTGCACTTTAAATCTTTGTTGTACTTGGAAGTCTTATCCACGTCAACATTCTTGTTTCATGCATTGTACTTGGCACAGGTTGCCCAAAATGTGCACACAGATTAAACCTGACAAGTAAGGTATTTCCTAATAGCACAGCTAACCTAGTTGAACTGGCTACTTGCAAAACAGTCTTTAAAATAAAAATGAAAACGAATGGTGTGAGTCAGACTGCGATCCTGCCATCAAAACCCCGAATAATAATGTGTTGTTGGCTATATTGCTCCCCCCTAACTAATAATCCAGGCTGTACACACACCTGTCAATGTCTGCTACGTTAAAACAGAAGGTGAATCTCTTGTGGTCCAGGTTCTTTGGCGTGGATGAATAAACCATGCCAAGAGCAGAGCGACATCCTCGACAGACAAGATCCACGACTAGACTGCAGAGAGAAATAATTAAAAAAATTAGATGAGCTTGTCTGAAATGAGAATATGTACAAAAATAACTGTCATGTGGCACTTTTCTTTATAGAAATAGACTTGAATACTTCATTTTCTACTGCATGCAGAGTCTTCATACCAGGTAGCTCGTTTTCCAACTTCATGCAGGCGATTCTCTTTCCCAACAACAACATTTTCAGTGACCCCTAAGACCAAAAACATCACAAACATGTCAGCTTTTATGTATTCATTATGTAATTTAAAAGCCGTATTTTCTTAATGTCCTAAATTGAATATAAACGATTCAACCAATGTCTTTGCTGTGTAATGAAAACCTCTAACAGCCACAGTGCTCAATAGTAACATAAACAGAGAGGGTCCAACCAAATCTGCTACAGTATATTATCACAGGTTACAGAAAACTGTTAGTGGCATTATTGACGTTGTTGAAGGAGTTATCTTCTCTCTGACTAGTCAGAAAGTGCACAAAAAGAACTCACGGCTCAGTCTAACTTGGTTTTCCCCATCTTCACTCCCATCCCACGACAGTGAATCCCCAACAGGTAGCTTGCACTTCCCGCAGATGAACACCACAGGTCCGTCGTCCCCTTCCTCCTCTTCCACCCGGCCGAATAGCTTCTCCTCCACGGCGCTAGAATCTACATTGGAAGCGTCAAATGTGGCGTTTATAGGCTTTATTTGATGTTTAATCAAGTTTTCTCTCGCTGCCATCTTAAAACGGTTTCAAACTTAAGGCGGGTGGTTTACAGTTTCCGGCCGAGGCAAGATGTCACGGCCTATGTACTTCCGCTTTCGTTTATAAGAGAAGCCCCCTAACAACTGTTGAGTGTTTTATTTCTGTCTCAGCGAATTTTCTAATATTTAAATACGGGTAAATGTACGACTGAAAGTCGTATCACGCTTCATTTATGTGGTTATAATTCATTAGTTATTCGGAATTTCTGCTCTAAGGGAGGCGGTTACATTTTTTTGAGACGAGCTGACATGAACTGTCTTGACCTGATTTATATCTTTGGAAACGTAGCGACATTGCGACCCAGAAATACTAATTTTTATTTTATTTTATTTTTACATTTTTACCTCCATTATTTAACTTGTTATATTTTTATTCATCATACAATATTAGTTGACTTTTTAATTTCTTCATAAAAAAAAAAAAAATACTCGTTCTTACGACAAAATGTTAGCTGCGTCCGAATTGCCAAGTAGTAGTCGAAGTAGAAGTCGAAGTAGTATCTAGCATGTCCGAATTGGCCACCGGAGCGAGTAGCATGCTACTTCAGATACTACTTCAGATGCTAGACACGCCCACATTGTGGGTTGGTCTCGGTGCATCCTACGGGCATGCTACTGACCCAAAATGCACCACGGGCTTCTTCTTCGTCCTCTTAAAAGTTGTAGAAGCGCATGTGATGCTAGCGCCACCAGCTGCTCTGCCTATTTAAATGTATCGCGAACGCCGGCTGGCCACAACAGCGCGCACCATGTCGCGGGACCGCAGCAGTACAGATGTAAGTTTCATGTAACTTCACACACTGTCCTAAAAAATGTGCGGTTGTATCTCTTTGTCATGTCATGGTGTCATATTTGCCCAAGTAATCATTTTATGAGCAAATATGTGGCGACATCATGGAGGTAAAGCTCACTTATTCCATCATTAAACTGCACAGCTGCAGTACTACAGCCAGGCCCGCAGATGAGGGGCTTCAGTTACCACTGTCTGCACGGGCGCAGTACCTACTCTCTGCCTGCGGGGGTCGTCTTTCCCCACCGCTCGTCTAGTGTGTCCGAATTGGGCCAACGTGTTTAGTATGTAGGAGTAGGATCTAGCAGTAGCACGTAGCAGTAGCATGTAGTATCCGAGCGGGCAGTTCGGACGCAGCACTCGTCCGTCTTGCAATTGGCTGGTAACCCGGAAGTTATTGGAATTAATAATGAAGGCGCCAATTCCGCTCAACAACAAAACGAAAACACATCCTTTTTCTTGTGGGTTGTAGGATTCACTTCGAGTTTTAAGTGGCTTACTTCGTGTTATCCTCCTGTCTTATCGACATGTGTGAAAAGATAAACAAGGTAACCTTATTTGTCTTCCTGACCCCGTTTTAATGTGAATGCAGTGACTGACTTCTCTGTTCGTCCTGTGTTTTCATGTCTCTGGTCAGGTGAACAGCTGGCTCAGCACGGTGTTTGGAGATCAGCCGGTGCCACACTTCGAGGTCAACACCAGAACAGTGGAGATTTTGTACCAGCTGTCACAGTCCAGCGAGGCCAGGTGTAGTGATACAGGTCTGCTGATAGAGGACCTCAAACAGAAAGCAGCAGAGTATCAGGCTGAGGGTAAGAGAGAGGAAGCGGTTATTATGCTCATATTTGGGCAGGACTACATTCAGATTTGATTTTCTTTTGCTGAGATTTTACCTGTTCATTTTTAAGTGCAATATCCTTTTAAAGTAATGATGACAAAATGTATGATATTGAGATCTAAGTTGTAAAGTGTTCAGTGTTGGGTCTGATTGTGACTCATTTTTACCAAATACAGACTAACGCAGCTCATACAGCAGACTCAGCTCTGAAAACTGAATAAAACTGCATTTTCATGCTGTATTTTCTCTGTTCAGATGCTCATGTCCGGGATGTTCTTCTACAAGGTGTTGGCCTGTCCTGTGGAAGTTTGTCAAAGTCTGCTTCTGACTATGTGTCTGCTCTGGTGGACTCTGCCATGGTGCTCGGAGTCAGGGACACATCATTGGGCAGGTAAATTATTGATCCACTGTCTGAATAGCATTTCTTTATCAGTTATAATTCTTTTTAACTTTCTGTAACTGTCTTGTCTAGCTTTATGCCAGCAGTGAACAACCTCACAAACGAACTTCTGGAAGCAGAGAAGTCAAACAGGACACTCGAGCGTGAACTCAAAGCCCTCAGAAAGAGACTTGGAGCTACTCTGGTGCTGCGGAGGAACTTACAAGAGTAAGAGCGTGGATGACTCTGACATGTTGATTTAGCCGTTACATAGACTGCTGCATACAGTACACTTTATATGCAATAAATACTCTCTATTGTCTTTAGGGACATCAACAAAACAGTGAGATCTCAGGCAGTGGAGAGCGCTAAAGCAGAGGAACGACTCCTCAACATGGACTTTGTTGCTGCAAAGGCTAAAGAGCTCAGCAACAGACGAGAGAGGGCAGAGGTACAAACTGAGTGATTCATGTTTCATCTGTCGCAGCTGCGCTTTGCAAATGAATGTGGACATTAAGGTGCAAATACATTACACCAGGGTGTTATCACAGGGAATGAGGAAACAGGACACACTTCAGTGCAGGCCTTTTAAACTTGTGGCTGTGGGGTGAATATTGCCCCTTTTAAATTTTCTGTGGCCTGCAAGAGACTGTCTCCTCATCAGGCTGGAGTGTCTGCAGTATTATAGTGACTAATGCTGAGGTCGAGAACATCTGCTGGCCCTGCTCCTTTGGCCCCACTCACACACAAATTTATGCCGACTAATAATTTATGCCATTTGTACATAATGTTATTTGGTAACGTCAGTGTCATTGGTTTTGATAGTTTTGATACCTCACATAATCAGCCACAGGTTTCCTCTTCGTATGGTTCAACTGCTGTTAAAACAATAATGTTTTTAGCATTAGATTATGGTGCTGATGGAGAAATATAAATCCTGAGGAAGGCATGGAAAGCGAGGGGATGATGTTGGTGTGTGTATGAAAAGAGGGGAGGTGTAGTGTGAGGAGGGGGCAGATAAATTTTAACAAAGCCTGCAAAATATTTGTTTTTCTGTAACCGAGGGGTAAACATAGTGCTTTACAAACTTCCTAAACGTGTACATGGAAAGTCCAAAACAATTCAGCGTTTCTTCTTCAAGACTTTTCATTTGGCATAGATTTTAGTGCCCCCCTGTGGACAGAGTGGTGCTTCTTATCCTTTTAATTTTTTTTTTTATTACCTCTTATCTCATTTTGATGTCTTATCTCTCAACAACCTCATATTTTTTTTTGTGGAAAATTTCACCACAGGATCCTTCAGCAGGGTGCTGTTATTGCCTTCCCTAACACTGACACTAAAATCCACTGTACAGCAATAATCTGTCCTCTTTCTGATGGTTCGATTTGTAGGTCATATCAAAGCATCAATATGAAATTCTATCTGTTTCATGAACCGTGAGAAACTCCACACTGGAGCTTAATCAGAGATAGGCTGTAGTTTTGACCGGGGTAAAGTGTGGGCATCATGTTTCTGCTCCAGGTTAAGGGCACTGAGCCGATGCTGTGGACAGGGCCAACAGTTAACGCCCTGCTATTGTCGGGAAGGACCAGATTTTCTAAATACACACAGCTACAGCAGCCAAAGTGACGCTCGGTCATGGAGCTTGTGAGTCCGATTCATTCTCCATTTATCTCTCCTGCAGGCTCAACTTCAATCCAGGCACATGGACAAGTCACTCACACACCAGGCTATTGTGCAGCTCTCGGAGGTAACCCCAGCTGTTATACATGCAACACATATGAAAAGGGAAATCTCTTCTTTCAGGCACTTACCCTTATTTTTCCTCGCTGTAGGAAGTCACAGCGCTAAAACAGGAAATAATCCCCTTGCAGAAGAAACTGGAGCCTTACATGGACTTAAGCCCAGTATGTCTGAGTTCACTTTTCTCTTATAGCAGTTGATTCAATATTGTCATATATGTGTATCTTTTTATTTCATTTATCAGGATTTAGATTTAAGTTCATGTGTGACTCTGTCTTTAGGTTTGGTTGAAAAAATTTTAGATTCAATTTTATGTTTCGTTGCATATGAATTTAATTATTTTTTCAACCTCCTGAATCTCCAGAGTCCATCACTTGCGCAAGTAAAAATAGAGGAAGCAAAAAGAGAGTTGGTGAGTATCAAAAAGTTCATTTCATCATAGATTAAATGTGTTTGCACATTTCCTCGCTTGAATACGTGTTTGTTTTCTCACTTACAGGCTGCAATTGATTCTCAGCTGGAGATGAACGTGGACTTCAAATGAGATGTCAGTGATATAAAAAAAATCTCCCGTTTCAAACTGTATATTTTCTGTCACTTATTGAAAATCTAATAAAGCATTGTAACTTATTCTTTGTCTCTAGTTTGTGATTCGAATTAAGCGTTATTATCTGCAAACTTTAGTCTTATAATTTTGTTGAATTTGCTCAAAGGAAAATCAATTGCTGCGATCATTTTTGCAATTTAAAATAGTTTCTTCACCAATAACCCACTTAAACCCACTTAACACTTTTAAAAATACTCCAAGTGGGTAAAACTCTTTCTCTAGACTCTGCTGACTAGGTAGGCCCAACTAGGGCACTGGCTTATGTAGGGATGACATGCAGTTCTGCTCACACAAATACACAGCATTTTTATTTACCATTTCTGTCTCCATAAGTCACACTTTAAGCACTGACAAGGTATAAAACTTTTCAACTTTTCAGCCAGTTGCAACCCCGTCTAAACAGTTAATTCCAACATAAGCTCTGCCTTGGACAAATAAACTATCCAGTTATAATTTAGGCTTTTAGAGTAGCCAATCAAGTTTCAGCGATATCCCTGGATCCACCCTTGTCTCTATAGACTGGATGTTTGTATTCAGTCACTCCTAGCTGAGCTTTAAAAGTGAACTTCATTATTCAAAGTTTATGATCAGTTAAAGTCCCACTCAAGAAAGTGATGTAAATCAGATCTTTCCTTCCTTAGGCAGGACTTTTTCCCTTTATCTGCTTCTGTTCCTGTTTGTCTCTAAACATCATTAGAAGCTGATCAAATGTTTTGTCTTGACTCCAAAGTCTGTGCAGCCAAATTAACAGCTTGTGAGCCCAGTTTGACCAAGTTCTTACAACACCGAATTCCTCTTTTATCAAGTTTGTCTGCACGGCACAAAAACAAACTGCCTGCAAAGACACAGAAACAGTTTCATTTGAACAGCTTGGAGTAAAGTCCCAAAAAGGCATATATTTGAACATTATGTTGACCTTAATATGTAAGACAAGGGCTGGTCTCAAAAGGCATTTCTTTGTTTCAATAAAAAACATAGCATTCTCACTTACACTTCTGCATATTTCTGAAATTTTCTCACTATACCTTCACATATGAATCTAATCCTGTTCTGAGTACTTTTCCCAGGGGCAATTATCACTTGCTTTTTAACTTACATGGTTGGATCTTGTCTTAAAAACATTTTCTGTGTTTGACAACAAAATTCCACAGGCTTTGGAGGGATAACAAGACATGAAAGGAGGTTTAGAGCCACTCCCTGGGTGCCTAAAGCTAAAGTGCAGAGAATGGAAACAAACTAGGGGGCCTGTAGTCCAGTTTGTATGCAAAATATCACCCCTCAGTTCCTCCCCCTGCCACTTCTCCCCCATTTAGAGCAAAGCATGGAGACCCCAGCGTTTCTGTCAGTTTGACTGTTGTAGGTCTGCGCTGCAGTTTGACATGTAGATTGACTGGTTACCATGGAGTGGGTCATGGATGTGGGCTGGGGAGCAGTTTACCCAGTAGGCCTCTTGATTCATTCAAAGGCACCATGGTAAGTGCATCAAGTGTTTATGAAAGGAAACAGAATCAAAATATCATTCCCTGAAACTTGATCTCTGTTGGCTAAAAAACAAACAAAGAAGAAGAAAAAAATACCCACTACTGAAGTCACAGACGCACAGAGCCCACACAGAGCTGCATTAACTTGAGTTAAATATTTTTGACAATTTTCAAATGTCTCCAAATCTTTCCCTTATTACTGTCATAAGTACAGTGACTTAAAGGGATATTCTGGCATAAATTAATTTAGGGTCAAACACACCGCAACACTGAGTTAGATGCCCCCTCGAGAGACGAATGTTGCCGACCGCTTGCCTATCTAGTTATACCAATTTCAGTAACGACCACACAATAGCAAAACAGAGAGCCACACGCTCAACCAAAACGCCACTCTATAGCCACAAATAATCCTCAAAACAGCTCCTAACTTCATCAACAGTACATATAGGGTCCTAGCCACAGCACTAGCCACCAAACATCTTTTTAGTTTTGTCTAATTTCTTTAGCAAAGAGACTAAACACAACTCACCGTCTCTCTTCCGGCAGCTGCTTGTTTGTACGGGGACCTCCGGGCAAGTCCATCGACTGCAGCGGGGTGACGCACCTCAAGGAAGAACATGTGTGATCATTACCTTATCATTTGAAGTACTAATCATCATATTAATCATTTTGCATTGCAGACGCGGTGGTTCTTTTTCCTAAGCGTCTCTGTCAGACTGCATTTCCATGAAGTAAGGTCTCCATACAAACAAGCGGCTGCTGGAAGAGAGACAGTGAGTTGTGTTTAGTCTCTTTGCTAAAGAAATCAGACAAAGCAAAAAAATGTTTGGTGGCTAGTGCTGTGGCTGGGACCCTATATAGACTGTTGATGAAGTTAGGTGCTGTTCTGAGCATTATTTGTGGCTATAGAGTGGCTTTTTTGGTTGAGCACGTGGCTCTGTGTATTGCTATCTGTGGTCGTTACTAAAGTTGGTATAACTGGAGAAGCAAGCGGTCAGCAACGTTCATCTCTCGAAGGGGTGTCTAACTCGGTGTTAAGGTGTGTTTGACCCTAAATTAATGTTACGCTGGAACATCCCTTTAACTAAAGGACCCAGCTTATAGGGTCTCAGCCGTTGTGGCCTGCGTAGACAGGTCTGAACCTAGATGGTCTACCTTTTGGAGAAGCGCGTGCTTCCATCTTTACCCTGACGATTGTCTCACATTGAACACCTCTTGTTGTGGGTACATTGTATACATTCTATATGCAATGTATTATGTAAACAGGAAAATTACTCTGCAAACCCAAGACTGATTTTTTTTGTAATCCTAGTTCTGTGTAAAATTTTCCCCCCAACCCTTTGTTTGTGTTTTGGCTTCATGGGTAGCAGTGGAGGTGTGTCATCCACATTTACATAAAGCCAATGTTGCACACATAGGCTACTTCATGCCACCCTACAATAATTGGCCCACCCAAGATGAGCAACCACTATCAAAAAAAGTATGGACGCACCCCCGGTCCACGAATGAGCAATATGGAATGAAACATTTAACGGTGTAAAAGGGAAAAAAACGCCTTGTAAAACTTTCCAGTTCGTGGCAAAGCTAGGGTTGATGGTGATAGAGGAGGAACAGTGAAAGGAAAAAACACGGACCTTTCACAGGAACAGCGTTTTCCCATAATCCAAAAGGTAAACATGTGCCTCATGAGTAGAAAAAATAAAAGGTCCTGACAGTGCGTCATACCATTGAGTGTAGCCCCCCTCTGTTCCCTTTAAAATAGTTTTATCAGCCACGCCCACCCCCATAATTCCCACTCAGCTGTTACTGTAGACGCTTTCAGTTTCCACATGCGTTTTATTCACAAATCTCAGGGGTTGAGTCTGACCGGGAGGATCTCATGCGTCGCTTTGAATCACCTCGTGTGTCACTTTTGAACAACTTGTTGCGCAGCTGCTATTTCCAGCCTCCTCCTCTGTGGTCCAGTACTCCATGAGCGGGAGCTGCCGCGGTGAGCTACGTCGGTGATATTCTCTGTGGAATAAGACAGATGAAAAAAGCGGTGCCACATGGAGACCAAGCTTGAATCATTGCACCTATCTGATTGGGTTTTCATGAAGTCCTGCTGCCTCCGAGTGTCTCTGATATGATCCAAGAGACAGGGGATGCGAGTCATGAGCCGGACGCGTCCTTACCCTGGACTAGACTGGAGCCAGAGTCTCTTTTACCTCACTTTGCTTCTGTGGACCAGGCGCATGAGTGGACTGGCTGATTTTTCAAGTAAGATGATGATGGTGATGGTGGTGAGGCAGCTGGAAACAGAGGATATAATCAAATCGTTTTAGGTCCTCATGTGTAGATTGAGGCTACATTCTTATAAGTAGTTTATTAATAGCTTCATTGAAACATATGTTGACATATCATGACTGGTGTGGTAGATAAGGCGGGTCTTGTCTCTTTTACAGTGCCAGTGTTCCTAAAATAATAGCCATCTGTCCTTAAGTCTTAATGCTGTGTGGGGCTATGGGTAAAGCAGGAGTTGTTTTGATATCAATACAGTATTTAGAATCTGTATTAACCTGCAATAGTAGGGGAGAGTGGGGTAAGTTGAGCCAAAGGGTAAGTTGAGCCAGCCCCTGTTGCTTGGAAACGGTAAAAGAAATTAATCATGTGACCGAATATTTAGGAGATGGGCATCAATTCATGGATTTTGTGAAGGTTGGAAGCACATGGGTAATAGTGATGGGCACGGCGGTTCTTTTAGATGTACTGAATCACTAGAATCAGCTCACTACAAGGATTCGTTCAAAAGATTTGTTCACCAAATCACCAAATCATTTAGTGTTTGACTGTGTTGCTTTGGCAAACAGGTTTGTAACAATGAATGTTTGTGAGTCATGATGTTTTAAGTGTACTGTCCTATGGTATGCTATTTATAAGGTCTGGGCTCAATGAGTGATTCGTTCACTGAACGTTTAGAAGAATTTAAAAATGAACATGCACCGTTCCGTCGCAAACCGCTGCAATGATAGGATGCTGCGGGTTTAATGCACTACTTGTTACATGCTGTGTCCTGTTGTATGCAAGTTGTTGTGGTGGCAATTTAGCAGAAAAAAAAAAAAGTTAGTTTTGTCAGACAAAAATGATTCCAGAGAGTGTAGTTCAATGCGTGATTCGTTCACTAAGTGATTCAGTTTGCCGGCTATTCGACTGGCAATGCTGTTTCTTACTATAGATCAACTGAAGTGAGAAACAAATGAATCACTCGGGGAAGGGATTCGGTTCAGTGCGTTCACTTCAAAGATTCAGTTCTTTTGAACGAATCGTTTGTGAACGACAAAGCACTAGTGGGTGAAGAGGTTAGACATTTATTTCCGAAAATACAAATTTTTACTCTTGATAGTGAATTTAGTCTGTTAGCCAGACTAAATGTCTGTCATTTAGTCTGACTCAACTAACCCTACTCCTATGGTCAACTTACCCCAGACATGGGGTAAGTTGACCATAGGGGACCACTTTTTTTGGCATGCTATATTATCAAGACAGTTATGTTTACACTCATTCTGTTGGTTTGCAGGGATGCACAACATCTTGAAATATATGCAGATAGACTTGTTAGAGACAAAACTATGACTGCCTTGATGTAGTGATCCGAAATATGAAAAATGGCTCATTTTACCCCACTCTCCCCTACCCAAAATGCAGCATTGGCAAGTTTGGCAATCATTTGTCAACTGGTAAAAAGAAATAGTGAGGTACTAACAGGGAGCAGTTTGTTAATTGGAGCCAACAAATCAGTGTACTTTCAGAAAAAAAGACCATGTAGACAGCAACTTGGTACCGGGCCGATCTCAGGTTTAGTTTTTAACTTAGTAGTGGTTGGATCTTACTCACGAAACCACCCTATTCTGAGTTTAAGGTCAGTCATTAGCTGAAGCAAAAGGTTTGCTTATAATTCTCCAAACTCTCCATGCAAATTGGTAAATGGACTTGTTTCCACCCAGCACTTTTCCAGTCCTCTGACCACTCAAAGTGCATTATCATTGCATGCCAAATTCGCCCATCAACACCAGGTTCACAAACTCATGGCAGAGGATGCTTCTGAAGAGGCCCTCCAGTGTTAACCAGTTTCATTCGCACAGTCACACACCACTGACTAGCTATTTAAGTTGTAGTGCCTTGTTCAATGGCACTTTGGCATGTGACTGTGGGAGCTGGGATCAATCCACCAAACTTCCAACTGAGAGATGCCTGACCCCACCACTGAGCCACAGCCAACCACTCCATTTAGTTTATTTCAATCACCTGTAAATTGTCTTTAATACGAACAATGCAAAGATGTTAAGACAAAAGACTTGGACTGAGAAGTAACTTGATAACATGAATGCAGCCATGTAACAGAAGTAGACCCTGTAAGGTTAATACTAGTTGGCAGAGTTTGCCACCCAAGAAAGAGGTCTGGCAGTCGACACTTTGATGGGAAAGTTTTCAAAGCAACATGAGACGAGAGTCCAAAAGAAGCCAAACAAACTTAATCTGAAATCACAGAAACAAAAAAAGAAAAAAAATTTAAACAAAAATCAGCGACATTGCTCCTTAAAGTGCTCTCTTGTCGTCCCCGTGGTTGTACATGGTATTAATGTTGATTTAAAGGGGAACTCCAGCAGTATTGTTCTGCACTTACATAAAGGGCCAACACTGGAGCCCAGAGTTTCCATAACACAGCTTTAAAGCATCTAACACTGCCTGTTCAACACAGAAAACTTCTCTTGACAAGGTGAAAAATGAGCAGAATGCCCCTTTAATCCCCCTGTATGTTTTTATGGTTTTAAAGTCCAACCATTGTCTTATAACCCAACAGACTACCTGTCTAGAATCATCACCAGCCACTCTGCTCAGGCGTGTGACGGACAGCCTCTGCGACTTCACTGTCCTCGCCACTCCACCATCTCCATCCAGTCTGCGTTTTATGGAAGGGGTGAGGCGCGGCTGTGCAGGACAGACCCTCCACACAGAACCCACAACTACAGCTGCTCTGCTTTTACTGCTCTACAGGTTCATTTTACTGTGTGATATACAACATGTTTCACTCTCACTTGGCCTGTTGAGTGTTGGGTGGGGTTCACCAGGTTTAGCAGATTTTTTTGAGAAATGTTCACAAGTGAGGGTTTTGGTCGTCCGATAATCCCAACAGCTGTTTAGCCAGTTTATACTTGGTTCATTTTGCAACTTATTGATTTGGTTTGTTGTGAATGTCCCTGGTCTATGCTGTGCAGAAGCTGCTGTCAGAGTGTCAGAGTCACAGAGATTGTCAGCTGCCTGTCAACCACCTGCTGTTTGGGAAGGACCCCTGCCCTGGTATGACCAAATACCTCCATGTGGACTATAAGTGTAAACCAAGTGAGTTCAGCAGCTCATCGTCATCATCATCATTTCCTCACACTCCTGAATACTTTTCTTTTAAATGTAATTGTGTAACAACAAAATGCCTCACAGAAATCTCCCCCCCTTCCTGCCTAATCCAAACGTCTGAGCTCCTTTTACATCATCGCCACACTGACTGTTTTTCCTCTCACTCAGCTGAACACAAAAGAAAAGTGGTGTGTGAGGGGGAGACCCTGGTCCTTCGCTGTAAGCCCCCCAAGGCTCTTGTCATCTATGCAGCTGTCTATGGGAGAAGTTTGGGTCAGAGCGACACCTGCCCTTCACATCTGACAAGACCACCCCCGTTTGGTGAGTCAGTGGTATATTCTGTGTTTTCAGGTGCTGACAAACGGATGTGTTCCTTCATGGTGTAAGGGAAAAAGAAAAGTTGTAATTTTAGCTTGGCTAATAAAGGTTCCAATATTGTTATAGTTCAAACATCATAAACAATCATTTAGAGACTGTAGTCTAACTTAAGAAAACCATGTTAAGTTTAAGCATCTGCATTTTAAAGCTCCTGTGAGGAACTTAAGATTGTGTTGATTTTGACACACCCTAACAAAGGAAGCATGATACACACGTATAAAAATCCTGTTTTTGGATACAGATATGTCCCCCTGCTTTATTTAAAATGTCAAATGTATCACTTATATACAGTGGCCGAGAACCGGCTGCAAATAAAAAAAGAAACAGTACAGATTAAAAAAAAGCCACAATGGAAGTTAATGACACAAAAAAGTGGCAATGCAAAAAAAAAAAAAAAAAAAAAAGTTACTTTCTGCCAAAATAAAAGGATGCAAAAAAAAAGAAAAAAAAAAAGCCACAAGAGAAGTGAGCTGCCGGGGACCAGTCATGATGATGCACCAGTGCTTTATTTAGTTTATAAAGAAGCATCAGTATCATATTCGGTCTGTTAGAGTCAAACCAACAAATTAATCACAGGAGCTTTAACTCGGATAATTACTACAATGATGAAGTTTATCTTCTTTAACATTGTAGGTTTTAAAAAATCTAAGCATGTAAACCACTCAAAAAGTAGTTACACATGGCTGAATAGCTTAGTTTTAAAGCAACTAATATTTAGATTAACTCAGTGGTCAGTAAACAGGGTAAATGCACATTGCTTACATTGTGTTTTATGGTGGACTTATTTGTTCAGATTTATTAAAGCTCCTGTGAGGAGTTTTCTGGCATTTATGAAATTGACCGAAATTATAACTTTTTTTTTGTGACATTGAAGTGCAAAAAAGGACCATCAGTGTGTTTACTGATGATTTTCATATCATAGTTTTTCCTTCTTAAAACCAGTGAGAGGTGGTAGGTGCCATCAAAATTTTACAATTTCTATGTGAAGGATTCACAATAAATGACATATTTGACTGTCAAAGGTCAACCAGATATGATTTTTTTTTTCAGGAGGCTGTCAAAATATGCTGAGGACAACATGAGCAAAGACTGCTTTGAACCATTTTCGTATATGATAGACTGATAACAATATTTTTACCATCACATGTAAGCCCCTCTCTACTTCTGGGCAAATGTTGCCTGAATAAAAAAAAAGATGCAAGCAGAGATGTACATTAGGCTATTTCTAATGAATGTACTCTGGTATCTTCAACATGACAAAGCACAGGTGTAGCTTATTACATAATTAATTGCTACATTCTATTCGAGTCAGCCCCTGCCATCGTTAAAATTACTGAAAACACCTGTTATTTTCCTGGTATGACTGCTATGTCTGCTGCAAAAAAGGCCCATTCAGATAATCTGGTACAAAAGCAAGAATCTGCTGTAATTTGTCAGGAAGTATTTCCAGATTTTTTTTTAAATAATGACACATTCAGGACAAGGTCCCTTAGACTGCAAGTATGTTTAGATAGCTGTTGTTTGGTAGGCTGCCAGAGTTGTGTAGTTAATCTACAACCATCAAAACACTGCAACTATTCAGTGATCTCAGTCCCACAGCTGAGTGAGTATTCCACACACACACTCACTCACACACTCAATCACTAACTCTTTGCTCATCCCCACAGAGTGCCTGAACCACGAGGCTGTACATTTGGTGTCCAAGTCCTGCTACAGCAAACAGAAGTGTGCCGTTGCTGTCAGCAACCAAACCTTTAGGGACCCCTGCTTTCCAGGAACCAGGAAGTACCTCAGTGTGGTCTATTCTTGTGGTACGACTCTTTCTGCTTCCTCGTTCACAAGATAAATCAGAGAGAGGTTCCCAAAATAAGAACAGGCTGACATGACAGCAGACAGCTTCAAAAACATGCCTGTTTTTGTTTTTGTTTAGTGTTTCATTAATTATGCAATATTTCTCTCAGGGAACATTTAGTTTTCTACAATGTGTTTTTATCTGCTAATCTCAGCCATCAGTTGCTCAAATCAAATCACACCCAACAGCGCAGTGGCTGGGGAATAACAGACCATGAGATCAGATTTGTGATTTATGGTTCACATCCTGGTTAACTTCCTATGATTGGCACAAATGCCAGTGAGGTCATTCAGCAACATTGTTCATGTATCAAAGTTTGGAGATCTGACCTCAGGCTGGTGTTGATAGGATTCTTCTGACTGAATCTGTTGGCTTCATTTAGCACAAAACAGTCTGTGTTAGCCCTGTACACCCGTAACAATCAACACAATTGGACACAAATTATTCATACTTTGAGAATGTCATCCATTGTGGGCTCAGGTTGGCAGAGGTTTGGATATGGGAAGTGGCATGCTGGTGATTTATTTAATGTCGATTTAGTCATACATACTAACTCACCAAGTGTTAGGGCCTGTGTCCACTAACAGTGTTCCTGTATTTACACTGCGCAAAACCTCAATTTCCTTAATTTTTTTCATCTGTCCGGGTTTTGTTTTACAACCTGGGTTCCTGGTGACACATTTATGCTATTTAACTTTTTCAAATCGGTCTGATTTGAGCATAATGCTAGGAATTGGTGCATTTGTAAAAGGGGCTTTACCCTCTGCATCAGCATTTTTACTTTCAGGAGCGTACTTGGAGTACGCTCCTGAAAGTTTGGATTAGCCTGACACCACATAAATGCTCATTTTTCCACAGAAGTAAAATGACAATCCACTCTATCTGTCCTCCAATAGTGCCACAGACTTTACTGAGGGAGGCAGACCCTTACATTTTCAGATCCACCACATCTCCTACTGAGGGCACTGTAAAAGGTACCACACTATCTTTTCCTCTGGTCTTTCACTGTAGAAATTTATAGAAAATAAAAATAATTATTCTGTTTCATAAGCCCCTCCTGCAGATTTAGGAGAGCCTTTTGCCAAAGGTTCAAGAAGACCAGAAAATTCAGGAGCTATGATGAGTGACTCTCTCCTGACGTACGCCTATATCAAAGGTAATTAATTGAAATTATTTACATACATACTGTCAGGCGTGCACACCTGAAACTTGTTTCATACATCTCCTCCCTTCATTTCCTTCAAAGAGCACCCAGAGATGACTGCACTGCTCTTCACCTCCAGCGTATGTGTCGGTCTCCTCTTCACACTACTGGCCGTGTCGATCCGTGTGACCTGCAGGGGGCGCCGGGTTAAGGATCACAGACTCGCACCAAAGTCTGCTAACAATACTGCAAACTGTCAAGGTGAGGATGGTGATGAGAATGATGATGATGAAGACACAGAGGATGATGAAGAGGGCACAGAGAGCTCATTGATCTCAGCGACTGACAGGAAGGCGATACTCGACTGGGAGGAAGTGACGTATGTGAGCGAGGCGGCCGAACGAGCAGAAAGGATTGAGCGCAGAGAGATGATCATGCAGGAGATATGGATGAATTCATATCTGAACGGCAGCTCGTGTTGACTAAAACTGTCACCCATGGGTGCTTTTCAGGACCTTCAGGATTAATTCAGGACTTTGCAGAGGAGCCTTGGACCACCTTGAAACTTTTTGCTGTTGTAAAGCAGTTTGTATTGCAAGAGCGCACAGTTTTTAAAGAATGCTAAGGTAATTTTTGTGTGAAACCGCAGTGCCAGCTATTTGTCAACAGGGTTTACAGCTATAAAATGGGTTTCTATTGATCCTGCAATTGTTTGAAAGTTGTATGTTTTTACATTGACCAACAAATAAGCTCAGATTTAAAGTTGAAAGAATGTTTACTACCACAAAATCATAAAATCACTGGACTTAAGGAACCTGCTCTGCTGCCATATACATTGAAGTTAAGGTAATTATATTGTATTTCATTAAAGTTTAGTTTTATTTATGTATATCACACATTAATGTCAAAAACCACTTGCATTAAAAGGGCGAGAATTATCAGAAAGAGTGGAAGACGGGAGATTTCTCTTCCAGGCTGGACAGATATGCAATGAATAGATGATTCAACGACAGGCAGAAACTATGTGGATAAAATCAGGATGACAATTATGAAATGTACATAAATGAAGAAAGCTGATCTTTAAGGATCTATGTCCAGTACAGAGAAACTCGGATGAAAAGAAAGATAAGGGAAATAAAGGGTACATGGACTCAAACGACAAAGAATAAGCCACTGACTGGAAATACAGATGTAAAGATGATTTATGAAGTTTGCACTAAAGGGCCTCAACACAGTTGGGTTGTTTGGTTATGTGATGTCAGCAAGAGTTCATTTTAGAGACTAAGTGGACTAAGTTGAAGTTCAGATTCCAGTGTTAGAGGGAAAAACAGGAGCGCCGACATCACAAGGAAGCTTATGAACGAGAAGTTGATCCGACACGATGAATGAAATCCACATTATGAATTAATGTTTTTGAAAACATCCATATTGAGTCTATATAAAAGATTTCCTGACTACATAAACTGATAAGGATTCATTTCTTCCTGAATAGAAGTGAAGTCAAAACACCTTTACAATGGGCTGGTGATGTTATGGGGAGCCAGAATATGACAAAGTATTAGGGCATCTAATAAGATTTTGAAGATGACGTTATGTTGCAAGAATAAAGTGGTGATAAAGTCATAGTTGTGGTTTACAGTGAGCATGAGGGACATGAAGCATCTTGTGAAATTGTCAGCACCACGTTGTTACAAGTATCAGGACTGTAATGTACTTGATAAAGAATTGTTGTTTGAATGAGCACATCCTTGCATACAGGATGTTTTTGGTAACTAAGTGTTCCTTGATCCCGGCCACCCCTCTCTGAATCACTGAATTGGCTCTTAAAGCCTGTGCTGTGCTCACATTTCAACTATCCAGTGAAGGTAACACTCTCACTCTGAACTTTACTGCTTCCCCATCCCTGCTGGGACAAGAGCTGGAACAACCATCTACTTTGTGGCAACTTCCTGCAGCTGAAGCTCTGACTTTTAAGAGGTGTGTGTGTGTGTGTGTCACTGATTGGAGACAAAGAGAGGAAAGGTGTAGCATCCTTGTCCCTGTACACTGATGGATATTACACTATGTTCCAGATGAATCACTACCTCTATGACCCGGTTGAATGTTCACCCATCATTGATATTAAATGGATGAACACGGCATAAACACAGGCTACGTTGGGAACAATAGATTCAGATCAAACTAACCTTCAACTTCTTTGCACAGCTTTAAAAATAGAAATGTAAAAAAAAAAAAGATACATTAAAGGGATACAGGAGTCAAATTAAAGTTGAAATAAATCAGCAGTTATGCTCAATCATATAATCTGTTTTCTTCACATTTCAGTTCAGGGAAAAGAACAGCGACTGTCTAGAAACAAGGCATATGAATTCATCTGTAAATATTATTCTCTGGCAAACTTCAAATAAAACCAGCAGTCATCTGATTTCACAATTTTGGTAAGGCATCTTTTTGCCCCATGTGTTGCATATAACTCTCATTTGTGGTGGTGTCTTCATCTCGGTCCCCATTTGATGTTAGTGAGTCCTTGAAACTGTTTTTTAAGGGCCTGCCTGTCTGACCACTCTGAGTCCATGTAGCTGTCATCGTCTGCCTCCTCCAGTTTCTGAAAAATTTCAGTCAGAGAAGATTAGACAGGCGCATCCAACACAAACAGGAACATGTTGAAGACATATAATTAAAAAAGAATACACAGTTGGGGTCACCTTGAGCTCCTCCTGCCTCCTGTAGTAATGCATCATCATCTGTTTGTGCTGTTCATCAGTGACAAGAGGCTCTCTCGCTGGTGCCCCATGTCCTTTCTAAAGAGATCAACTACATTACAGTCATGCTGATAGAAATACAAACACAAAATTGGTAAGCTATCATATGCTAAATCAAAACCTCTCACCCTTTGGATTTTCACCACAAGCTTTGTCTTTTCATTTTTGCCGATATAGTCCTGCAGTTTTTTCCCCCTCTGCATCTCTTTGGCAGCCCACCAGAGCTGGCACTCGTCCTCTGCTATCACCTGCAGAGATGCCTGAGGAACAGAGACAGATGGAAGGGGCAGATGCACAGGAATGAGAGGAGACAGGAAAAGGGAGGAGGTCGTCAAGAAGACACTTAAGACAGCTTCACCTCCAAACCTAAGAAAAAATAACTTGTGTAATTTTGTTGTATGCCCTTGAAACTCATGTCATACAGCCCTGATCATGGTTTTAGTTATGCACCTGTGTTCCTGTAAGGTCTTCTTGCTCCTCAAACTCCATCCTTATTGGGTCATGAGGAGGCAAACCCATGGGGTATACAATCATAACTGCACCTCTTAGCTGATCCAAAGCTTCTTTTATCATCTCTAAAGTGACACAGGAGTTGGCTTGGACATGTTTCTGAAAGATAAAACAGAAGAGCGATCAAATAAAACATATTAAAGCTTAGGAAACAATATAAATGTAAAGTGTGAATGCTGTTACTCACCTTGGAGACAAGTGCCTTTGCCTCTTCTGCTGTTTTCATCAAAACCTCTTTCATTTTATCATTTGGGGCTAGTAAAAGGAAAGAGATGTCTATTATTAGATAACTGTTTTTCACAATCAGAGTAAATGTACTTAAATACAGGGATGGAGAATCAATCAAGACAAAGGGAAGTAATTCTTATGATATTCTAGTTTTTATCTGAGAACTGAGGTTCAGCCCAATCTGCAAGACAGTTACAATTGAGGTACAAACATTCAAAAGATCCCCCCAAATTACAATCAGAAGAGACTTACAATAGATTAGCATTATAGAGGAAGATGATTGGATAGAAATGTCTAGTTTTCTGACTTATCCAACATTGGAGATAGTAGATTTTTAATAAATCTCTTGTTAAACTTTGTCATATAGTATATATCTTACCTTGTCCATTTCTCCTCCCAATCTCATCCCTCTTAAATACCGGCCCTCCACTGGGAATGCACCTATCTTCCCATTCGTCCTTCAGCTTCAGCTCCACAATCTGGTCGTCTGTTAGTCCTTGCATGTTGGGTGGCAGAGAGATGCCATGATCTGCAAGCTCCGGGATCTCTGAGAGTGAATTAATTATTTTGGCAGGTCTGTATGAGTGTGAAGTATTGGATTGAAGAATTAGCTTTACCAGAAGAAAGTTTTAAAAAATGTAGATGATTAATGGAAGATTTATCTTAACTCAAACATATTTTGAGGAAACAACATAAAAAGACACTTTTAGTTTCACTTTGATAAAACAGTAGAAGAGTTTGCTTCCAGCTGTGGAAGCTGGGCTTGAGGCATGCTGAAGCAGTTTTAATAATCTAGTGTTGTCGTTCGCAAACGATTCGTTCAAAAGATTCGAATCTTTTAAGTGAAGTACTGAACTGAATAATTTCCTCGAGTGATTCGTTTATTTCTCACTTCAGTTGAGCTGAACTAAGCAAACATAACAAAACCTTTCAGCACAGACTGTAGAGTCAATATATTCCTTTTTTACCTGAACATATTCGGCCCACTTTGAGTCTCCCGTTGTGAATGGCTGTAATTTGTTGGATGACCGTCTCCAGTGGCTCATCCACAGTGGTGTTGAAAAGAAACTGGCTTTCATCTCCACGCTTCACATGTAGCTGCACCATTTTCCACAACACTTTACAGCCTTTTTATCACCTTAAAAGACAGAACAGGAACAAAGTCTTGATGAATAAACTCACAGCAACGAAACAAGGACGGTCGGCCGCTGAAGCAACTGATGGGGTCCTTGTAGTAACAGAGTAACCATAGCAACAGTGGTGCGTGGACGCTTCTAGAAAACACAAAAGCTAGCTCTTGACGTGCTAATTGATTTGGCTACATATGTTAAGGTTATTCTCACCACTGTCACTTGAATTGGTGCCACTTACCTCCGCAGTAACGAGCAAAAAACGGCCAAAACTGAGTTCAAACTGGGTTCATACTCTTAAAACCAGTGTTATTAGTGGTTAAACCTCTGCCATGAGTTCACTGGAAAGCACAGACTCTTCTTCATGTGAACCATGATGTCAACATTACCTCAGGTTTCACAAATACATTACTGCCCTCTAACGGTACTTAAAGTTATCACAATTCATTTTGAAGGAAGTGATGAAGGATCCAAGTCATTAAACTGGCCAAAAAAATACAAATAGACAAATAAATCTATCTGTCAAACCAAAAATCCTCTTTCTGTTATACACCAGCATCATTCAACCCATACTTCTCTACTGCTCCCCCTGCTACTTTAACATGCTGTCCATCACTAACACAAATAAACTCACAAAGGTCACCCACACAGCATCCAAAATCATCAGCCTGCCCATCACAAACCTCTTACACTTTAACCATGTCTATCATCACACGCATGGCCTGGACTATCAGCACAGACTCAGACCACCCTCTCCACAGTCACTTCTGCCTGTTGCCCTCAGGCCGCAGGTTCAGGACTCTGAGGTTTGTCCCTTCTGCCATTGCTGCTCTGAACAGTCTGCAAAGCTAATCCCGTGCCTCATCTGCATGTGTGTTGTCCTTATTGTTGGTACTGTGATGTCCTGTGTGCCCCTCTGTCCCTTATTATGTAACGTGCTTTGTTGTCCTTAAGTCTTTGTGTCCATGCCAGTGTCTGTGAAAATGAATTTCCAATAAAGGTCTATCTATCTATCTATCTATCTATCTATCTATCTATCTATCTATCTATCTATCTATCTATCTATCTATCTATCTATCTAAAGAAAAAAAGAAACAGCAATTTCTGTTATGTTTTGTTTTAAAAGGTAAGACGAAGATTTAGTACATCATTATGACAAATGTGAGCACTAACTTGATATAAATTAGACAACTAAAATGTGATAGGACCAAAAGCTTCCTAAAACATTTTTATTTCCATATTTATTTACTGTAGAATACGTATCTGTTGAATGTATGATACTTGCAGATGGAATCTAAAATAAAAAAACAAATAAAAAACACTAATGCAACAGTCTAGTATATAAAAAGATAGTTAAGATAGTTAAGATAAGAACTTTATTAATCCCCGAAGGGAAATTCAATTGTCTGTTGTCTCACATATGTCTCTAAAAGTTATCTACTATTTTCACAAGAGTTATAAAGACTGATGGCTGTGGGTACAAAAGATCTTCAGAATATTTCTGTTAAGGCAAATTAGCAATATGTATGTATCAAACACCTTGTAAGTGATGTACTGTAAAAATTTTAAATGATTCTGTCAAGGAAACACACTTTAGAAGGGCAGTCAAGTTAAGTTTACATAGAAGTGTATGAAGCACAACTGTGTATAATGTGCATTTAAAAAAAGACAAAGGAAACTGAGGTAAACATAATTTTATTTTTGCATACATACAACATAAACTGCTTCATACATAAATGTGCAATCTTCTGTGCACTTAAAATATGGAACGTTGGATATTAACATGAGCCGCTGCTTCACGTTTCTCTTTAATACATACAATATGTTCAACAACACAGACTCTTATTTACTATGGATTATAGCCATAAAAAGGGACACTGACCTCACAAAAGGAGCGATTTCTTTTTTTTTTTTCCTATAAAATCTCAATTTGAACATGACACAAAGCGCTGGCTAGTCAACTACTGTTAATGCAGAACCAGTATCTACTGCACACATTTGGATAACAAGATAAATGCATTTAACAGATGACATCAACATGTAAGCAGAGGCAACCTGATACACTTGCTTACACAGATAGCTACTGCTTTCAGTGCAGTGCATGAAGACTATTGTTTTATATTACACTGTGTTTAAACAAAGCGCAAAAGCCTCTCTTAGTTATTTCCTTGGGTCAGATATTCATCTCTAAATCCTTTTGAGATATTTCAGCCAGTCACATAATTTCTGAAGCTTTTGGAGTAATGATCTTTGATTTGAACACATCTGCTTTCATTTGTAATGTTTGGTAGGTTTAACTTTTAAACTACTGCGTGTCAGCATTAATCAGTAAGACTCAACGGCAGAGTAGGACGTAAAGTGAAATACTGACGTCACCCGAGGACACCATACACTTCAAGAATGGTTATGAAATCAGGGAGGATCAGTCACTTTTACTCTAAACTGGATATAACAGATATAGGATAGATAAGACAAGTGAGTCTGTTAAGACTGAGAGGAGTTTGACACCCAACACTCAAAATCACACGGCTGTCTGGAATGTTGGCTGCACTAGGCCTTGTAAGGAAACAACAAACACTCGACTGGAAATGTGTATCTGGTTTTTGGTTCGAGTACAAAGTGTAGTTGAGTCGATATATTCAGTCAGTGGTGAAGAACCGTACTGGTGCTGCTACAGAAGAGAATCTCACTCATGTGTTAAAGGAGTCCTTTATCTTGTATTGTTGCATTATTCCATACAGTGCTGCAGCTCCGTAGCCTTTTACAGGCTGGAGAGTGGAAATACACACTTGCAGTCATGAGCGTGAAAATACAGTGACTGTAAAGTTAGGGCCTGTTTGCAAAAACATTGTGTGAGTCAAAAGAAAAGAAAAAAAAAAAAACTCTGGTTTTTCACTCTTAACTCTGTACACACACTCACATCCAATCACAAACACCACGACAGACGATATGCACCTCAAACACGACACATTACTTCTCACCACAGTATCAACAATAGATTATCGAGAGTGAACTTTCCTGGAAATTAAAAGCAAGACTTTTAAACTGAAGTAAAAAATAAAAAGTGCCCTTTTATTATTACGATGTGTGGCACGTCTTTGCTGCCATGTCTACTGACCCCGGTTTACTTGGAGGTAACAGAATTGAACACACACACGCACACACGCACGCACACGAGCCACATTCTTTGAATTTACAACATCAGTGTGGTTAAATGCTCTGGATGAATCAGGGAGGATGAAAACAATAAAAGAAGTGGAAAGTCACTGACAATGGCTCTCGTTTTCGTTGCTCTGCCGTCATTAGGAACACAACCAAGAGAGCATTTCAGTGCATACCTTACATCGTACAAACCACTGATATCATCACAAACACACGTACACATTAAGCGAGTAGTTTTCATTCTGAAAATCTACATTTATACATAATCACATGTATAGGTTTTGATATAGAGCTACAACATTGATGCAGCGAAGCGTAAAATCCCATAGATAACATGATGAGCGCACAGAGAGAGAGGACGTGGAGATGAGCTGATATTACAGAGCATCAGACCTGCAGAAGTGAGCGGTTTGACTGGCTGTGTCTGGCATGGTTCAGAGTACATTCATGATAAAAGCAAGTGCAGAATATGACTTAACAGACTCATCTTTGCAAATCGATGCAAAGAAATCTTTCCGTGTAAAATCGACAGCGCTTAAACTGAAAGGAATGTAGAGTGTTACCGTTTGAGTTAACCCTCCTGCTTTGATTTTAGATCAGTCAAAATGTTGAATATGAACCGCGGTGTGTAACACTGAAAGCTACATGGACACGTCTTGATATTGCACAAAATGGTTGCTCACGTGATTTGTGCATATACATGTACTTTACAAAGAACTCTATATATTCTGTATACTGTGGACACATAGACACACGTTTGCTGCCTTAAATAAAAATAAAAATCAGACGGATTCATATTAAAAATAAATGCTAATATCAGGGCACAAGCAAACATCTGTGTGGTAATGTGAGAGCATATAGGATCATACACTTCCCATGTGACTACTCCGATATAGAAATCCTCACCTGTGTTTCAGAAGGGAATTGGTCTATACTTCTTAAATACTGTCTCTTTTGTACATACACACAAACATATACACATTTATCTGAGATCTATACATATCTGGATATGCCCTTTTACATACTAAGAGTGATCCTATCTTTCTGTGGACTCCCTGGGAAAGAAGCAGTTGTCAGTGGGCCCCTCCGGGAGCAGTGGGTTTATGGTTGCAGTTCTGGTCGGGATAGGTGGAGGAAGAGTCGGGAGAGCTGAAGGAGTTGAGGATAACCAGTCAGGCTCTGAATCGAACACAGAGCGGGGAGGCTGAGGCAGAGTCTGAGACCTGGAGGGGACGATTGGGACCTGTGGCGTCGTGGTTTTTGGTGGAAAATCGAAATCGTCATCAAAAGTGACCCACTGTTTGGTTGGTTTCCCTGTTGGGGGAGGCGGCTGGCTACGGGGAGCGAGGGCTGGTGGAAGGGAGGAAGGTGGCGCCAGAGGTAAGGATGGAACAGGAGAGGGATTAAGGGGGAGTGGGAGCAGCATGGGGGCGGATGTAGGATTCAAATCAGATGAAGGTCCGAACAGGGATGCGGTCCTCTGCAGCTGGGAGGTGGGTCCAGGGGCGGGGGCTTGTGTTGGGATAAGTGGCTGTGTAAAAGCAGACATAGTCCTCTGGAGGTTTAGCGTTGGGGATGGACGTTGCATGCTAAAGTCCGGGGTTAGCGACCGCTGCTGCTGCTGCTGCTGTTGCACCAAAGGGCCCGTGAAGGGGTTGGTGCTGCTGGGTCTTGCAGGAAGCAGGTCAGTTGGGAGGGAGCAAGGGGAGGCGCGTAGGGTCTCCTGCGAACGGCTACGAGATGGAATTGGCGGCGGCGGCAGAAGCGAGGAGGCGAACGGCGACGGGGTGGAGACTGAGGAAGAGGAGGAAGAGTCGAGGGCCTGCAGGTCTGAAAGAGCGGACGACTGGAGGGAGAAGGATGAAGGAAGAGTGTTGGAAGACGATTTAGACACAGGAATAGACGGGGGAGGTCGCAAGGAGGAGCCTCTGGTCAGGGACTGGGTGTTGTGCCAGGAGGAGGAGGAGGACAGGAAGTCAGGTGCGAATGTGTCAAAGGGGTCGGCCTTCCATTGTGCTTCTCTTTGAATTCCATTCAGTCCATTCATCTGAGGAGGAGAAAGAGCAAACAAAACGCCATTTAGACGTCACAGAAAACAATGAGTGCCACTGTGAGCCATGCACTATCATCTAAAGAGTGTTTTACTGACTAATGATCAATGTTATCAAGTTTAAGATACCCTTTGGAGCTTCCTTATACTAAAACAGATGAACTCTATCCTGAACAAGAGTAAGCTTTCCTGCAGAGTCTTGTCCTCTTACTAATATGAGGTAATAAGGCAGAAAAATAAAGCTTCACTTTCATTTGATAAATGCATTCAACATTTCACAGAAATAAAAGATGTTCCACTAGTTTTCCAGCAGTTTCTTTGTATTGGTTGTGGTTTATGAACTTTCTGTGATACATCTTATGATATTACACTCTTTAAGTCCAGATTTCTATGCCTCAATCGTTGCTTTACTTCTACTTTGCTCTCTGGCATTGTAGCTGTGAGTGACAGCTGGCCTCGGTCACTGGGGCACTTACTTGCTTTACAGGTTGAGTGTTGTGAATGTGAAAATATACTAGAATTTAATACCTAAGTTAGAGCAGTCCTGATACGTTATTGATATTAGCCAAAAAAAACTAATATCGGATTATATTGGCCTGCATCTAAAATCTTCTATATCAGCACTCCGATACAAGTAGTCCATTCCAGACTCCACTACGGCACCTCTAGCTAGCTAGCAGCACCTGAATCAAGCATGCAGAGCCCACGTGATCGTAACACTATTGTGTACAAAGGCACATACAAAGTAGCAAGGAGTAGGAGTGATGTTGGCTGTGTGGCAGTACTTTTCGTTAAAATCCGAAAAAGATATTGCAGCAGTCAAAACATGTCATGCACAAGCTTGTGCCAATATCGGATCAATCTGTATCGGCTTATACTGAAAGCTACAATATCGGTATCGTATCAGAAGCAAAAAGGTTATATCGGGACACCCCTAACCTAAATCTTAAACATCAGAGGATTTGTCTCTCTACAGATACATCTCTAAGGACAAAAAGTATTTTATTTGGGTAGGGACAGTAATTTCCTTTAACACTGTCAGAAGCTCCACAGGGTACCTCTTATCCATCCACATTCAAATATAAACAATGTCTTGTGCTTCATTTACTTCCCTGATTAAATATGAATATATTACTGTCACTAGTAATTATAATAAACATGAAAAACATAAAGCAAATAAGACAAAATGTCAACTCAAATAAATGATGTCATTGCATATGTGTTCACTCTTAACACCTGACTCACAGTGAGCAGATATGAAAGGACAAGTGAGGGGGAAATGGCCAAAGAGCATCACATTCACATGGTTTCCACTTGATGTCATTTAGAGTTTCTTATGTTGACCAACAAGAAGGAAAACAAATTTTTTGGAGCCCAAAATCAAACAAATACGCGGCCTGACACAAAAGAGGAAAAGAGGGGGAAAAGGAAAATAAACTATGAAATGAAAGGAGAGGGGATTTGCTGGGTGTGAAGTATGAGAGGTAGTAACATCTTAGCAGAGGACTGTTGTGCTATGGAGGATGAGACAAAGAGTGGTTTAATATAAAGTACCTTTCACCCTGAGGGCTTCTCCGGCTTGTGAGAGAAAGACAAATGTGTCAGAGAGACAAAAAGCAGGAAGAATGACAAAGACAGCTGAGCTCATCAGAAGTAAGACAAAGAAGCAGAAGGAGTCGCAGACCTCGCTTTTTACATTCCACAAAAATTAATCATATTTCAGAGAAAAAGCAATAATCTGTAAAACAAGATTTAATCACATGCAAACACAAAAGTCTCGGCGTATTCAATAGGTGTTTCTGTTTGTGCTCTTTGTTCTTTTGCAGATATTTAATAAACGGGAAGTTGGCACCAACCTGTGCAGCTGGGGTTGTCTCAGACTTGGCAGCATCAGGTGGCAGAGCATGAGAGGAGCGGGAACGTGGTGGAGGTTTGGGAGAGGAAAGACCCTGTGGAGGCCCAGCAGGGGCTGCAGCAGCAGCTGTGCCTTGCTGTGGCTGGAGTGGGGGTGGAAGTGTGGGCTGTAAGGGTGCGGGGAGCTGGGACTGGGCTGAAGGTGCAGCTGGTTGGGGCTGCATCGGTGGGGGACCCTGGGATCTTGCTGCAGGGGGCTCTAAGGGAGGAGGTCCTGCAGGAGGAGGAGAAAAAGTGCAAAAGTGGAGCCTTAAAATCACTGCGACACTCTATTACATCCTGGGTCAGTCATCTTGGATTTATCCCCTTACCTAGAGGAAGGTCAGTAGGTTTGGCTTGTGCGCTGGGCACTGGCCGAGGGGCTCCTGGGTGGGTGTCTGGGATGGGCCGAGGGGCCCCAGGATGCACCTCTGGGATAGGTCTGGGTGCTCCAGGGTGAGAGGGAGGTGGGGGGCGAGACTGAGGGGGCATACTGATTACCCCGGCTCGAGGAGGGATATTCTACAACACAAAAGGGAAATAAAGACAAGGTAGAAATTAACAAATTAAATCTTATTGATTAAAAAAATATACACAGGGCTTGACAGTGCAACCACTTCACACGCATTTGTGACTAAAAATAGAAGTGTGCGAATTGTAAAATGTATTTAGGGCAGTGGTTCTAAAGTCCAGTCCTCGACACACCTGATTCAAATGACCAGCTCGTTATCAAGCTCTGAAATGGCTTCATAACAAGCTGATCATTTGAATCAGGTGTGTTGGAGCAGGGAAACATCCGAAACACTTCTCACTCTCCATAACTGCGAATAGCGACAGCAGCGTGGTTAAATCTACTCTGCACCCTTGCTGTCAATGCTGGGTGTTGAATAAGGGACCGTCAATAAATTACCGGTTGATGTTCTCAAAAAAGTCTGTTTTCCTTTGATAGCTTCCATGTTATGTGACCAATTAACCTAAAATCTACTTCAAATAATAGTACTAAGGTCGAACAATAAGACACACCTCCGTATTTCCCTGATTTGTCCTCTAAAATTTTTTGTGTTAAATTTAAAGGCAAATTTTCTTCAATATCTTCCATGTCATGTGACCAAAAGACCAAAAATTGATTTCAAATAATACTACTTATGTCGACCAATAAGACACACATTATTTGATCAATTTTTATTGTGCCCCTAAAAATCTTTGTGTGCTCCTTATTTTGCTCCTTATGAAAAAAATTTAGTGTCAAGCCCTGATACACAAACAATAAAGTTGTAAATTTACCGGTCTGGGGGCACCAGCTGGTCCAGGGGCTCCCACTGCTGCCTGACCCCGACCTGAAAGAGTTAAAACAGACAAACCACAAACATAAGCGACAAAAAGTATCATGTTTTTCTGTGCTGAGGGGGATTACCTAATTAATGTAATGTGCAGACCGCGCTACTTCTGCAAACAAACCTCAACCCATGACTGGACTAACTCCCTGTGGCTGAACTGGTTCAGTCATTCCTGAGCTGCAGGAGGTCTAGAGAAGAGACAGACCCTGTTCTGCGATCCAGCTGCTCACCCACACAGCTTGTACAGCACACACCTTGTCTTTCACTCTTTTCCGTCTGAAACCCTTTAGAGCCTGCAAACATGTTCCCACGCCACTTAGATGTCTACTTCTGTTTACTGTACGGTCACCGAACGTAAGTCAATCCTGCTAAGAACACACACAAACGCACACTTACTGACTGCGCTGTGACAGAGTGGTTCAGCTAACCACACACACACACAGACACACACCAAACAAATAGACAAGGTGTGGAAAGGCTGAGTTGATAGGCTATGCAACCCTATCTGACACCCTTGTGCAGGCAGCATTTGTTTTGGAGTGTGAGCACGACTACAGCAGGAAGACCCAGATCACTTCCAGCAGGTGCAAGCTAAACAAGGCCTCTATGGGGGACACTACCAAATAATCCACTTTCATCGCCCGTATATTATTGCTTAATAAGGCAATATTTCTTGCTATGATTTGCTGTTATTCGACTCACTCACCTGCAGCAGAGTCAGGCCGAGGAAGAGCGGGGCTTTTTGGTCCTTTGCAGCACAAAGGAAACCAAACCACATTACCGTTATACACAAAATTCAATACTGGTTTAATGAAGCAACTGCTCTTGTAACTTTACTCTTAAAAGGAAGCAACAGGAGGAGCGTATGGTGGCAGAAATGCAGCAGTGCCTTAAAGCCTGATGCTGTGAGTGAATATCTACCTGCATGAACAGGATTCTAACATTTATCAGAGTTAGGGATGTAACGGTACTTTGAGAGACAGTCGAAAACTGTAGATGTAAGGGGAGATTTTACCGGGTGGGATGAAAAATTCATACCAATACCCTTAGATTGAAGGCAGCTGTGTGCCTTTCACTCCTTGTTTAAAGCTAAATGCAGACAGACATGATAAGAATAAGAATAACTTTATTTTATCCCTGAAGGGAAATTCAATTTGACTGCATGTTTTAACGCAGGTTGAAGATTTTGCAGTCAAGGATGCACCATCTGTGCTTGGCAGTCCACCAAAATGCATTTGCAAACCTTTTAATCATAAAAGACCGCCATCTAAATGAGTCTGTATTGCTCTTTACCGCTCTCTGTACTCCTGGCACAGATAACAGAGAGAGACAGACACAAATGAGAACAAAGCTTTTGCCTTAGCAGAGGGTGCTAAAACATCTAGTACTTTCTTGTTCTTTGGCTTTTATCATTTACTCCTGTACTTTGACGGTCTAGCAGAACCATTTGTGTCCTTTCAATATAAAGATAGTCATTAAAGCAGAAAATGTTACATTGGTATAAGCCAGGAAAAGGCTAAATAAAGGCCTAATAAATTACATCTTTATGAGGTGATTGCTTCTCTGAGGCTTGTACATCAACTGGGTGACTTTGATCCTTAAAGTCCCACTGCGATCGTTTTTTTTTACTACTTTAAGTGTCATCAGTGGTCTTAAAATTGTGATTGTTAAGTTTTTAGACAAAATCACGTTACCTGTATCGTTTTCAAGGGCTTTTCTTCTCTAGGAGCTCATTAGCAATTCACCTCTAAGTCCTGGGCGGAGACAGCACTGCTCTGCACACTTCTCCTTGAGTTAGCTTGCAACCTAACATTGCCGGTATAGTAGAAGAAGCAGGTAACATACGAGCTGTTTTAGCTCTCAGGCACTAATGTCTTTAGGGGAATGATGAAAGCTAATATCCTAATTAGCTTTCTCACAAGCATTCCAATCTGCTACCGCACACGCTTGTTCCGTAATCATCCTCTCTATTTCTCAGAGTCTGGCCTGCATAGCGGGGCTTCAGGGGCGGAGCTTGGATTTGTGATGTAGGAAATCTCACTGTGTCTGAGCCTGCCGTATGGGTCTGTCAGAAATACAGCGATTTGAATGCAGAAATACTCAGACATGTAATTTCGCACTTATTTTTCTCATGATATGTCCTGTAGCATTGGAAATATGCCACATGAACATATAGACAACAAGAAAAACAAGATTTTCATTGGAGTGGGTCTTAAAAGAACAGAGGAAAAAGTTTTATTGTGGGTAAAATTGTGAGTTGAGTGTACCGTTACATGCCTAGTCATAGTAGATGGAAACAGCAAAGCTGACCTTATGACCATTGAAGCCAAGAAGAGTTTGTTCTTGAACTTTGTTATTCACCAGTTGACAAAGTTATGAAGAGACAACTATCACCTCACCAGTACTGCTAAACTGTTTCTTCCTGTCCTACTGTTTTAGTGAGATGGTCTTATGTGTGAACTGCTTGAATTTATCAAAGGCTCTATCTTCATCTTGCAAAAGTTCTAACTGTAAAATCCCCAAAATTCATGTTTACTATAAATATATCCCCTCATTGAGTTCCAACCTTGCTTTTTATTCACTTAAAAATTAAACCCAAACACTTACCACTAATTGGGATGGCTGTAATACACTAACAGTCTAATGAACAATGTTTTTAAGTACTGAACAACAACACTAACTGTATTTGCCTGCAGTGACAAAATAATTGCATGAATGCAAGTGGTCCCTCAAGCCCTAAAGCCTCCAATTAATTTTGCATTTCATGTTTATTTTGCACTAATAAGTGTGATACTTAATTTTATAACAGGCTGCAAAACACACGTCTCCTAGCCACATGAACAAGACTAAGGAGGCCCACAATGATGCAGACCTGGTCAGCGGTGACACATCATTGTTGAAGACGCATCAATCATATTGATGACTGAGTACTAGACTACAGGGATCGTCACTGAAAGACAAACTGACAGTTACCTTCACTGCCTCTCCTACCCAGGAATGGGCTCGGACTTTTGCCAGAGTCTTAAATTCAAAGAGGGGAAACCGTTTGTGCAAAAGACAGCAAAGCAGGGAAAACGTTAATGAGATTTTAATGAGCAGGTGTCTCAGCTGCTTAAAGGGATAATCCGGCGTAAAATTAAGTTAGGGTCAAACACACCAAGAGATGAATGTTGCTGACCGCTTGCTTCTCTAGTTATACCAACTTTAGTAACGACTGCAGGATAGCAATACAGAGCGGTCTCAGGAGCCATAAACAAACCTCAACCAAAACGACACTCTATAGCCACAAATAATGCTCAGAACAGCACCTAACTTCATCAACAGTACCTATAGGGTCCCAGCCACAGCACTAGACCACCAAACATCTTTTTAGCTTTGCCTGATTTCTTCAGCAGAGAGACTAAACACAACTCACCTACTCTCCTCCAGCAGCTGCTTGTTTATAGGGAGAGCTTGGACCAGTCCATCACAGAGTGCAGCAGGGTGACGCAGCTCAAGAAAGAACATTTAAGATAGTTGATGGCTAGTTTTATGGCTAGGACTCTGTATGTACCGTTGATGAAGTTAGGTACTGTTCTAAGCATTACTTGTGGCTATAGAGTGGCGTTTTGGTTGAGGTTTGCACGTGGAGCCATAGACCGCTGTGTATTGCTATCGTGCGGTCATTACTAAAGTTAGTCTAACTAGAGAAGCAAGCGGTCGGCAACAACCATCTCTCAAGGGTGAGTCTAATTCGGTGTTAGTGTGTTTGACCCTAACTTAATTTTATGCCGGAATATCCCTTTAAAGATAGTCTGCATGTGATAATGGATGTGTCACATTTATTTTCACTGTATTTATATGTGTCTTTTTTGGTTTTTAACTAAACTGTTAGAGGGCACTCCTGAAAAAGAGAGTTTAGTTTCGATGGGTTGAAATAAAGGATAAAAATAATGATTTCAGAAGTTACTTTCATAATGACCTAAAAACCATCTGAATAGAAGACAAATCCAAATGGGGCAACAGTGTTGTTTGACTCATAACACTCTTACACAAAAGTAATCTTGTACTTATTATTTTTAGATTGGCCACATTCTTTTCTTTATTTACATCAACTGAGATCCCACATTGTAGGAGGGATGTTATAATAAAACAGAAGCACAGGCTCCATTTTGAACTTTTCATGAGCACAAACTTAATCTAAGCACTGTTTACTTAAAAGTCAAGCATGATTCAGGAACCACCGGTATTTAATTAAATCTGAAGTCTCTCTCAAAACACAAAAGCTGCAAGCTCAAAATTACGATGTTGCACAAGCTGTGAGTTTCGAGTGTGCCATAGTGTGACATTATTGCTATTGTTGTTACCTAAACTGAATCAAGCATAGGAACTAATCGGGCAGCTGCCGGGATCAGCACAAATACAATGTCATTCTTTTTTTTTGTGCAGCTGTAAAAAATGAAGCAAATACTTGAAATGCTTCAGCAAGCACAAAACACACGTTTCTACAGCAAACACTTTACCTGCAGAGTCCCTCCTAACTGTGAGGGGGCTCATGCCTCCTTCAGAAATGAGGCGGAGCAGTGGGACAAAGGTGAGAATGTTAAACATCTGCCAAAGGCATCACCTACTACACTACAGAAATTATACATCAAACATAGGCTTCATTTCTGTTATTCATACTAAAGAGAGTTAAGTTGTTTTTTTCTTTATGAGGCGTTTACCAGATGGTTAGATGATACAGTACCTGATGGTGGTGGTGGGCGTTGAGGGGGTGCTGGTCTGGCTGGAGGAGCATTGGGACGAGGGGGAGGTGGACGTTTGGGCTCCATGCTTTGGGATGTGGGGGCACCAGGCTGGAAGTCAAGAGGAGGCCCTAGAAGGAAAAAATAAAAACAATCACAGACGAGAAGAAGTCGTCATACTGAGAAACAACTTTGTAGTTGTGATCATTTTTTGCAAATTGTAAAATGTGGTTTCTTCTCACAGCAGTCTTAAAAAATACCTTATAGGTTCTAACCGTAATATAATCATCTATGGGTCAAAATGATTAAATGTAATAAAAATCAATCTATCTTGACAATATATGTACGTATGAACACATTGGTCAAACATATATCAAGCCTTGTGCCTTTTTTTCCCTTAACGTCCCACAGACATTGCCTCACTTTGAGCCATCTTTTAATTCGTCTTCAGAGCACAGCTGTGATTTAGGCTTGACCAAATAAAGGATCAACACTGCACACATTCTGATACAGCACTACAGAGCAGGGAAGGAAAAAGTCGTTTTCTAACACTCATGTCACCAGCTTTTATACCAAACATCAGCTAAATCATCAAACACACGACATTTTACCTGGAATTTCTCTCCTCTGTAGACCTGGACTTAAATCTGATTGCATTCGTCACAAACAAAACAAAATTACAGTTTACATGTAGGCAGGCGGAGTGAAGTCTGAGATGGTGGTTGGACGGTACTTGATGGTGCATTTCCAACAAAGTTTCTGGTTTGGTTTAGTACAGTAAGGTGTGGTTTGGCACAGAGTCGACCCCAATCTTGACCACTGCCTTTTGCAGCGCATTTCAACCATCATTTTCTGCAAGCCTCGGCTAAAAGTTTGGATGCCTTCCCCAACTTTTGACAATAAAAACATAAATTATTCTGCATCGTACCATACTGAGCCAGACACCTTGGGAAAAGCGCACAATTCATGACTTGATTCAAGGTGTGAGTCAGGCTACACATGCCATAATTACCTAGTGATGGTCGCGGGGGTTGTCCGGACCGACTTGGTCTGCTTGGAATTGCAGGTTCACCGTGTGTAGGGGAGGGACAAGGACTGCTGCGGGGGGAGGGGAGAGGGGACGATCCAGGGCCAGAGCCTGCTCCAGGCTGCAAATGCTGGGGAAGAATCTCCTCCACCTCCTCGTCCACATCGCCTGATACAGGAGAGAATGAAGCAGGAATACAAGCCATTGAAAACTGCACAATTTTAGACAAATTAGAGGAGAGATAGGGATATTACTGACCTTCCATGTCATAATCATCATCGCCCATGTCGGTGTCCTCAGCGAGCAGGGTGGAGCTGGCTGAGGTGGGGATAGTTCCACAGATTCTCTCCACACTCATTTCTTCCTCCATACTCTTGATCCAGCCTGGACTCTTTAGGCGGATGTCAATCACCTTACCGAGCACCTACAACGAATCAAGAATGAGGCAGACATTAGTTATAAGGTAAAAAATGTTAGACTAGCTGTAGTATTACTGCAGCTTTGATGTGATTTATATCCTCAAATATGACTCACAGAGGAAGCGCTGAGAGACAGAGCAGCAAGAGCAGAGTAACCTTCCAAGAAAGTCACCCACATCTTCTCCTCCACAAACCTGCACAAACAAGGACAAAGCTAATATCCTCATCCAGTCTGGAGGTGAGTCATGTTTGTCTAAACGTGTGGAAAAGTCAGACTCACCGGATAAGGATGACCTCTCCAAAGTTAGCAAACTTGTCCAGCAGTTCGTCTATGAGGGGATCATCGAAGTAGTCATCCGGGCCAGAGGAGCAGAGTGACACCAGGATGGTGCCGTCTGGAGGTCCTTGCAGGGCGATGACCTCTTTGTAGACCTGGTGTCGAGCCTCTGGGTCCACTTCCAGGATGTCCACGTCTATTATTGACACCACAGGCCTTCAGAAAAACAGGAGACCATGTTAATACACACTATGTTTATTCATACTAATCCTACATTCTCAGTATAAAGAGTTACTCACCGGTGGTCTGAGGTCTTCAGCTCAGCCCTGCCATAGTATTTCAGAGTCCCGGGGCTCCAAGGGTACTCTGGGTCATCTTCTTTCTCCCCTGATGTGGAAGCTGCACCCACTACATTCATCTCCTCAGCTGCAAAACATTAAAAATACACTAATGTAACAAGGATCACATGACAAAATATGCCCTTGTTTCACGGGAGTTTAGACTTATTTGGTTTTAAGAGTAGAACATTGTGAAGTAGGCAGGATAAGCCCAAACTAGATTTCTGCAAGTCTTTCTTTTTTGGGGGTTTGATTTATCTAATTAGTGGCTCCTCATCCTACCTATTCGATCAAAGTTCCACTTCCTTCTCTTCCAGAGGATGCGGTCAGTCCAGGCCGGTGTGCGACATTTCTCACTGGTGTCATAATCCTCAGAGAAGAGGTCGTACTTGTAGGTGGGGGCAAAATCCAGCTTCCCCTCAATGAAACCTCGGAAAACCTGGAATATAATTTGGCGTTAGTGCAGTCTGTAAATAAGAAAAACAAGATTATTTTTGCTGCAAAATGTTTTCTGAAGAGAGAGCAGAAGTTTTAAGTGTTGTAAGCATGTATGTGCGTTGTGGGTCATACCAAACCAGCATTCTTCTGGTCCAGCAGCTGGTCTCCTGCCATCAAAGCATCCCAGCTCTGCTGTTTGATTAGGTCCTTCACTTCCTCATTGGGCAGACTGATTCGATAGTTGAAGTCTCCACACCAGAAAACGTAATCGTGTGAATACAGCAGACGACCCTGAGAGGAATAAACAGACATGATTACGCTTTATTTTATACAAAATCCTCTTTCAAATGTTAGCGTTGATGTTATGGTTGTTACCATGGGGAAGGTAAGTCTGCGTGTGATCTCGTTGTAGTCGTCGTTTCTCTCCTTGACCTGTGACTGTCCAGCAGCAAAGTGGGAGCAGAGGAAGCAAATGCTGGTGGTGTGGAACAGCATGCGGATGGCGACACCTCCTTTGTTGCCTGTAGCACCGCCCATTCCAGTCTTTACAGTATCTACAGCTACATCCCTGGAAAATGTCAAATTGCAGAATTACATTTTTTACATGCCTCAAAAACCTGCCGTATTTTTACCCATAACTTACAACAGTGCAGACAGTGCATACCTGATAAAGGGTGCATGCTGTGGGCGGATAAAAACAAACAGACACACACCCACCAACTGCTCCGAAGCAAGCAGCACATACTTGTGATCCCGTGATATGTTTTTTTGCAGCTCAGCTGCCCAAAGTTTCTGGTTTGTAGTGCTGAGACGAAAAAACGGAGAGATAAATCACAGTGAAGGCAAAGCAGAAGAAAGACTCAACTCAAGACATAAAGTAGGTCAGAGGGAAAATTTACATTTGTCACATCAAATTTTCAACTGTTACTTAGTTCTCTTTGTTGGTTATCAAGACAGATAAAAATAACTGATATGTTGATCACCGGTCAGATCAGATTACTTATTCATCTCTCTAGAAAAAATGTAGAATCTAAAAAGAATCTTAACCATCTCTGTACCTTGTATAAGCTAACATTATATGTAAATCCAGCCCACATACCTGGCACTGACAATGTTTCCAGCGTTCAGTTCAACCATTTCTTCAAAACCAATGGCAAAGATATCTATGGGGTTGGCTTTGGTGTCTGAGGGGAGAAAATTGGACAATGTTTCACTGAAAAGTACTTTTGTGATTGAGTGGTTAAAAACGTCAATAAAAAGTTTGCTGAGAAATTTTAATCCAAGTTAGAATTTTAATTCTGAGTGACTGTCGGCTCTAATTCTGATCCTCAAATCTCCCATCTAGTTTTACATGAACCCACCTTGAAACTCAGGATGTCCGGCTTTTTTCGGAGCGTCCAACAACCAGTCATTGAGCGTCTGGTTGCGGAAAGCGATGCTGCGAAACTGTTTACCCCCGTTGACATTCCAGGTGCCAACACACACTCTGATCTGCTTGGGCCTCGTGTATTTTTGGTAGTTCTGACACATTCCCAGTAATACTCTTGGAGAGGCTGTAAAGGGTAGGAGAGCAGGATTAGAGTGTAAACTTGTTGAGTGTTTCTGCAGGAAGGGTGACAAACAAGGAAACAAAAAAAGGAAAAGGATAATAAAAAGAAATTGGGAAATTATTCGAATACAACAGAGGAACAATGTTCGTACACATGAGAGGTATGGGAGGAGGAAACGAGGAAGGACTGCAGCTAGAATACAGATAACAGCTAAATAATCAACCTTGGTAATGGTCCATTTCTGTCTGTAAATTTCCTCTCAGAATGATGTCAAATTTCACTGCAAAATTTTGCCTTTTTTGCTTCAATCACTATTGCAACAACTTGGTGTTATGCAACAGGCAGAGGATAAAACCACTACCAGCATTGGATTATGGGTGAATGGAGGATGCAGCAAAAACACAATGAATAGGACAACTGTGTGATGAAAAGATCCATCCACTGGAAACAGTCGCTCAGTTACTATACCTGATTGTAAGACCGGCTCAGTGACTAAGATTGTGTTCAAGAGCAGCAGAGAGAGAAGGGAGAGAAGGGAGGAGTTAACCGGTGCTTGGACAGATAATGCCAGCAGAGCAGTAGGTCAGCATTAATCTAAGTGGGACAGCGAGCTGACACACGGAGATTACGCTTTGACACAGAGCAGAGGACAAACCCTGCTATTGTGAAGATTAGCTTCTGGCTAATAGAGCAACAACAGAGCAGGTTTAGACATGACAAAACATTCAAACAACTCCAAGGAAACAAGGAAATAGTTTTCTCAAAATCACTAATATCAAACTGCATCAGGGAAATCTTGCATTTGTGACATAATTAATGAGTAATCAGCAGACAGATGAAATCTGATGACTCAGTTATAGCACACGCTACACTATTTGTGTGGTTAAGAATTACCGTAAAGACTAGAAGTGGTGAGCAAGGCCCGAGCTTTGTCTGCCAGGTCACTGTTGAGCGTGGATCCCAGCCTCAGGATGTCTATGGCTTCCTGCTTTGAGCTGTCGAAGAAGTTGTTCTGGATGGTCCTAGTCACAGACCGCGCTCCATCTTTCAGCTTACCCGCCTACACACAAACACACACACATTCGTGCAGGTAATTAGACATTATTGAATAGAGACATCTTTCATTATGAGCATAATTTTCTGTACTTCCCACTCCAGCTATGCAAGATAGGAGAAAGAGGAAAACATAAGGAAGATTGGAGTAAAACGGACTTCTCAACAGAACAAGGAGGGTTGAAACTGCTTCACAAGGAGTAAAATTTCATAAAGGGGATGTGCAACGTAATCTGATTTAATGTGATCCAGACAGATTTCTCTGTGCTTATCCAATCACACATCAGATGGTACTGGATAATTTCAGCAAGCAATTGGAAATGGTGCTGTGACAAGAAAATGAGTTGTAATTTTTCCTGCTTCTTTAATTTCTCATTAACTTCATTTTCATAAATCAAAACAATCAATCCCTGTGGAGCTTTGGAGAGTTGCCAGTTCAAGACAGAATCTGTCTCTGAGATACCGAGGGAATGAAATCAGTTTTTTCTTTTTTTACCCAAAGAGATCCCACCTACCCTATCCCTCATCATCATCATCATCATCATCATCATCATACATCATCATCAAATCCACGTCATTTTACCAACAAACACTGGAATCAAAAAATGCACCAGAAAGACCCACGACTCAAAAACAACATCGACTGGTGCGTTCACTTACCACGCAGGTAGAGAGGTCCAGAGGACAGCGGAAAGAGATAGCACACAAGAGTTAAGAGACAGAAGCACACACACACGGATCAACTCCGTCACTGCATACACAACGCCTAACGTGCCGATATCATCTCATTATGCCAATTCATCTTTTACGGCATTTTGAGCCAATTCTCTTTGTTCTCATATTTTCTTTGACTTTGAATACATATTAAGATCCCAGGGTTACGATGCTAATGTTAATACATGTGAACTTAAAATGAATAAGACAAAGATTTAAGTTACTATTGTGATGTTAAGCGCAAGAGCAGTAATATCAGGTGCTGGTTGATGTGATCTGAAACAAACCTGTACAGCCTGCTTTAAAGTAAAGTTAAGGTTCGCCTCAGTGATTAAACTAAAAGAAGGTGTTTGCACTGTGCATCTATTGTCTACCTTAGCTTTGCCGTCCAGAGCGCCGGTGCCAGCGTAGATCTTGCTGACAGAGTCCCCGTTGGCAGACCACATAGTCCTGAAAACCTCCTGGAACCTGGCCACCAGCTGCGGTTTCTCTGTCAGACTCATTTCCTCTAGCTGTTTTGGCAGCATCTGGTGTAGTGAGGGACAGGGAGGGGTTCGGATTAAAAAGTATAATCCCTTATACAGAAAGGACAGCAAAGGTACAAACGCCATTTTATAAACAAATATGAGCGTGTGACGCACTGTGCCGGACCCTTACCTCGAGCGCAAAAAAGGCCTGCACGCTGTTGGTCCTGTCCAGACAATCCAGGCAGTTGGTCCTGATGGTCCCACCCTGAGTCCTATGATGACAGATCCAAACGTGTAAACGCAAAAACTAAAAGCGACACCTGACGTGACTTTCTCTACACGCTGAGTTCTCACCTTGAGATGCCCGTCTCTCCCGAGTAGTAGAAGAAGCCGCACTCCTCGACGAACTTGCTGAGCTGAGGTTTGAGGACGCTGTGCAGTTTGTCCGCCTTACCTCCCCTCACGTTAGCGTGGTAGTCGAAGTTCACCATTTTCACCGTTGACGAATGCTCTGAGGCCTTCAAGTGACTCTGAAAATGACAGAGAGCGCAGGAAGAGCTCAGCTGGCAGCTCGCAGTTTTATCCAATTTCCTCGCACTCAATAGAAATGACTGAGATTGCAGGTGCTGTCGATAACAGATTTGCTGCCAACGATAAAGTAATAAGTATAGGTAGGATGGGATTCTCGCTGCGGGTGTGTGGGTTTAAAAAACAGGACAAAAACTTTACAACGTCTGCCAGCACGTTATGACGCAGCCTGTTTTGCGAGGAGCAGCACATAAATATCTCTCAGTACATGACAGGTGTTAAGGGACAGAGCGGAGTGCCTCTTACCTGGAATGCTTTGCTGAGCATGTGTTCTCCTTCTTTACTCCCGAGCAGGTTGATGATCACCTGTTTACCATACAACCTGCGCAGTGCAGTGAAGTGTCTGGGAAACACAAATACAAATAACAAGTGACATAACTGGTTAAATAACAGTGTTTATTCTCGCGTATTTAAGTGTTATAATTAGTCAGACGTGACACCGTATCTCAACACCTGCTGGGCCCAAATTTACACGGACACAACACAGAAACCCTGTAACTAACTGACAGGTATGTTTCATTATTATCACTTAAATCACAGCCTCTAAGTTTGCAATCATTCACTTTTGCTTTCTATTTTATTTGGCTTTTTTTTATTATTTCACTGCACCTTTGTTAGCATCAAAACAACCTAATACAGTGGTTCTCAAGTCCAGTCCTCGAGCCCCCACTGTCCTGCATGTTTTGGATGTTTCCCTGCTCCAACACACCTGATTCAAATGATCAGCTCGTTATTAAGACATTACAGAGCTTGATAACGAGCTGATCATTTGAATCAGGTGTGTTGGAGCAGGGAAACATGCAGGACGGGGGTGGTTTCTCAGATAAGGAGTGGTATTTGTAAAGCTATAAAAACTGGAGGGGAGAGTGCCAGGAGATCATACCGAAATAACCTCAGGCCTCTGGATCAAACTGGGATATTCAAAAGGTTAAAAAAAATGATGAAACAGCAGACCGTGTTTATAAAAAAGAGATTTCTATCCAAGGAATTTCAACAGAGATATATTAGCCTGCTACAGCAATAAAAATAAAACATAAAAAACACAGACTGCCTTCCACAGAGGGTGAGCTGTGAGATCTGGTCTGGACAGATACTCGGGAAGATGAGTTGTGTTGCCAACTCTTAGTGTGAAAATATGATCAAGTCTTCCAAAAGTACCGACAATGAACCATTGCTTCACAATCAAATGGGAGAGAGCATTTTCTTCCATTTTTATTCTTCTTCTTCTTTTTTTTTTTTTGATTAAAGCTCCTGTGAGGAACTCTTGATCTAACACGTTCATATGGCTCAGTAGACAGTAGACATTTCTTCTATATGAGGTTTGTATTTGTCACTACCAGCATCATATCTGCAAGTTACTGCCTGTTCAAAGAGGATGGTTGATCTGAGACGCTGCAGATTAGCTGTTTTTTAAATTGTCATGGAGGAATTTGGACAGGCGCTACTAAATAGAGACAATAAATCTAAAACAATAGAATAAGAATAACTTTATTGATCGCCAAAGAGAAATTCAATATATCTAAAAATAAAGTATCTGCATCGACATAAGTTAAGATTTTTAGTTAAGGTCTTAGTCTTTAACATCTACAGCTAATTAACACTGTAAAATAATTTTAACTCTGAGAGTGCACAAGCCTTCACAACCAAGAAGGTGCTGTGTGCCGTGGATGTAAAATTCAGGTTATTAAGGTCAACAGTTAATCAAGAGCAGTTAATGTGTCCTTCCTGTTCCCTTCAATAAACCAGTCTCTCAGGACACACTTCAATTAATATTGCTACTTTGAGAGTCTGGAAAGCTTTTCTCTATCCTTGCTCTGCAGGAGACATTATTTTCTTATGTTCCCTTGCCCCTCTGAGGAGTTGTAATCTGTCGAGGCTGGATAAAGCAGCTGGGAACTGGTACATATGCAAACAAACCCCTTTGTGTACATACACTGAACAGAGCGTTTTAATTACCTTTCGAATGCTGGTGCATTTGCTTCAAATCCTCTTGAGAGTTTGACACGATGGGAACCAACCTGCAGAGAAGATACGGCGAGAAAAGACGAAAAGAGACACTAGTAACAGTGTCCTTCTTTACTCCAAAGTAAACCTCTGTAAAAAGGGAAGAGGTGCAGACACACATGTTGAAGATTACCAGGCAACCTGGTGGGGAAAATGAAGTTTGGACAGAAGTTTTGGAAAATACTGGAACAAGTGGAAACAAGATCTTTAAAGAGGCAAAAAAAGGCATGGGGCAACAGCGACACAGGGACAGCATTAGGGGATTTTGTACACAGATGAAGTCACTGAGCAGTAGAGAGATCTTATCAACTATCAAGTCTCCAACACCTTTAAGAAGAATCACTAATTCTCTTTTGTTCTCTCCAATTTTGCTTATAAGCTGACCCTAGAGCCTTACAGGGAAGTGAAGGAAGGTATGACCAAGCACGACCACACCTTGACAGGCTTAGCACGTTGCAGAGTCACTGTTGCAAAGAACCCTTCTCACTCATCACTGCAGGTCCTTACTTGTTCCCCCTCTGTGCCTTTGCAAAAACATTCCCTACTTTGATTCGTCTTTGTCTGCTTTTTTTACATCTCTGTCTTAAATAGCTCATCATCAGCTGAACTGAAAAGAAGCTAATCAAATCATTCCTCCTGCACCGTTCATTCAGTCAGCCTCTGCCTCCTCTTCTTCCTCTTTAAATGGACTGTCACAGATGGCGTGGATCTGGAGCGATCAGTCATTTTTAACCACTTTGGAGACAGTATTGGGATCTCCTGAGTCAGTGGCAATAGCAACGAGACATTTTACTCCGCGCTGCTGCCATTTTGTCACTCTGTCCCCCCTTTTACTTCCCCTGTTGTGCAGGTCTATGGCATGCATATTTAATAACTTCCTGAGATGGTATCTAAGAGGACTCGGGTTACAGCCGTGCATCCCAGACCAAAAAGTCCTCTACAAGTTAGTGCAACTCTGCCGATAACGAACAACAACTTTTGACCATTATTACGATTAATAATTGGATTTTCTCCATCAATACAACAATCAGCTGAACCTGTTTTTGATTGATATGATGTTTAAAGACAGATATTTAGAGGTATTTCTTGAAATCTAGTGTCTTGTTACAGAAATAAGCAACTTTGTATTTTCTCATTTAAAACTAACAGGCGTAAAGATTCTTCCATCAAACGAGAAAAAGCAGCCGCCTCACTACTCCAGCAGGGTTTCCTCAAACTACATTACAAGAGGGATTTAGCGACTGTGTCAAAGCTACTTCTTCTAGTGTAAATAAGCTGTGGAGATATCGATAACTCTTCCTCTGGTGAAGCTGAAACTATCCATCCTGCTCAGGGATTGAATTGGAGAGAGTGAGGAGGAAAGAATGAGCCTACAAAGCCACATTTGGTAAAAAGGGACTACAAAGCTAACACAATGCTGGTAAAGCAGGAGGCCTACAGTTCTGTCTGAAAACAACCCCGAGCCCACTCCAAATCAAAGATATTACGCAATAAGCAGGTGACTTAAATAGTCTGGCTTTTGCTGGCCTTCTAAGGGTTTTGACAGCTTGATCCAGGTGTCTGCGCGCTAACAGCAGAGTAAGCTAAAGGAATGGTTCGGGGATGTTTTTAGAGCAGGCTCTCACCTGACCAAAGATGTCTGGGAGCTGAGGAAAACAGAGAAACGCCCTTTACCAACCACTGTATCTATCATGAAACTCCCCCACGTCTGATGTATGTCTGTGAAATGTCAGGACAAGGACAGCAGGATCCCAAGGATGTTGTTTATGATCTGTATCGAGAGGTAGGTTCCTGCTGCAGGTTTTTAATCTTCAAAGTAGCGTTCCCTGGACAGGTGCTACATTCAGGACCGTCATAAAAATCCATAATGGGACTGTCTCATTTGCACCCGTGGTCTCTGACATTGCACAGAGAAACCCTGTCTGCAGTATGAAAGCGCCAGCACCAGAAAGAGCCGATTAAAAAAAAATGATACCAGGTGGGGGTTCTCATCCAGACCACTAGGATGCCGATTCTCATTCAGTTGCAACAAAACACCCTTAATGGACTTTTTCTGAACACAGCATGGACAACATGTTAAAATGTGGCTTATGGTCATCAGCGTGGCTTCATTTTTGAAACAAAAATATTAAATAAACAACTGCAACAGTTACAAAATGCTAAGGGCTTCTACACAAAAATAAGGGCTTGTTTATGATTTTCATATAATGTGGCTAATATATGAAAACCTCACACATTCAGGATTGGAGTGAGTTCACAGAGGTTTCCATTACCTGGATTCCTGGCTGTTCCCAGAAAAGAGGGATGGACCCACGGATCTGTATGAATGATGAGACTCTGTCATCGAGGAATATAACCTGTACGAAACAAGAGGAAACTTTGGTTTAGTTCAACTGCAACATGTCAAAAAACAAAACAGATTACTAAAAACACACAAATTTGAAAAGAGCCCAGAGAATATTAAAAAAACACACAGATGTTAGCTATACACACACAAATAAACAATAGAGACGGAGCTTGACATCTCCTTTGTAAACCACACAAACCAAAGGGAACTGACGAAACGCTAATTCCTCAATGGTTGTATTACACAAAGGGAAATGGGGAGTTTCTTCACTGATTGCTGCAGAAAACACTTGTATGTGTGTTTGTGGGTGATTTTGTGGATTCAAAAAGAAACACAACAAAGAAATCACAACAACAAGCAGTTTGTCTCATTCAGAGAAGTACTGTAACAGTGCAGTGCTACTTGGGTTCCTAAATCACAAACATTAAATCACAGACACTGAAAAAGCTGACAAAATAAAAATAATGGACATTACAACACAAGCCAACATAAACACCCTGTAGTTAGCCTCACATCACTAACACTTCTAATGTTTAGTTTCTTGGCCAATTACATCATTTTCAAGTGTTATTTGTAGCGTTTCCAGATTCCTTCTCCAACCTACAGCTTCTCGCTTGTTTCGTGAAACAGGAACTAAGAAAAGGGAAAATGCAAACCAGTCAGTTTCCACAACAGGAAGCTGGAAAGTAATCTCGCCTATTCAAAGAGACGCTTCGCTTTTGACAGTGTGCTGCTGCCTCAAGAAACATGAACTTGTCTGCAACTGAAATAATAACTATTTACAGTTTGTACTCCACAGTGTCAACAGAAAAGTCTGGGGGCCATGATGGTTCACTTCAGTGCAACACCAAGTCTGCTTTTGAAATGTCAATGGACAACCTGTGTTTAAACAGAATGCATTAACCGAAGGTCATGTGACTTGATAGATAAATGTACTCAAGATAAAAAGGAATTATGTGACAAAGGCCAACGAAACCTGGTGGAGAAATAAACCATCTACCAAGGACAAGTAACCACACGAAATCACAACTCCATTACTTTCTGGAAAACCTTCAAAACTAAAAGTACATAAAACTGTTTTGTCTATACAAACTAATCCACCAAGCAATTTACTAGGATTCACACGCCCTAAAACTTGCTCTGACTCCTCTCAACAGTCGACTCAAAAATACCCTGTAACTGTTTTTGAATTTGTGTTTTCTGTTTTATCTTCATCTATGTTTCCTTGGAGAACCACTATAGCAAAACAATAAGAGTGTGTTGATATATGTCTGCTGCTGCTCCCTCTCTGTTTATACAGCTTTGCTCCACTGGTTCGTGACAACATGCAGAAAAACTATCAGACATTTTCCTCACCTGTTCAGTCTCCACAAAGTTGGCTACCTGGCCGTCGTCATTTGTCCCCCTGACGTTGAATCGCGTGCCGGCTCGTTCTGAGCTGAGGCGGGAGAAGATGCAGGCTTTGGCCTGTTTGTGCCCGGCATAGATGGTCCTGATCTCCACACCGCCACACATCAGCCTCAACAGCCAATCGTCACAGTTTACTCCATAGTGTTTGAGGTGCAGATGTAGAGACTGGTTCCTGATGGTGAATTAACAGGGACACAATTGTGAGTAAGACACAAAGAAATTCAGCGTGAACAGAGAATTTTCACACCTTGGTTGCAAATCAGCCCCCATGATCACACAATTTGAAGAGACTGCTTCATCACAAAAAAAGGATCCAACTCCAAGTTAATTTCTGCCTACTACTCTTCTTACAACCATAAATTAGTAACTATTTCACGCCCTCACCAGAAGAAGCGGTTATCTGTTGTGTCCTCTAGAATCCTGCGATGTGCATTGAGACTCAAGTCCATGCTGACGCCAGTGGAGGACCAGGCAAAGTAGAAGTGTCCAGAGTTTAGGACCTTTCGCACCTCGGCAATCCGGTCCTCGTCTCCTGGATCATTCTTCAATGATATAAAGTCTGTCTGTGTGACTCTGAAAACCTCTGAATCCTGCACCTTCCCCACAGAGCTGCATCCTGACACGACCACCAGACTGTGGAGCATGGAGTCACCTGTAGGGGTGGGGTAGATGATGGAGAAAAAGCAAAGGGAGATAAGCTGGTTTGGAAAGAAAACATGTGCATTTAAGAAGTAATATTAAACATCAAGTTATTATTGCAGATTGGAATCCTGACAGGGTGAGCAGGATGGATACTTGAGTCTACTATCCCATATTCCCCAAAGTGTTTAGCTCATGCCCCATCTTTAACAGATTTCTCTTGTCAATCTCTGTTTTTAAGCTCTCCTACTTTTTCTGAGTTTATTTTTCTTGAGTTTTCTCACTAGGAACAAACCAATAACTTGTACGCCTCACTCCTTTCTGCACACTGGTGCCATATCAATTGGTGCTTTGCATTAAGAAAATGTAAACAAAGTGTTAAATGAAAACAGCACTTTCTTCAAGAGATTCCCCAGACGGACAAATCTCAGTCATCTATTGCACCAAGCTTTAATCTTTGTTGTGATAACAAGAGCCTTCAAGGTCGCGTGGAGGACACCAGAAAGCAGCTTATAAGGAAGCAGCAGCAGGATGACACAAACTCGTCACACCAGAACCCAGGGGTCAGATTCTGGTCTGGACCAAGAAACTTCTGAAACATTTAGGAATGAACGGAGATGTTTGTGTAGCTTACCCAAGTTTAGGCGGAGGACACCTAGGATTCCATATGCATCCACAATTTTGGTGTATGTGTTTTTTATGGCCTCTTTCTCTGCTGCAGCTACGAGCAAAAACATAGCAACACAATGTCAGGAAATTGATAATTAGTTTCACTCTTGAATCAATGATGAACATAAAGATACAATCCCAGCATTAGAAATTCAGAAGCACGCCTTGTACAAAGTTAAAACCCTGCAAACAAACAAAGAAGATGCCTTACAGAGAACTGCGACAGCTCCTGACTCAAACATGAGGCATTCTTCTCTAGTCCTAGTTTCCACTATGACACTGTAAGGGGGTGGGTCCAGCTTGTGGTAGATGCGGTATCCCTTGCTGAAGGCCATTGTTGAGACGAGATGAATAACCTACTCAATGACCTGTGATGCAAAGAGAGTGAAGAAGACAAGAGTTAATAAGAGCTGTTCCCCAATCAGACACAACATTAAGGGATTATGATACTCTGTTCTCGCAGTGAAGCCTTTAGTATTTGGTTTTCATGATATTTGGCTCCAAATTGTGGAGTTAAGACTGAACCAAATGCAATTCAGACCAATTTCACTGCAGGTTAAACCACGTTCACACATTATAAAAAACACATAAGGTCATTTAAAGCGTATTATTACATTATTGCAAGCTTAAATCAAGAGGAAATTGGTCATATTATTGAGTAATAACATTACAGATTGCGTGGAGGGGAGCTATCATTGCGAAATAAGAAGCCGAACATATCCAGACAAATACTGGGCACACCTACGGCCAATAAATGACAAAAATACATTCATTAAAATCACATATCACAACAGGCTGGGAATTATAAGCAACTGGAGCAAGTGTAAGCGTCACTCTAAGGCCAGGAGACTCAAATATCATCCATCCTGACACGGAGAGTCACGACTTTATCATGCAACTGCAGCAGACCGAGCTAGCGCTTACGTTTATACGGTAGCTAGCTGTAATGCTGAACCTTTTTCAAAATGGAGATAAGCTAAAAAGAGAGGTAAAATGCTCAGCCTGAAATAGCTTACTGCCCTTCATCTATCTACAGCTAGCTGGTAAGGTTAGCTGGGTTAGCTAAATTAATCACAGGGATAGCTCGGATTCGCTAGCGGACGGTATCTGATGGTTGGAACTACCTGCACGTCCGGGATGTTTAATTGTCATTTACCCGTACATAAACCCGAAAAACCCCGCGACGTGAAAATTAACAACCCCCTGCAATAGTTTTTTATATCTGTTTATTTTGCATATGTTTGTAAGTTCTGAATTATGCTCAGAAACGCCTGAGGATTTCGCCTTACCGTGTCCCCCGCCGGGTTGTTACTCCGCTGTCACAACAAAATCCTTCCCGGTGTGTTGGCCTAATGGTACATTCCGACGCAAACCACGCCTACATCACGTTACCGTAATACCCAGTGAAGTGGTCGTGTAGTTTATGAAAGGTATCCTTTATGAGAGAAAATACAGCTTTTGTGCACGTAAAAGCTGACATTTCGTGAATTAATTCGAACAAACTTTCATTAGAGTCGTCTGAAACACATATAAGTGTCAGATAAAGCTTGTCGCGGAGCATCACAAGATGTTCTCGCCCGGCTTCAATTTTGACTGACAGGTGCTCTGTCAAATCAACGCAGTCTTTGGAGAAGGACGTCCAATCGTACACGAGCAAGGGCGGGGCTCCACCGTTGCACAACAACAACGGCTTGCTTTGCGTTAAAAACAGGTGATCCGATCGATTTGAGGATCATTATGGTTCGTCAGGGCTATGAATTGAGTAAAACATGATTCAAGAGATTGTCTGAAAGGTAAGTGTCATTCCTGTTCGGATATAGCATGTTTGGTAAAGAAAGCTGCTTTTATCTTGTCATTCAGATAGTGTCCTTGCATAACTCGCTGTTTAGCATTCTGAATTTTCAGAGATAAAGTGCAGGATTATTGGACTATATTTGACTCTGTATTTCAAATTTCGAAGTACTATCCGAAAATAATAACGAAAAAGTAAGAAATAGTTCGCTACAATTTATTTTAAATGGACTGAATCAAAATTTAGTGAGTTGTTAGTTCTGTCTGAGGAGTGTGAATGCCATATGTTTCCTCTGCACAGTGTTTTTGTTAAAGTGAGAAACTTTTTACTCATCTCTTTGATATGCTTTATTAAAACCACACTTAAGAATCATAAAAAATATAGAAAGTATTGCATATGTTAATATCTGATTCATATTTATATGTACAGTAAACATATTCATGAAACATGTTGTCTGTCTTTTTCCATGTACTCTATGACCACACGTCAAAGCACTTTGTAAACTTCTCTTTTTAAAAGTGCTATACAAATAAAGTTATTATTATTTATGTTAATCTTGTCCCCTCTTTTCGTAGGGAATATCACAGCCCCCCCAAGATGAAGGGTCTTTACCTGGTGGAGCCAGTGGTTGCTCTGTACGCTTTCTCTAGTTTTCTCATCTATCCTCTGGTGCAGCAGTATGTGTACCGGAGGCTGTGGCAGCAGCTGACAAACACCACCTATCCCATCAATGACAATACCTCCAGATGTGCAACCAACGGCAGCAGCAGCCAGTCAGCTTTCCATCGGGTTAGTGATTTATTACAGTGTGAGAGTGATCACAAAATGTTCATGATAAGCTGTGTTTCATATGGTTTTTCTTCTACTCCGAGAACACTAACTGATCTGAAAGTAAACGTTTCCATCAGTTAAATTATTTTTAGACTTGTTTTAAAGAACTGTTCAAGATTAGAAAAAAGCTGCCTTGGCTCTTTTGCATATTTTCCTCCTATGCCATTGACATGCATGTGACTCTGACTCAATAACTGTTATGTCATGGGGTCTTATGATGGAAAAAAAAATCTTACTGTCTGAAAAAAAAACAAAAAAACAAGCAAGGGCAATCTTTTCTTCCTCAAATACAGTTTTCTGCAGCAACTTTTATGCATGTTGACTCCTTGTCTATCATGACTCAGCATAATTTGTCCAATGATCCTTTCAAACCTCCTCTTGCAACACAGCTCAGGTAAATAGAACCAATTCAGCTACTCTGCTCTAGGGAAGACTCCTGGCTGAAGTTTAGTGTTCTGCTGACTGATGGTTAAAGCAACTGTATGATAACCTTCTGAATCAACTACAAATTTATTGTCATATATCAACTCACAACAGTTAAATCTGGGATAAATCTGCAAGTACTAAGTTAGTAGAACAAAATTAAAGAAGTTTCTATCAAAAAAAGACATATCAGAGACTTAGTTCTTTATCACTCCATTTGAAAAGAAGCTGACATGTAATAAGGAAGTGAGAACAAATACAGTGATCTGGAAAAGCCTGTTTTTGTCCAAAAATAGCTCCTCCTGCACCTGTTGCTACAAAGACGTCTTTGTTCCGCCTGGCCCTGATTCAGAGAGCCTCACTTGAAATGTTAGCAAAATTAGATAATCAAATATCTTGTTGTCACTTTGTCAGATAGTTTCTGTCAACTTGACCAGGATAATTGTATCTTGTTCTCTGAGTGTTGAATGAAGAGTGTTTGTACATGGTTTTTATTCCTCAGCTTTTCTGTCTTTCTCTGCTTTCAGGAAGTACAGCAGCAAGCGTCCCTCTTCTCCCTCTACACCGAGCTCTTCTCCACTGTCCCCTCTTTGATTGTCACCCTTATGCTTGTGGCATACAGCGACCGAGGAGGACGCAAGATTACAATCATTATGCCGTTGATCGGCACGCTGCTCTACACGACAACCATCCTGGCGGTGTCCTTCTTCGAGCTCAATGTTTACCTGCTCATCGGCTCCTCCCTCCTCAGCTCTCTGTTCGGCGGCTTGGGCACATTTCTAGGAGGCTGTTTCGCCTACATCGCGGACTTGTGTGAGGATGATCGGCAAAAGACTCTGCGCATGGCTGGAGTGGATATGATGATAGGCCTGTTGTCGGGGCTTGCTGCTATATCAACGGGCTACTTCCTGAGAGCTGCAGGCTTTAACTGGCCGTTTGTGACCTCCGCTTTGTGTCAGTGTTTGATTCTATTATATGCCGTTTTTATACTTGAAGAGACTGTGAAAAAACCTCCCAGAGATGCCATCACTTCAGGTGGATCCGCTCAGCCTTCAGCTTTAAAACAGATGCTCTACGGGGTCTACCAGATGTTTGCAGGAGCCAGCCACAGGTGTAAAACTGTCCTAATCCTCCTGATACTCATCTTTACCAGCTTCTCCTTTGCCTACATGGGTGGAACCTCTCTTGTGACCCTTTATGAGCTCAATGAGCCGCTGTGCTGGACAGAGATTCTGATCGGCTATGGTGCAGCACTGGCCACCACTGTGTTCCTGACCAGCTTTGTGGGAGTGTCAGTGTTCACTTACTGCGGTGTGCCACAGCTGGTTATAGTCCTCATGGGGATCCTGTCAGTCCTTTCTGGCCTGATCCTACTGGGATTTACCAAGACCACTTTAGTCATGTTTCTAGGTGAGAAAAACTTCCCTAACAAGTGTGTTACAAAAAGCAATATTGCGCTGCAACTTGACTCTCCTTTTGTTGAAATGAAATTGACGTAAGCTTGTGAAAGAGGTTTATAGTTTCAAGGAAGGACAAAACAGAATCAAAGCTTGTACCTTAATTCTTATAAACAGGGCCTCATAACCTACCCCATACCTCATGTTAGAAACTGATGCAGCGATATAACAAAGCAAAACATACCATATGTATGAACAAAGATTTAATATTACACTTCACTTGTACAAACATAACCACATATGAATAAAAGGATACAGTCTAGCTGCAAAAAATAGTAAGGGAAACACTTAAGATAGAGAAATGCATACATAAACAAGCTAGTTGCTAAAGTGAATGATTGACAGCTCCTTTCCCATCAACTTTACAAGGAGTAAAAGATAATCATTACCGCTGTCAAGTCTGTTTTTATGAGAAAAGTGCAATGATAAGATGATACAACAAAACTGTTATCATTGCACTCAGTCGTTAAAAAACACTAAAAGTTGTTGTTGTTGTATAATATTTCGTGCATCATTATCTGTTATTTAACATATTTTCTGTTTCCCACAGTGCGGGTGCCGATGTTCCTTGCTATAATGCCGTTCCCTGTTCTGCGCTCCATGATGTCAAAGATCATCTCGAAGTCTGAGCAGGGTGAGTGCTCGTCGAGTTTTGCAGAAGCCAGAGAGCCGTGTCTGTGTGTTTGTAGAGTCAGAGTCCACAAAGAGTTGTCTGCACCAGCAAAAATCGAAAAAGCCCTTAAAAAACCAAGCACTCCAAGTTTCTGTTCCATGGAGTGAGCAATAATTTTCATGCTTGATGTTCGGAGCACTGTGTTCTTAACCATATCACATCTCTGAAGTAAATCATTTTCTTCTCTGTGGTGTGTTGTTTTGCAGGGGCCTTGTTTGCCCTCCTTTCCTTTCTGGAGAGTTTAACCAGCAGTGTATCCTCAGCAGTCTTCAACAGTATCTATGCTGCTACAGTGGCATGGTATCCAGGCTTTGTCTTCTTGCTGGCAGCAGGACTTTGTGCCATCCCTTTGTTTTTCCTCGGGTGAGTTCATCATGACATAGCAAAACATTAAATGAAAGAAGAAGCAGTGTGAACATTTTTTACAGAGTGCTAAAGCATGACCTCAGCACATAATCATACATTTTCAGTCATGTACATAACCAGAAATATGGTCGTTATTCTCGTAAATGCCCCGAAAGTAAGCCATCAATTTCAATTCCTGCATTGTTTTATCTAAGGTAGCTCAAAACTTTCTGCAACAAGTAGCTCTTTCCTGTTTTAATAGGTATTAAAAATGGTGCATTAAACACTCATTCAAGATCATGGTGGATTATTAGAAGAACTGAATTAGTAATCTATGGTGGTTTGTCCACAAACATGCAAAGCCATGGCAGCATGTTTTTTATTTTACTCCTGTGCAAACTTCAGAAATACTTATTTTTGACTGTCAGTAGCTACTTGCTGAGTTATTGTATATTGATTCAGTACTCTGTCCAGTTCACAGTTTTTTTTCTCCCCTTATCAATATAAAAACATAAAAACAGCAGTTTATACAGTATCCAGATGCTTCAGCTGCAGAACTGTACTCTGTGAATTAAGCTGCTTCATAAACAGCTTTCTCTGCTGAGTCACTACCAGCTCATTAAAAAAGAGAAATGATTGTTTTTTTGTAAGGGGGCATATGAAAACTAAGAATACTTAGTTCGTATTTATGGTTTGTCACATTTAACTTCCCTCACCAACTTATTTTTATCTATAGATAAATGTTTGACATGCACGCCTGTCTTGTCCTTTTATAATCGTCTTCATTGTCAGCACAGACGCACATTTACAAAGGAAAGGTGAAAAGGTCTCAGAGAATTACTCTCCTATTGCACATTGTGTTCTTATGCTAGTTTTGTTTCACTGGGTTTTCAAACAAGTACTGCTGAGTCAGCCTAAAAAATGGAGTGTGAAACATGAAACTCCGACAGGGTATACACTTCTGTCACATGTGCTGCGTATTCCAAGTAGTCAAAGAATAACAAAGCAGCTGGTTCAGTAACCTCAGTCCAACAGCCACAGCTAGACTTTATAGTAAAATCCCTATTTCTGAGAAAAACTTGTTTTTGTTTATTATTGCAAAAGAATAAATAACCTCCATAAACAAGAAATTCCATGTACAGCAAATAATCTGTTTGGTAAAGCTGCTTGAGTGCAAAATCTATAATGGCAGTAACCTACTTACACAGTATTCACGTTTTTTTTTTCTTAGATTATTTTGCAACTTCCTTTATTCCATGTGTTCAGCACTTTCTTTGCCCAGGGAAGTACCAGCATTGATACCTCTCCATAAGACATAAATACTTGGTGTGCAGTTTTGGGCTGGTATTTTTATCTGTACAACTTTACAGAAGTCGGAAAACTTTGTTCTACTGTGCATTAAAATGGCTTTTAGTCATATTGAAAATATCAGTGATTTTAAAAGCTTACATGTAAGTGTAACTTGCAGACAAAGGTGTAGCTCAGAAAATTAGAAGAAAAAGGTTATTTGTTTCCCATTTTTGGATGTAAGTCAGAGGCCATTACCATCATGGTTCAAACAAACATTTTCAGAAAAGTCATGAAATATTTCACTGTGTGTTTGAATTCAGAAAATATGGAAGTTTCACTTTTTAAAATAAATTAACAAACTTTTTCAAGGCCATTTTAATTTTTTGGGTTGCCCCTGTAACTCTGACACAAAAAGCTAATTTAAGTAGGTAAAGACACAATAAACTTGCCAAATGCCGACTGGTATATTAGTCGAAAAAAAGCTTAAAATGAAGCACTTATAGACAGACATCCTGGACTTATGTATTTCTCTAAAGATGTAAAAATACTCAGACCAGTTAAACTTGAGGTTTATAACCAGCTTGACCTGTGCAGTCTGCACATAAAACTCAAAGAGCTTTCCCTGTTTAACTCTGACTCACACAGTTTCCCATCAACAACAGTCTAGACCTCCATTCTGTTGGTTTTGTAAAAAGACATGAATGTTTAATTTGGTTTGTACTTGAAGCAGTTCAAGGATTTAGCTACAATAGTAATTGGTTAAGACTACATACATCGGCATCCCTTGTATTTTCTGCCTCTCTGATACCTGTATTTTTATATTCCAGGGTGGTTGGGCTGATAGGGGTGGATGTCCCTGTAGGAAGAGAGAAGCCGGAGCCTGTCTACTCAGGGGAAGAGGATCCTGTTGAAAACCTTGATGAAAACAGTCCTCTTCTTAACTGAGCGGAACGGACTGCCATACCCTCACCAGCACTTTGTTAAGTTCTTACATCCTCTTTCATTCCTGTTACTTTACCGAAAAGTATCTCAGTGACTTTTTTAGAGGATGATAATAATGCAGGTTATAGATGCATCACTTCAGTTTTATTGCAGTGGGTGTTTTTACTTTTAAACTTGATGATTGTGTAAAAAAGAAACCAAAAGGGAGCGCATTTCACATTGTTTTGTTAGCCATATGCAGTATGCCAAGAATGTAGCATGAAACTGAAGCATATCAATGAATGGATGTTATCAGTGTGCTGCAAATCCAGGAAGCAATCGATTATTAATAGTGTGTGAGCATTTTCAGATATTTTAAAAGTGGCCTTTAAGTGGCTTGACTGTGAAATTATTAGTACATTTAGAATGAGTTCTTGTGTTTGCACACATTATATCATGTGATATGATTTGCAATTTTGAAAATATTTTTTGTCTTGGAAACTCATTTAACTAAGTTTAACTTTGTTTCTTCCATCTCTGTTTTAGTGCATTATTTGTGAATGTCTTTAAAACCAAATCCACCAGCACTCAAACCTAATAGGAAATTTATAGCAATGCATCAAACATGCTCAAACATCAGCTGTTACTATATGTCAAGTTTCTTTGTTATTTTCAACAAAATACTAAAACAATTTTAAAATATAATAATATATATTACATAAAGCATCTGAGTTTATGCTTTAAGTTAATGGCTACCTTCAATTGCAGCTGACGTGAAGGATCATAAAAACGGAAAAGACTAAAAAGAATCCTTATGATAGGAAAAAAGCACATACAAATAAAACCATTAAAATGCAATAATTGAAAATACTCATTAAAAGTTTTTTGAAGTATGAATGGGTAAAGAATATGAGGGACATTAATGATTATACGATTATCTGTGTATGTGTGTGAAGTAGTAGAATAGTTAGGGTGAAGGTTTGTGTTAAAAATGAAACAAATAACTTTGCTAAATCAAATGTTTTAAAAACAAATGTTTTAAATTTGGTGTTGCCTTTACTCTGCCAAATTTGGGTTTTTCAAGTTGAAAAATGACAAGAATAAAAAAACCTGGTTGCTGATTTTCTTGTCTAACATTATTCCAAAGGTTGTTCCATAAGCCTAGATTTTTTATTCATTTCTCCTTAATAATGCATATTTTCAAACAAATCAATAAGGAATTGTAACTGATTTGGTTTTCACCAGTGGTATTTGTCTTTTTTTTTTTTACGTCTGTGAAAGTAAAATGAAAAATAAAACAAAATAAATTGTTTGAGGAACTGTTTTTGATGAGTCACTTTCCACAGTCCCAAAACACCTTCAACCAGAAAGATCTTTCATCCAGCCAAAAGCAGAACAAACACCTTTTTTCTATGTGTGGGTGGAGGAAAGTTTCTATATCTCATCAGCTGTGATCGGCTAAAATGCTTCTTTATGTGATTTAGTTTTGGGGAACTCCATGAGCCAGTGATACCTGACCCTTGGCCTGGTGTACAGGTGTGTATGAAATGCTTCTTTCCCCCTCATTTCATGCAGTAAGAACATTGAAATCACATTTTTTATACAGCATTACTTTTTTCATTTTTATCTTTATTTTTGTCTTTTTCTTCACGTAGATACAAGCAGAGGAATAAAGTTAGGGAACCACTGCTGTAAACTATCTGTTTGACAGCTGTTTTGGCCAACTTCCTCAAACTGCCCACCAATTTTGAAGATCATTTATCCAGGTTTATGTACAAATTTACAATTTTGATATTCCAAAGGAAGAAAAAACAAGATGTGCTGGTTCAAAATTTCCTTCCATGTTAAGCCCGTGTTCAAACGAATTTGTAGTTCCTGTGTTGGCCACCAGATGTCACTCTTGGTCCAGTCTTGCAAGCATATAAAGTTACTGAGAGGGGCTGGAAATTTCTTCAAAAATAGACGTGTAAAGCTGTACACTTAATGCAAACTGTTTTTAGACAAGGAAATAAGGGGAGGGTTTTAAGGGAAGTTCATGATCCTGTTTTAGAATAATTCATCATACATTATTTTGTAGTTTTAAATATTTGCGTACCACTTTTTACCACACATGACAATTTGCTTTGATTCCTGCATTGTCTTTTTTCCCTAAAGCTACAAAGAGACTATTGATGACTCTGTTTTGAACCACAACAAACTTGATTACTCAGACCATACTGCAGCCACAGTCCCCCCCTCAGGAACAGTCATTGTCTGCATATATGTAAAACCCTCTCTCACAGTCACCCTGTCTCTTGAGTGTCTGTTATTTCTCGGTGAAGAGTGTAGACATGCAAGCAGTGTGTCTTATGGATGATGAATGGATGTCAGAGATCCTGGCAGTGATCCCATCCAATTGCTCGCTTAGTAACTGTACCACTGTGTTAGAGTGAAAACAGTTGGACATATCTATCACCACAACACAAGACAAACAAGAGGGGAGCGATTTAATGCTACTCCTTTGCATGAATCTGGACTGACTAGGCAACACAAAATCAGATTACACTCCCTCATGAGGCATCACGTGAACGCCTGTTGACTGCATATTGATTGGTCTTTATCTTAACTGTGTTAGAAGAAGTGACTTGCATGAGACAGGCATACAAAAAGGCAAAGAAAAAGCTTGTTTAAAGTGAGGAACAAGATTATCCAGTGTGAAAACATGAAGCGGACCTCCTCACATGAAAGAAATAAAATCTTGTTGTTTTTGAACTTCACTAAAGTAGATATATGTCATTGTAAGAGTGCAAACTTTTTCTTTTGACGCTTCGGTTTGAACTGGCATCTTTCATGGAAACCCAAATGACGTCTGATCTTAATATGCACTTATTTGATTTCCATCCTCGAAGAACCGTGACTGCAGCTTGGTTGTAAGGTAACACTGACACTAAAAGTTTGAATGGAGCTCCCAGCGCTGAAGGTCACATTATTGGGATCATCTGAAGCAGGGCCTGCTTGGCACCAAATGTGAGGTTTCTGGTTAAATCAGAGACGGAGGTGTGGTGAGCAGTGACGAAAGTTTGTGAGATTTTCCCAGGGTTGAGGGGGAGCTCAGGGGGGGAGACAGTTGTGGTGGCTTGCGTGTGTTTAGTGTGCATGGGGTCATTGAGGATTAAAGTGAAGCTTGGTTTGAGTGTGGAGGCAGGGGGATTGAGGGGTCTTTGGTTTCTGGTTTCCAAACTCGCTGAATCAGCAGTGTGATCATCTGCAAGGCACCACATCACATCTCCAACGGTTCAATCTCTGATGTTGATCCAGTAAGTTGCTAACAGACCTCTCTTTATCTCAACCCTCTGCTCCTTGGAGGGGATAATTCACCATAATATAAAAACCCATTTGAGGTGGTTTGCGTGACAGAGGCTCAATGTCCCACTCTGAGATGATTCACTCATTTTGATCACACCAGGATCCTCTGCATATAAATTTTTTCATTCTGAGTTTTCATACTGGATGAGGCACACTGGGATTTAACTACACTACAAGGCAGCTAATAAAAATGTGGGTTTATTCTAATATGCAGATTTCCCTTTTCTTGTTTTTTATGTAAGCCTATCCCAGGGAGGTTTTCCCACCACAAAAGATATTTCTGAGCTCCTCTATCTAGAATACAGATACTTTGTTGTATCAGAGTTATTAAGAGCAGCTGCACTGGAGAAAATGCTGCTTCGAAAGTTTTCTAAAAGTCACCTTCACTGCAGAGGAAAATGAAGAGGATGTGGAAGAAAAATCAGGGGAGCTGGTGGATTTTATTGTTTGGGACAGATACTTTGTTCTGATGACAGTGCACATGGTGGGAAACCAACTGTGTACCCATTGTATTGTTACTAAAGCACAAAGATAATTATTATATTACATAATCCCTCAGATTGAGCTGTCCATGTTGTTCGGCCATGATACTGAAATCGCAACAGCATCACCAGGACTGCTAACTGATGTCATCTTTGTATAAAAAGTTTTTAAAAGTGTAATTTTCACATGTGCCGCCTTACCCAGAGTATTTTATTAAATATGCGCAAAGCCCCCTGTCACAGAGCTCTTACTCAGACAATCACAATATAGTGGAAAAACACAGGCGTAGCAGAAAACGCGGTGATGGTGATATTTATTAACAGCCAGCCTTCCAAGGTACAGTGCAAAAATATTTTAAAAAGTGCGAAAAAATTGGTCAATTACTATTTACAAAATGTACAGGGCAAAAAGAGAAAATGCCAACAAGGCAAGAGTTCTACTGTAACTCAAGATTCTCACTCAAGAGAAAAAACAGAAAAACAGCAGCAATACAAAAGTCAGTTTGACTGTTACTGTTAATGCAACAAACTCCAGACTCAAAGAAAGAAAAGGCCCAGGATGCCTTGTTTTAACTCCTCCTAGCCCCTCCCAGTGGGCGTTATCAATTACAGAAGTTTGGGAAAAAAAACTTTTATTCACATTTAAACCATTTTTACCATTTTTTACCTTCAGACCTTTTTCTGTAGGTTTTTGCCATTTTAACAAAGTTTTTTACACAAATCAACAGCATTAATTTTTAGGGATTCATGGCAAGAAACAAGGGAATTAATTTTTTCTTGCATCATGTGACCACTTTGACCCTCCGTACCCACCTATTTTACACCCGGAAGTCACGCGCTCTGTTTCTCATTTTGAAACATGAATCGGCATAATGGGGTGAATGAATGGACGCCCGGCAGGTAAGTGAAGGGATGAGTAGCTGTGTGAATGTATGTTCAAGTTAACTGATAGAGCTCCAAGTGTGCAACTTTGGTTACCCTATCCAACAGAGAAGGAAGAAGGAAAAGTAGCGCTGTTAAGTGGGGAAGTAGCGACGCTGGCGGGGAGGGAAATGTTCGGTGTGTATGTAGGAATGTTTGTGGCTCCACGCGCTTCCCGCGGTCAGTGAGGACGCTGCTGCGTCACACATGCTAAACGTTAAAATTGCGGTGATATTTCTAATGTTATAATAGTAGTAATATTTCCACATTCACTGACAAAAAAGGCTCAAGGGATAGAAAGTTGGGATGGCCGTTTTTGAACCCACTGCGCAACGTGACGTCGAAACGACATCTATTTAACGTATTTTTTTGACGATGAGATACAAATGTGGACGTCATTCAACGTCTGAAAGAAGTCCAATAATGACGTCTAAATCTCGGATCCATTTTGTACTTTATGCCGACTTCTAGATTTGGTCTTCAGATGACGTCCAAATTCTAAACGTCAGAGCGACGTCTAAAAAAGGTCCAATTTGGACGTCGAAATTTCTAACCTATTTTGCACGTCGCACTGACGTCTAGATGTGGTCTTTGACGGACCGAACCAATACTGACTTGATCTGCACATCTCTTCGACATGCAATGTTTGGTGGGAAGGGGTTGTTCCTGATGGCCAGGAACAACTGCTGTCTAAGCATGTGGGGTTTCGTACAAAACCCCAGACTTTTAAAGGATTTATAAACTCTCCGGAAAGACTGGACAGCCCCCCAAAAAGAGGACATGTCCGGATAAAAGAGGATGTATGGTCACTCTACATCAGTGGTTCTCAAGTCCAGTCCTCGCGGCCCACTGTCCAGCATGTTTTGGATGGTTCCCTGCTCCAACAACACCTGATTCAAATGATCAGCTCGTTATTAAGCCATTTTGGAGCTTGATAACGAGCTGATCATTTGAATCAGGTGTGTTGGAGCAGGGAAACATCCAAAACATGCAGGACGGGGGCTCGAGGACTGGACTTGAGAACCACTGCCCTACATAAAAGGGTTCTAGGTTCTAATCCTGGTTTTTACACGGGAGGCAGAAAAGAAACACCTTCCTCAAGTATTGTTTGTGAAGAGCTTTTGAAGAAGCATAATCAAATGGTGACAGGAGAAGGAAGCACCATCAGGCAAACCTGTGGTGAAATGGTTAAAACAGCTAAATGAATGAACTGGCTCTGGGTTTGATTCCAGCATAGGGACAAATGAAGGTTAAGGTAGGGAGGGTAAGGAAAGTGAAAAGGAAGAGGATAAGAGAGGGATAACAGGAAGGATAACACAGGAAAAAAAAAACATCCACCCCTGCAGAAGGAGAGGGGTCACATCCAATAATCTTGTTAGTTAATCATCAGTCACAAAGAATTACATCTTCATTACACCGCCGGGGTTCATTATGACAGGACCGGCTTTATTTATTCAGCTATTTGTGCCACCGCCCGTACCTTTGCACCACCAGCTCATTCATCTTTTCCCCTCTTTTGTACTCCAAGTGAGCTGTGCTGCTCATGTCCTGGCTCTATGATAATAATACAATAATC